GGTTAAATACCATTTATTTAGCAGGGTAAAAAATTCATGTATTTTATTTTGATAAAATTTGGAAAACATTACTCCAAAAATGTATCATTGATTTTATTTATTAAGCCGAATATAACTGAGTCTATAATGTCTTATTTCAAATCAGCTAAATAAGCTACCAGTGTCAATAGATGCCTGTAATTCCACAGGTACCAGTATTCAGAAAATTAGAATAATATTTTTACATCTGTTTGCCTCATGTAATCAGTGAAGATACTACAAGGCAGAAATATAAAAACTGTTACTTGCAGCAATAAATTTCTAATAGCTCTCACCCAACGAAATATCTTTTCCAAAAGTAGATGTCAGAATCATCATAATTGTATGTAGACATAGAGAGAAATTGAGATGTACGTCCATTAAACACTAACTAGATTATTTTGATACTAACAAGGTATATATAAATAATAAAACCAGGAGAGACAGTAATTGATCATCTACTGAAAATCAACACGTTCATTTCGGTACTAACATGATACTTGTGACCCAAAAAAGAAGAAATAGATCTTGAAGTGTTCATCTATGGACAGACCTTATGATCTAAAGCGCATGTGTTAGACCACACAGCTATCCAAACTCCCTGTATATAAAGTGATATGTAATTAATAGTATATAATAAATTTATTAAGTGTTTTAAATAAAACATGTATAAGAGAAGAAGACAATGGTAGATGTATTACTATGCTATATTGATTAGATGACAAATATAATTTACTATCAATACTAGGTTCCAATATCTTCCTGATTATTGTCGATGATTCAGCCAACACACAGTCAATGTCATACTCTGTGTACAATCTAATGATGACTAATACCTAATGTACATGTACTAGCGCCGCTATCTGGCAATGTGCACATTCTGCAAAACATATCTTTTGTTTGATGTATTGTTGGCAGCAGTATAGACTACATGATGTCTACAAGTAAGGTTATAGAGAAGGCTAATATTACCACAGGTATAGGTCTAGAGTATACTGAACCTGAAAGTGATATTTATATTTTCTATTCACTAGTCATCTGTGATAGTTCACTTCTGTTGGTATTTGTGTTGAAGATATTTTGCAAAGGATTATTGAAGGATTATGTTCATGAATTGAAGGTCATACTGAAAAAATTACGGAAAAGCATTGAAATTATTTGAGGGCTAGGGGGCAGCTCATGTCAGAACCTCTTAAATTATATGTACAGCAATAGACTACCATTTGAAAAAGCAGTTGAGAAATGTTCAATTCCGAAATGCTGTGGATTATAACTGTTTAGTTTTGTTTTCAAAGATGGATGTATTTTTGTGCACTCATTGATGGCCTGGTTATTGACGGCATTTATTGATGGTTGAATTTATGCATGTTTAAAGAATAAATACATGCCCATCTGTTATTATCTTGATTCAGTATGGAATATAAACTAGACTATGTGAAAAGGTTATCTGATGTGCTTTTACTATATTGAGTGGTTGGTAACACATGTATGTCACAGTCATGATCAATGTATTGATTATATGACTTTAATCACACCATACCAGAATAGATTTTATTCCCTCGGGCAATCATTACTCATTTTTTATAATGATCTTTGAAGTATCATTTCCTTTAAAGGATAAAAAGAGATAATCATCTTGTAACTCTTGTTGTTTTACTTACGTAGATAATACATCACACTTATTATTCATATAGAAGTTTGTCTTGACATAGTTTAGTCGTAAGGATTATTTGTGTCTGGTAGAAATGAATATAATGTAAGTCTAATGTAAAATAACATTTGTAGGTGTTAAGGGTGTTGAGCAGTCTAAATTGCACATTTTAAAGCTAGCACTGTAATTTTTGTTGATAAGATATGACATTTTTTGTTATTTGGGGTGATAAACTACATATTATTCACTAAATAAATACCAATTTTATTTACCAACTTTGTTCCAAACTTGACTCAAAAGCATGATAATAAAGGGTGCCGATGACTACAAAAGTCAAATTTTCTCAGTTATGCCTTCATGGATTTTCATCAAATTTGGCATGAACAATGTAAGTCCAAAAAATCCACAGGACAATTTTTGACTATAGCCTGTGGTTTGTCCGGTATCACTGGACAATTTTTGGCTATAGGCTGTGGTTTGTCCGGTATCCATGGAAATGCCAAAAAACGATGAGTTTTCAGTTTTCTTGGAAATTCTATTAGTACATGCTAAAAAGATTTATTGATAATCTCCCCAGTAGATCGAAAGTAGAGGTTATAAACGAAATTTCAAGATTTTGTGATTTTCGGTAAATTCTTTGATTACGTCTACAATTTCTAAGTTCTAAAATACAACAATTCGGACGTAAAAAGTAAATATTTACTTCAGTGCACTACTCCGCCGCTCTAAAAATCATTTTATGCATTCAATAATGGTAGTTTTCAACCATCAAAAAATGAAATTCAGCCATGTTCCAGTACGATAGATGGTAGACCTGGATAATTGCATCTTAGAGGGACTTCCTTCTGGCGTCATATATAGATAGATGCCAATGATCCAGTGTGAAACTGCTGCTGGACACGGCCATGATTGTTTACAGCGGACAACATCATAATTTATTCAAGAACTGATCTAGGTCGGGGGAACCTTCAAATTTGCTATGAATAGTTTTTTTTATTTCCGCTTGTACCTCCAATATAATCAACAAACGGTCGGATTGTTATGTGTCCTCTTGGTTATTTTACACAAGGAACAAGTGTGCAAAGTCTTAATAAGATTGGTGTTGAAAAGTTAGTCCTTATCTTTGACTACTCAACACCCTAATTCATGTTACAGTGAAATTGTAGCCTATGGGTTGTGTTAATTCATGTTACAGTTAGGCTGTAGTCTGGGGTTGTGTTTATAATGGTAGTGCAAAAGGGGGCAACAATCCATTCTTTGTAAATTATATGATGTCTTAAAAAATATTTTAATTGGCGATGCACTTTGATAGGATTGTCCCTATTGAGTCCACGATCTGCTATGTGCAGATACGGTCAACACGATTGCTATGACTGACCTCAATATATGACAGGATCACCACGATTACTCCATGATTTAAACCACAGTTTCAATCGTAGCACAAATCTTGATGGTGTGAACCTAGCATTAGGAAATTGTCTGTACTTATTTATTCTGACGCCTTTGTTTTTTACCCTAGCCTTTTAAATATCTATTGTGATAGATGTCTAGAGGAGAGTCAGTTTTATTAAAAAGCTTCATAATCTTATACAGTTTACTTATTACCCATTCCAAAAAAGCATCCGGTAACTTTTTGTGATCTGTATGTTGTAAGTTGTGTTAAACACAATACCACCTATTGATGTTACAATATGTTTAGAGTTATCGATAGACTGTTTTGTACAAAGCTTTCATTAAGTTACACTATGCATGTTTGAAAAAGCAAATGATGAAATGTACAAAAATATACATAAAGGCCTATAATGCAAGTCTGTGTGAGAAAGGGGGGTTGGGTGCCCGAATGGTTAACTTATGCTTGTTGCATCATAAGGTCTGTCATTGAGTCAAGTGGCATGGTTTTTATTCCCCGATTGTACGTGACAAGGAGTAAGGTTGCCTCCTCAACCTCGTGGGTTTTCATTGGGTCCTCCAGTTTTCTGCCACTGCTGTAGGTAGACCCCTACGCGCAAGTGAATTAATGAAATAAAATAGAACCATATGTTAGTCCCGAAATGACCTAGTTTGTGTTGAGTGGAGGTTAAACCCCATCTCTCTCTCTCTCTCTCTCTGAGCAATCTAAAAAATCTAGAAAACAAAAGTGGCATTTAAGAATCAGACATTTCAGACTAAATTAATCTTATTACGTGATGTAAACAAAATGGATAGATGAGGATGTTGTCTGACAAACCACATTCACAAGTTTATTCAGTTGTGTTGTACATAGTTAAAAGCTACTTTATATCTCGTGTGACATTTCGATTTGCTGCCAAAAGTTTTATTTTTGTGCGTTTTATTTTTACACTAACATCAAAGTATGTTGTGCTCGTGAGGATAATTAGATAAATTAATAGAAACGTTTAGAGAGTTTTTGTGCTAAAAAGATATCAGCTTTATGAATATACATGTGTATGTAAATGAATACTGTATATTACATGTAACTTAAACTAGCAATCAAATTAGTCTTGACATTTAAGCTGGAAGTTAGCTGCATAAATAGTACTGTATAGGTTAAAACATAGCTTGTGGTTTAAACTAGTTCTATATGACATATTATGACTTGATATTTATTTCATTGTGTAATTTTAATACAAACATCAGTATTTAAGTTATATAGTTGAATTTGGACCAGTACAAATGCATATCATTATTGATTACAGCAACACACATATATGTAGAATATTTCTATTTTAATTATATAAATCATTGATTTTTAATATTTTATTTGTTATCGTATTATTCTTTATATATAGTGTTTGGACTTTACGGGCTTCAGACTTTTTTGCTAGTATTTTAAATACCAACGCAAGATCATTTTATAGAAACATGATTGGTTTCATCTCTCCAGACTTTTCAGTACAGGTGCTCTGATTTCCACGTTTATTGAAATTTGTGACACAGTGACTACTGTAAGATCAAAATTGTCCTAGATAATTCTAGAGCATATTTTAATTTACCGGTAGTATACAAGTAATTAAGCTTTGGTGTACCGATATTCAAATAACTTTCTCTGTAGAATTTCTAGATTTTGAAATATATTTAAAAATTGTACAATCGAAATTTTAGATTTATTGTGTATAATTGCCCATTTGGCAGAAAGGTAGCCAGAACCAAGTCTGTGATGGAGCAAATATTCTGAAATCGGAACTTGGTTATGTATAAACCATAAAGAGTAAGCCATAGTTACCAGGAAATGTGAAGGTCAATTATTTCCCACATACACGTTTGGTCATGTTATTTCATCTGTTTAATAAAGATTAATAGTGTCTAATGTATTTTTTTTTTATCTTTTCAGGCTACATGGAAAAATATGTCCCCTACCCACGGACAAATAAATACACTACTTAATAATGAAAACTGTGTGGACAATGTAGAAAATAATTATAAACTCTGTGAAAATCTAACAAATCAAAATGTTGCACAAACTATTGACCCAAAACAGTGTAATAACAATGTAACAGGAAACACGGATAAGTTAGATAACATGAATTACAACAATATGGAGACAGAGATTATGATGGATTCATTGAATATGAACGAGGGCTACCAAAAGTTAGAAGCGCGTGCAACTCTGCCTAAAATACGACCCAAAGGCAAGAAAAAATATTCCACGTGGAAGGATGTTTCTCCCAGTAATAGCAAGGAGAATCTAGTAGGACGGAAAATGAGTGACAGTTTTGGTAGTCCTAAGCGCTCCAGATCTTGGGATGTATCGCAAAGTAATGGTAGTCAAACGGTCACCTGGAAAGATATGTCACCAACCAAACTCAAAGGTCAGGTACGTCAAAAAACTATACGTAAAAAGCGACCTGAGAGTGGTTACTACTCTAATGATGTACAAAGTGAAGGACAAGATTCAAGAGAAGAGTTTGATTCTTTATCTGGTTCTGGTAGTGATCAAATTAACAATGGCCGTTCGTCTAGTTCTACACCTGATGATGCTGGTTTCAGCGAATATTATTATGATGAGGATTTCACAGTGAAATTTGACACCAACATCAGAAACTCGTCGCTAAAATTAAAAGATGAACAAGAAGAAGAATTAGTGTTTCCGCCTTCGTTAACTGGTAGTTATACTAGATTTGGCAACCTACGCGAATCTCTGTCTCACCCGGATTTATATTTTGGTAATTATGAATCGGAACTGTCTGGTAGTCGTACATCTATGGAAGTTTCATCTAGTGAACGTGAAATGATGTGTTCTAGTGATATGTTAGATTTTAGTAACGATCCTCTCTTTACACCTACTCCAACCGGTGATTTAGCGGCACAGACATATTCTACAGATAGTTTATCGCGAGATCAGGCCAACAGTACAACTAGTCGTTCATCTGGTGATGGTAAACTAGCAGTTGATTGTTGTCCTAGAAAAGATGAATATTTTCTTTCCTTTAATTCTTCATCACAAGGACAATCAACAGCATCTTTAAGTAGTAATTCCTATGCATCACAAACCTCATCACAAGATGGTATTGGTACTTGTAGTCCTTCGTGTAGTTCAAATGATGGTGAAGAAATCTGCTCGAATAGTTTTCACTTCTGCCAGGCAGGACAGAATGATGAATTTGCAAACAATAATGGCAATTTGAGATCACACCCCAGTAAGTCTGGCTTGGATGTCCTCCAAGAATGTTCAATCGAAAAATCTGAATCAACAAATGGATCTAAAGCTTCAAGTGGCCACCATTCTCGAAGGTCACCTCGAAACAGCCCTAAATCTTCACCAACTAAAAATTCTTCTAAAAACTCACCTAAATCATCTCCCCAAAAGTCAGAATCTGCCAAACTACAGCCGAGCAAAGGTACTTATGGCTCTTTAGATGGTCAACAAAAACTGTGTGGAACAGATAAACAACATAGTTTAAGGAGGGTGAAGAATCTCACTTCGTGGAAACAAGTGAAAAATTTGAAGAAGTTTGGTATTATGTGTAATTCGACGGACAGAGTTCACAGTATGCCTGATTTGAATGTACAGACGTCTTTTAATACCACTCCACACAGGACATATACAGAACAAAGAGATCTACAGGATATATCTGATAGTTTCCACAATAAAAGACATTCTTCTTCTTTATTAGAGCTATATCAGCGAATGAAAAGTCCATCAAGTATGGTCAGTATGGATACTATCCGAGCAGTTGAACAAATTTTGTTTCCAGATAACAGTATTAATGGCAGGTTTAATTCAGAATGTCAGTACAGCCCTAATAGTACAGATTCTAGTTATGATGGAAGCGACCATGGCTGTGGGTGTAGATTTCAAGAAGATACCAGATGCAGCAGCAGAAACAGTTGCAATTCACCAGTTCGATTCATTACATCATCGAAAAATTACTCTCGTGCCACTGCTGTATCCCAGGACACAGTCCAACTTTGGCATGGTACTAAAAACTTCTCATCACAGTTTCCACCTAAAACACAGGACTGTGGTGTGCAGGCATCAATGGACGAACCAGAACCAACACCCGTGTTAAACCAATCTCAACAAACATCCCCAAATATTCATCGAGAAATCATGACTATATTAGAGGATATTGGAGAACATGAGTCTAGAAAACCATTTAAGGAACCTCATCAACGCAAATCTGCATCGGAAACCAGACCAAAACAAACAGAACATAAACCAACTAACAGAAGATCATCGAGCCTCTCACCATCGCGATATGATCAACCAAAATTTTACTCTTACAGATCTTTACCTGATCTAAGTTTCTTGTCTCCAGCACAAAAAAGTGACTTTTCCTGTGAAAGTTCTCTATTTGATCCTGTTAAAATTCCAATCATACTTACACCTGTTGTGGATGATAGTCAACAGACACAGTCCTCTCAAAGAGAATCTGGCTATTGTTCCTGTCATAAAGATAAGCGCTATGGTGGAAGCAGACATAAACACTTTGAATCAGGTTCTAGCAGTGGTTTTAGTACAAGTTCTACGTCTTCTGGTATTGATCCTGACTATTTTGAATGTCGATGTTGTCAAGGAAGTATGGCTAAAGATCTTGAAAGAATTCTTTTTCTACCACCTCATTTAGAGTGCACACAGAAATTTATGGACAGGCGTGAAACTTCAAACAGTTCTCATCATCACAGATCATCAGATCATTCTGGCTATGAACATCATCCTTCATCCATGGGAAAACGAAAGTCATCAAGAAAAATGAGCTCCAGTAGTTCTTCCAATTCAACTTCATCATTACATTTGGACAGATTATATTCAGTTAAAGAAGAGAGCCCCACATCACCAGAGAAGCATGAAAAATTACACACAGTATTTGATCAAGGAGCAAAATTACATGGTCATGTCTATCGAGGCTATCATCTATCCGGCAACATGGAGAAACGTTACCATAATCGAGAATACTATGAAATTGAGGCTGATGAAACCAGCTACTCAATTGAAGTTCAGGAAGACATCAGCTGCGGAAGAAAACCATTAAAATCATGCTTACGCAAAATGGATAAAGGTTGCAGATCACGCTCATTATCCAACCCTGACAACCTGAATGCTCAACTCAATGATTCATCAAAACCACCTCGAAAACCCAATCGCTACTCTATTGCATGTGACAGCCTTTTCCCCCAAACAGTCAATAAACAAGTGGAGGTGACTGAAGCAGATAACCCCCAAGCTACTTTACTTAAAAAAGATATCCAGTCATCTACAACAGGAATTGAAGAACATTTCTCGGAAGCTGATCCACAAAGTGCATCAACAGATGATGTTAGTAAAGCTAATAAAAGAGTCAGCTTTGCTTCTGAAGTCCTATTTCAATCTCCACAGTGTAGTCCCCAAGTATCACCCCATCGCTTACCCAGTGCTGCTAAAGTAACTAGTATTGAAATGGAGGATGAACAACTTCGTGTAGAAATTAGTGAACCAGGTATGTTTGACTGAAAGAATATATTAATAGAACAATAAAGCTTAACAATAAAACATTTTGCTTTGGATATATTATTATTATCAAGAATGGTAGTTCTTATTATTAGGTTATTTTGAGGAAATCAGTAAAATGTAATAGAGTTACATCCATATATCTTAGCGTAATATGTATATGTGTAGTACTGAAGTCTATTTAAATCATTTACAAATTTTCATTTTAAATTATCCATAGCTTAATCCATACTAGAATGTACTAAAAATCAACAGTAAATACCCCCCAGGCTTGGATTCAGTTGGATTAAAAGGGAAGCCCATCCAAAGAGTTAAGTGAAGATTACAAAATGACTTAACATCAAATAATACATTTTTGTCTTTTCAGTTCCTCCAGAAAAACCTAAACGGTTATTTACAGATATACCTCCGGTTGAGTTCCAAGTCAGTCCTACCCTTGATGATCTTCAACAAGGGTCTGAGGAATTGATGGAACTCAACAGGAAAATAGGTAAGTTTGACATTATTGCTAAATCAGTCGATAATACTATTAAACAAGAAGTTAACACTATCCAGTTGTTATAAGAAATTATCTTATATGTATAGACCATTTGTTATTCCTTGGTCCATTGCATGTGTCTTCTGCCTCCCAAGTAATATCAATTGTGTTTTTCCATTATAATTAATCAGTGTTTATGGTCAGTCTCTATTTAAAATTCAACTATCTTAACCTACTAAATCTTGAAATTACATTTATTAAAAAAAGTTGTTAAACTTGTACACTGTATCTCTAATTTCTAATGTGTAATTATTCTTTCAGCTTTGCTTTCCAACATTACCCGTGCAGCTGAAACCCTAGTATTACATTTCGCCCAAGCCAGGGATCCTTTCGAGAAGGTAAGTCATTAAAAAGTAGTCTACTGGTGTAAGATGTGTATGTTATGTGTTATTATAATGCAAAACTAGCTCACTATTCTTTAATTAATAATAGCACTTTTAAATCTTGTTTCATAAACACTTCTGGTAATGAAAATAAAAGTATAAAAGGGTTTGAACAAAAAAAACTTTGGGAGAGAAATCCATACTGGCTAATCACCACTACATGTTTATAGATTTCCAATTTTTTGTGTAATGGAAGATTCACTGTACATGGAGCTTATATATTCTTAATTTTCTTCATAGAGAAAAAATGTAGGTTAAATCCATATCTGATTCATACTGTTATTTTTACAGTTACGCCTAGGGAGCGTTGCTGAAACGCCAGAAGTTGGAACACTGGTGTTCAAGGAACTGTGTCCAGCCATGGAGCAGGTGATAGAAGACAAAATGAAGCCACATAGAACTGGGCTTCATGTCTTTGGTAAAATTCACATCACTCCATGGAGAATCGCAGAAATGTCAGCAGAAGTTGGTAAGTCCAAGAAATTTTTGTTTTAACAGTAGGAATTATAAATCTTTAATTAATGGGAAATACAATTTCAACTCCAAGTTGCGAACATGAATAAACACACTGTGGACAAGAAGAGATAAAAAGAGAGTACATCACAGGTGATTAGATGCTGTAGGGTGCTACTACCACAGGGTAAAAAGTAGTTGTCACTGTTCACCATGTATTCGTTAGTCTATAAGATATCTGTTCGTAACATACTTTATTCCTGGAGTTTCTGCTGCCAGTCTATAAATCCTGAACGCAACATATATGTTTACGTAATCAAGTTTGAGACTGCCAATGAGTTAGAATACATGTAGGTCGCCATTATAAGTTACCAAATGGATTGATAGTTTCATTATTAAATGTTACCAACAGTCATCATTAAAAGTTACCAAATGGTTTGATAGTTTCATCAGCTTAGTAGTGTTGAATTGATAATTTTTAAAGCAGTAAGCTTTAATAAATTAATTTTGTGTAGGGTTATTAATTACAGTGTATATTTTTTTCAGGGCCATATACTAGATCTATCAATCAACTTGTAAAACAACTAAAATCTAGACCAACTCTGTTGTCAAACAAACAAAGGTTCTATGCTTTTGTTGCTGGTCTACTCAAGTAAGTAAATTTATTAACATTTCATATTTTGCTCATAAGATATAGATGATCTTGATTACTATTAATCTTGAATGACAAGAGTTCACTCTAAACTGTTTACGTGATATCTAGGTCTTTTAATAATTTTGCTGGCTAACATACAAACATCTAGCATATTATTTAGTGAAGGAATAAATCTGTTAATTCTCCTGCTGAAGTATTAATTTTCGCTTCAAAGTAGGTTTCTTTGAATTGTGGTGTTAATTCATATTATAGCTATCATAGAATGAAATTCCTTGATTTCTATGTCTGTTTATTTTGTAGTTTAAGATTGTTAGACTTTTGGGTTGGATATATCCAGATGAAGGATGATTTAGTGGAACAGGTCTACCATCCAGACGCCATCTTGAGAAACAGTAAAACTAAGCTTGATAAACATTATAACAGTATGCTACTTGCCTTACAGCCATTATCAGCTTTACCATTTCAGATGGAATATGACTTGGTGGCCCAAAGTCCAGCCGGACTTCTGAACTGTTCTAGTGAAATAAAATCTGAATCAAGCTTCCAAAATGTAACAGATAGTGTTGATTGGGTGAAATCTGGTGTTCCCAAGAGTGTGTCTGATAGTGAACAGGTAGTTGGCTGTACTAAGAGCAGGTTACCCATACCCAAAGCTAAGTCTGTACCATCACATATGGGCCCAACTGTAAACAAAGGTTATAGTGGTGCCAAGAAACTTACTACTTTCACAGGAGTAAGATCGGGTTTGAATCAAATAGGACAGTTACGTGTTGACCTTTCAAAGGTCAAATTGCCAAAAGATGAGTTGCCGTCACAAGAAAGAAGTACCGATTCTTCATCATCTTCTAGTAGTGAATCTAAGGGAAATAAAACAACATGGGCTAAACAATCACCTACCCGCAGTCCAACCAAAATTTTGTGTAATGGAGAATTTGTGGAACCCAAATCAGCCTCCGCTGATGTTGGTAATGTCACTGTCACAGGTTTAACCCAGAAGTTCATTGAAAATCGCAGTCTGGAGAGTTCTGCTGGTAGTATTGAGAAGGGAGATGACTCTAGCTCTAGTCTGTCAATGAAAGCTCTGTTGGATGAATCACCAACCAAAGCAGCAGCCATTGTGAAAAAACCTGAGCTGCCAAAACTTTCACCGAAGAAAACTTTGGACATTACAACATTGATAGATAAACTTTTGCTGTCGAACAAACAACCAGTTATTGTTAAACCAGTGGTAAAACGACCAGCTTCTTCAGCTAGTGATCTGAAAGTGGATTCATCGGAAAGTGATGCTGTTGTAGGATCGGCTGGCTTTGACACTAAAAATGTGAATAAAATTGACAGTAAGGTTTTGGCTGATAGTGTAGATGAAATTGGTGACGATATTTTGGGTAGTGAAGAGGCAATAACGCAAAACACTGGTTCGTGTGTAAGCATTACAGGCAGTGCTTCTAACTATCAACCAAATACAACATTTGCAGTTATTGAAGCCAGTCCTATTATGCATGTTCAGTTTGTGACGCCTAAAGTACCTGAAAGAGCCATTTTTAATGATCATGTGAAAGGATGTGGCCAGTCAGATCTTGTCCTGAAACGTGATGATTTCAGATTAACTGAATTCAGGTAAAATATATTTTGAGAGAATAAAAATGAGGATATTTAGATAATCGTTGTGTTTTTGTTTTGATTTTTTGTAAAAATGGATTTATTTTGAGCTTTGCTGTGAAACCTTTATTTGTTGATCTGTAAATGTGATTGTATGGAGACAATATTTGTCTCTTCTATTTAGATATACCTGTATTATTCACTATACATAATATCCTAAGCACTAAGTTTTTTCCTTGGTATCTTTTACGCTGCAATATCATCATGTGATTTCTTTTGTTATATAGGTTGTTGAATGTGAAGTAATAACTGTGGCATCCAATATTTTGCATGGTAATTTTCATTTTGTTATGTTTATTTTACTCATCAATAACTTTTGCACTTTTTTGTGAGCAGTATACAAAGTCACATCTGAAGACAGTACTTGTTGCATTTGTTGTTGCATGATTGTTGTGTTTATGTATTGCAGATATTAATGAGTGTCACATTAACCAGCTTTGTAAATATATCTTGAATATATATGCTCTACATAATAGTATATTAAATTGCTGTTTGTGCAACATAAATTTTAAAAATTAAACTGAGAATCAAGCGCAGGAAAGATAAATATAAGCTTCTACTATCTGTTTAAACTAAAGGGATATGAGGCGATAGTAGCAAGGAAATTTCATTTTGGCTTCAATCTATTTTATTCGGTTCAATACCAACCTTTCAAATAATGAAATGTGAAAATATATTTATATCAAGTAGTTGTTGAGGTATCTTATATTTCAAATGCTGTTTGGAAAGAAGTGACTCTTGTAAGAAGTAAACATTGCATGTAATCCTCTGCCATTTACCAACAAAAATATCTACAATTGCCAAATTTTCTTTCAAGCAATTTCTTGATATAAACAATGGAAGCTACAAAATAATGGCCTGGGATTGTGATTGACTAAATTATCATTAAATTATCTAAACTGGGGTACTGTTTAATATTTTAAACAGGCAAGAAAATTATATTCTTTTAATTTAATATATGTATTTAATACCTTGTGGAAACAGTTGTGCATCCCATGGTCTGTTTATAAATGAGAGATATAACATGATGCACGATGCACAACCATTGCATGGTTTGATTCTATTTATTATCACAATCTAACACAATTATAACATCTAATACATTCTTATTTACAGATATAGTATAGCTTTACAATCATATGATCCTGATGACATGAATCATCTGTCATATGAAGATGGAGATATTCTAGAAGTTTTGGCTCAACTAGATTCGGATTGGTTATATTGTGCTCGAGGTTCACAGGAAGGACTAGTCAAGATCACTTCTGTTCGACCAATCTCAGCAGAAGACGAATTCAAATTAATGCATAATGATTTTTATAAGTAATCTATTTCCTTTTCTGGGAGGGTGGAATAACCTTTGAAATTATTTATCTAGTTTTTGAAGCAGCTAATGCGAACATGGGATTATTAAACGAACGATAATAAAGCACATGAAATTGAAAATAATATATTAATCTTTAACCCAGCATGCTGTTATTCATGAATGTTCTATCTATTTATATATAATATGCACTTATTAATATGAACAAATAGTGCAATATTTGAACTTGTTACTAAAATTAGATAATTTATAGTCTATTATCACTGGTAGAGTGATTATTTAGAATAAAGTTTTTGGTGCAATATTTACCTTGTATTATAATCTATCCTTTTCTTTATATAAATATACGTCAACTAAACAATTTGTGCTGTATAGTATTGAAGTATGTATAAAATATATTTATTCCATTTAATATGTAAAAGTAATAACAACTGCTGCAATTTAACATTCAAAATTTACATACATGTAATTGTAAAAATTTCCTTAAAATGGAGAAAATGACAACTGATTTATTTCATGTTAAGATTGTGTGTTGTGTTATTATTTATTACGTTATTTCAAGTAAATGTTATTGTCCTTTTAGTGCTGTGATTTTTTTGGGAGAATATTAAATTGTAAAAAATGGTCATTTAGAAAAACCTGTATGCAAGTTGTTTTGTATAATTTTTTCTTAATAGGAAATGTGTCTATCGTTAAAATAATTTATTATCAATGTTAAATTTGTACTTGTATAAAGATTTATTTGATAATCAATTTGAAATTTTTTGCATGTGCATGCTCCAAATTACATGTATTATTCCATTATTTGAAATTTAAACAATGCCCTATTTGGACAGCGTGTTGATTTTTGGTTTAGAAACTTTTTATGGAATATTTCTGAACTTAATTAAATTTGTTTGAAACAATTATATTATTTTCTTTTTGTTTCAAAATTTGTTCTTCATTATTTATAAATGAAGATAACTTTATACTATTATTATTTGCTTTAATTGCTAGCTTTGTCAATTTTAATCATTTGCAATATACAAGACATCATAATTATTTGATTTATATTTAAATAAGATAACCCTTCATTAATTAATATTAAGATGTAATTACTTTTAGAGATAAAGACCAAACCATTTAATTAATGTTTTATTTAATCACCAGTAGTTGTAGAGTATGACTGTATTAGATGGGAGTATAATATCATTCTATATAGGATATTGATGTAGAATTATACAGTGAACACAAAAACCAGTATGGGTTTTATAATAAATAACCCCAGGGTTTCATTGGTTTTTCAATATAATATCAGCTTTTGCTTCAATTTCAAGTGTGCAATATTGTATTACCATATTCTTGTCTGCAGTTACTACAATAAATCATTACATTTAACTCTCACATAATTTTTTTGTTTTTTCTCTTGAAACAAATAAAGGATCTCTTACGTTTCTTTAAAAATGAAGTGTAACTGTACTACTTTTCTTCACAAACCAGGCTAAATCAGACTGGCATACACCATGCAGTGAGGGAATATTTGGTCAGATAGACTACAGATTACTCTTAGTTTGAATTAAAACTATCAAGGTTTGTTTTTTTACATCCATGCCCATGTGTACATGTGTACATTTTGTCCTGGCCAGACTCTTGTCTGCACTACAAGGGGGGAAACCATATTTACTGACTGAACACATCAGTTATGAGTGAGTATATCAGCCAGAGATATATCTATGGACAAAATGATGATGAACAGCAGACTTTAATTGGGATAGATGATAATTTGAGTCAAGTATTATACATATTTGTCAGAAACACCACTGCTTGGGCAAAATTCTCCTCCCCTCACATAATACCTGATAAGTAAGAATATGGCCCTAGTAAAAAGCGTCAACAAACTTTTTAATCCTGTTTCATTCCATGGATAAGTACCACTATATTAAACCAACATGTATCTTACTACAGAATTGGAACATTAAATGGTTTGGGAATTAGAAGCCCACTCGAATAGTTGGAATATCTCAGACAAGAGTAATGCTTACGCTGCATGATATGCAATCTGATTAAAGTACAGATCTATATTTTATTTTTTTATACTTTCGGTGGCCTCTACAACATGAGGATCTGACCAGTTGTAGTGGAAGGTTGCGTCAGAGGTCATACGAGCGGTTTTGGTTTTTAACCGTATGACGTCAGACATTTGAATAATCAGTGTTGATGTTTCTAGTGGGTTACCGGGCCACAGTTCCGTGCACCTCATGCCAAAAAATTGCCGTAACAGACTGTTTCATTGGCAAATCCCTCATGCAAAAAATTGCCGTAACAGACTGTTTCATTGGCTAATCCCTCACATCATCCAGAACGCGGGTTATATAACAACTCTTACAGATCCTGTTGTAGTAAAGACAAAACGAAATTTAGGATCTGTGTTGTAATCAGATTGCATGATATGTCAACATTCCTGCTTTGAATGAAATAGTAGTTTTTATAATGAAGAATATGAAATGGCCAATATGCAACCCTAGATTCCATCAGTACCATTCTATCCATGAAATAAATGTTCATACCTAATCTGAACAAATCTCATAAGAATAAGTCTGAAAGAGAGGGAGAAATGGGGTTCAACGTCCACCCAACACAAACTAGGTCAATTCAAGACTAACACATGGGTAAATTTTATTTCAATAATTTGCTTGCACGTAGGGGTTTTTAGCAGTGGGAGGAAACCGGAGGACCCAGAGAAAACCCACGAGGTTGGACAGGCTGCCCTACCCCTTGTCACATACAACCGAGGAATCGAATCCCAGCCAGTTGACTCATTAACAGACTGTATGATACAGTGTGCACGTGCTAACCATTCGCCCGCTGCCCCCCCCCCCCCCCAGTCTGAAAGAGGTTTAAAAAAAAAAGAATATTCACGAAAACAAGAGAGTGACAACAACCCTATGGGTTGGTCATGCTTTTACATCATTAGGTGCCATCATCTCTTAGAAAGTAATGATCATGACAAATATGAACAAAATCAAAAGTTGCCATCTTTAGGCCATAAGGAATAGGTATGCTAAGTTCCAAGATGATCCATTCAGAATATTGGGCTGAAAGCAATACAAACAAAAATTAGACGTGGCTCTGGCACTTTGGGTGGGCATGCACCAAAAACAATAGGGTCATCCTTAGGGTATGAGGAATAAGCTTGCAAAGTTTCAAGACGATCCATTAAGAATTGTGGCTTATAGGCAATATACCCACACGCATTTTGAGTGTGGACATATAACCAGTGGTTGCCAGGCAAGATACGCCCACATTTTGCAAGAGATGGATAAAGAACAAGCTAAAAACAAATGCGATTTTTCGTACAATCAAGGGCCATAATCCAGAAAGTTATTGTCTGAAATGCGCAAATATCGAAAGGGACAACTGAGATCTTTTGCCAAAATCTGATAAAAATTGTGATCTGTAGAGTATCCACAATTTGTGGACGGATGTGGGCATATAAAAATACAGTGTAAGTAGAATATTTGTAGACTGAAGAGTAAGAGCAGTCAGTGAGTAAGATGCTGTTGACTTTGTATTTAATTACATGGACATAAATATCTGCTCAAATATATACACAAAAGATAGGTTGCCAGTCAACGAAACATATGGCATACTCCCACAGCAGCTAAATCGTCCTGCATAGTTAATCTTTGTAGGTAATGGGAGGCATTTACAAGATATTTTCATACAGATCAGATTATAATTTTTGTCGTTTGACGGTTCACAAGGTTCTACAAACTGAAACAGCAGCCTTAATTCTGGAAAGAAGGATTTTAATTCTGTAAGTAATTTACAGAAATTGTGGAAATTTTGACACGCTTTTTCGTTTTACTAATTTTAATAAAGCATAATATAAATTTTATACAGATCGGATGATTACTTTTGTCGTTTGAGCATTCACAAGGTTCAACAAAGTAAAACGAGGGCCATAACTCTAGAAGTAATGGAGGAAATTGCTGAAATTCAATGACTTCTTCATTTCACTAATTTAGATAATATATATAATTTCATACAGATCGGATGATAACTTTTGTCGTTCGAGCATTCACAAGGTTCAACAAAGTGAAACAAGGGTCATAATTCGAGAAGAAATGAACAGAAATTTCTGAAACTCAATAGGCTTCTTTGTTTCACTAATTTAAATGATACATATAAATTTTATACAGATTGGATGATAACTTTTGTCGTTCGACCAATCACAAGGTTCAACAAAGTGAAACAAGGATTATAACTATAGAAGAAAGGAACGGACGCCAAGGGCTATGACAATATAGCCACATTTCGATGTGGGCGTATAAAAATTATTCTACATATCACTGTAATTCAAGAAATCAACAAGAACAAGTCCTGTTAATTTCAATATATTCTGCTCCTGACAACATAACAATGATGTAATTATCTAACTGATAGTCAGCTGTCCATTATCAAAATGCTGAGACAGCTTATTTTTAATTTTCTACATCATATAAATGCTTCACATAATTTACGGTAAATAAAAGTACAAACATTAAAAAAGAGTTTAGTATTTATTAAGACATGAACATAGATGATTTCAACTGTATATGGTAAATCACTGTACAACAGTGGGTACTGTAATATCATACCAGTAATGACTGTTGGAAAGTAAATTAATGTTTGGCTTGGACCTGGTGTTGACCAAGAATGTTCCTCAGGATTTTTAAGCATGGTTTCCACTTGTCAGTATTGCATAACAGAGGGCCCGACAAGGAACAGTGTCTAGTCGTTTGGGCAGGACAAAAAACTATGGTCATGTGTATGCATTGGCATTCATTCTGACCATTCTTCACATGTCTACAAAATCTTTGGTCAACATTTATTAGTTCTCATATAATGATGCAGATCATTATTATTTCACAAGTAGTGAACACACAAGAACTTAACACACATTTATTTCACACCCTTGAATATTCTCATCTATTATAGCCTCTATCTTGACGTTGATATGACTGTCTGTCTTGATTGTCATAACCTCTATTCCTATTATCATAGCCTCTGTCCCGATTATCATAGCCTCTGTCTCTATTACCATAACTTCTATCCCGATTATCATAACCACGATTCCGGTTATCATAACCTCTATCTCTTGAATCTCTATGACCACCATAGCTGGATCTATTATCTCTATTCCATTGTCTGTTATCATTTCTATTACTGTGAAAATAGAATATAATGTATGAGTTCACATATTTCAAATACACAGGACATGAAGGAATACAATAAAACAATTATTGCATGTTTCCATTAGGACTCATTGTCTTTATCTTGGAAATCATACAATCGTAAAAAATATGGGACATTTATAATAAATATTTAAACTTCAACTCGGTTGCTAAGACACAGGGAATCAGAGTTGGGAGTTAATTTTCCTCTGAAGCAACTATGGTATATGGTGTGCCTCAAGGATCTGTGGTCCAATACCATTCATTGTCTATATCACCAGTCACATTGTGAGAAAGTATGTTTTTAAATTCCATCTGTATGTTGATGAAACACAATTATATATATCTTATATTAAACTTAAAGTTCAAATTGAAATTGGAAGCCTGTATAAAGTTAGAATATGGATTGTCAAAAATTTGTGAAAATTAAATATGTTAGAGGAGTGATTCTTGACACAATCATGGAAGCACTTGTAATCAATGTTATAAAACCAACTGTTTTCATCAATCTGAATAAAACACAGATCCTATTTCGATTCATTTTTTATAGTTCAGAATATTGTTGGAAGAGTTGTTATATAACAGGCATTCTAGTTGATGTGAGGAATTAGCCAATGAAATGGTCTGTGACGGCAAGTTCTTGACGTGCTCTGCACGAAACTGTGGGTAAACCCCTAGAAACGTCAACGCTGAATGATTATCATAAGGTCAAAAACCACTCGTATAACTCCGACGCAACCTCCCAGTGCAACTGTTCAGATCTTCATGTAGTGTAGCCCATTGAAAGTATAAAAAAAAAAAAACGAAATATACATCTGTATTTTAATCAGAATTCACTTGATGCAACAAAATCACTTGTTAACAAAATCATTGAGACCATCAAGTAGGCTGAGGCTATGCTGCATTTCTTTTCTTAGCTGATTTCATAATTATATAACAGATAATGTAATTAACAATAAAGCTGTCAATCAAAACAATGTAACAATATACTTATATATATACCCATCTGGCATTATACCTACCCTTGACGATTCCAATCATTTCTTTTTGGCTTCACATACCAGTTTTTAGCACATGGTGGACCAATAACCGGCCTTGTCAATGTTTGTTTGTAGTCTGGATCATCTTCTGTATAACGATTTTGAAACATCTCTTCATAGATAGAAATATCAGTCGCAGACTGATCATCTTCACTTGCCATCATGGAAACAAAGCACTGACAGGAATTAAGCTGTGTCTTCTACTTGTCTGAAATACATGTAAAAAATCAATATAACAAAAAAATATATATCACATTACACATAATTATCACTCAGATTGTACTGGTGCAGAACTTTAGCATTCGGGGGCAATCAATTTATAGCCAAATGAAGGAATGAATGACATTAACAATGTCAACAGAAACATACTACCAGTAATAGTATTTCACGAGTAAGGTTGGAGTAAATATTGTCCATCTGGCTTGATAACTGACATGACTGTAATCTGGGATATGATCAGCTAAACTCCCTAATAATGGGCAAATTAATTAATACCAATCAGTCACTTTAAAAACAGTCATATAGTAGACCTACTAGTAGGAAATGAAATGAAATGAAATGGGGTTTAACGTCCTGCTGTTTTGCTCCTACTGCCTGGGCTAGTGAAGACATGCACTGCATACGCCAAGCATGCAATGTGCTATGAGGGAAATTTTGCCTGGACAACGTCACTACGGCTAACTGTCACAGGTTCTTTTACATGCACGCCAATGTGTACAAGGGACCTCATTTTTTTTGTCCCATTCAAATGACTATAGGTTGTCCTTTGCCAGGCCCTCCGTATCACTGACAAGGCCAAGGGGGAACCACGCCGGAAAAGCTTGATGAACTTTCTCAGCCAACGCAGGGATCGATCACAGAATCTCCTGGTTAACGAGCCAATGTCCTACCCACTGAAAAGCTGTGGCTCCCCTTACTACTACTACTAGTAGAGTAGAGTAGTGTAGGACTTATTCATAATTATTCAATCAGTGGAACTGGAACTTAATCAAGTAGAAGTGTCGTTGTTGTGTAACTGTAAGACAAATAAACCGGCGCCAGAGGCCAGGTTAAAAATAACCAACGTTGTTCGGTTCTGTATTTGGTTATGGGATGTTAGCTTGGGAAGGTTTATCAATCTTATTAGCTCACCTTAAAACGTAAAACAAAATGTAAATAAATAATAGCAAAATTTACAAAATATACTGCGTGTTGTGAAAGTCAAGGGACTTAACTCATAAGATAGATTTAGACGCCAGCAACAAGTCCAATTAATCTTTGTTTCGCACCACATTTTGACAACCGAGACTAAAATTAGAGTAATTTCCCTTTAATTATTCTGTTCCTGAAATTGAACTGTGTTAGGCACAAATACACAATTATTCGGTATATTAGTTCATGCATGGTATTTTACTTCTATAACGTTTAGGTTATTGTTAAACTTGGTGTTATTATCTGTTATCAGTTATGAAAGTACAAAAATGTATCCACAACAAAACATTAATGTTCATTGTCAGTTAAAGGTTTCAACTCAATTTTCAAGTAATTAAAAGAATGCAGATGCTTTCCCCCAGAAAAAAAGAAAAATCTGAATAAACTTTGTGATTTATTTCACATTCAACATCATAAATTTTCTTTAAAATCTTGTATCCATAAGGAAAGTTAACACTGTCACAAAATTTTAACAATTGCATCCAAACCCCCAGCATAATACTCAGCTTTGAGTGAGTCTGGGTATTAATACAGAAACAGAAACAGAAACAAACAAATAACCTGTGAAACTGATGGTTGAATGAGACAGGCGCATAAAAATCCACCTGTGTCCGTAACTGGACTCAGTGATTTTTGATCCCGTTTCTCTAAGTCTCCATCACCAGTCAGTGGCGTTGAAAGCAATTGAGAAGGTGGGTGGGTGGAGATCAAGATCTATTTGTGGTTTATTCGTTTGGACACAAGTGTTGAAATTTTGTGACAGTTCCTTGCCTCTTTTGATTTGGGGATCTGCTTCAATCAAGCGAGATTGACAAGACGAATGTATCTGTCACTATGATTTCAGACATTGCTTGTATAACTTGTAGTTTGCTATTACAAGATTTTTTAAAACTAAAAGACAATATTTTATGTTGAGATATAATTTAACAGATATTTTAATATGTTAAGTAAATAATCTGCTTGTATATGGCGGTATATTAGAATCAAAATTCTAACGTGCTATTGTCTAAATTCTGACTTCTGTTTATGTAATTTAACTTCTATTCATGTAATTTCTAACTTCTATTCATGTAATTTTTAAATTAAGACAATTTATAATCCAATTTCTTTATTTGTTCAGCGTAAATTTTAATTCTATTTCATCTTATTTCTATTATTTAGATGAAAAACGTCTTCTTCATTGATGCTTTACACCTTTAGCATGAACATCAACGAATTTAGAATTTTCTACACTTATGCCTAGCAACAATCATTATCAACATAATGGTCCCGATCGGGTGCCAAATTGAGTTCACGGTGGTGACAGCGAACGACGTCATAATGATGGTTGCTAGGTACTAGGTATCAAAATTTTAAATTTGGTCAACATTCATGATTATCGTGTAAAACGACAATGAAGTAGACATTTTTCGTCTTAATAATAGAAATAAGATGAAACAAAATTAAAATTTACTCTGAACAAATAAAGAAGTTGGATTATACATTGTCTTAATTTAGAAATTACATGAATAGAAGTTAGAAATTACATGAATAGAAGTTAGAAATTAGACGATAGCATGTTAGAATTTTGAATCTAATATACCGCCATCCTTGTGAGGATATGTTTTGTTGATTAACCTGTAGTTTTTTATTCCTTATCAGGTTTTGTTGAAGATTCGGACATAATTATTTAAGAGAGCTTCATTCATGTTTGCCAGCAGCACTCATTTAAAATTTTGGACCTTCAGTGGTGAAAATGAAATAAAGCAACTGAGAGCAGAAACAAGTGAAAAATATCTTGCAAAACATGCCAGTGGTTTGTCGGTAAATTATAACATTATAAATTTTCGGCAAATTGTAATTGAAATATTTATACATATGCACATCATACTAATATGCATAAAAGTATAATTTTTAATCCTTGGATGCAAATAAACTATTTTTTTACACAAAAATGACAAAAAAAATGTTTTATTGATGCGACTGGTGTTAGATTTCAGGAGCTCTTTTATGACACTAGGTTTCTCATCATATACAAAACACTCATTTGGTTGACTGAAACATGTGTTTGTAGAATGGAAAAATAGTCAATCCTAAAACTTGCAGTTTTATTATACTGGTTGACTGAGAGGTTTGTATACTATAGTCTCAAACCACCATTGATAAAACACCAAAATGTCAGCAATCAAAAACTTCATCTAAATATTTATGCCATTCAGTCACTGAATTTTTGTTAAATATTTAGGAAGAAGAAAGAGCTAAAGAATTCTTGACACAAAGTGAAGAAAGACAACTGGTCAGACATTTTGAATATGTATTAAAAGAGTTCTGTGGTAAATTTCAACCTCCAATGCCCAAATGTGTTGTTGTAAGTAACCATTTTACTTCTTCTTTAAGGAGACATTATGTAAGATTTAGGTAAAGCACTGACGACCATTCTTGCTATTAATAATAGTTAAAAAATACATAATGCAAAATGAATATATTGAAAATTTCATTCAAATATCTTTATTCTGGGCGAAGTTATAAGTTTTTATACGCCCACATTTTCATGTGGACGTATATTGTCGTCGCTCCTGTCCATCCGGACGTCCGTCCACAATTTGTTTGTGGACTCTCTACAGGTCACAATTCTTGTCCGATTTTGACGAAACTTGAAATATAGCTTTATCCCAAAAAAATCTTGGCTGCTTTCGATATTGGCATGTATCGGATCGAAACTTCATGGATTATGGCCCCTGTTTGTACGAAAAATCACGTTTTTAGCTTGTGGACCCTATAGAGGTCACAATTTTTTATCTGATTTTGTTGAAACTTGAAATGTAAGTTTATAACCCAAAGATCTCGGTTCCTTTTGATATTTGCGCATATCGGACCCTATAGAAGTCATAATTTTTATCCGATTTAAAAAAACGTATTATTATATCACCGTTACACCCTAAGGACGACTGAGTTTGAATTTCGTGAAAATCGGCCCAAAATTGACAGACAAAATGGCCGCCGTTCGTTCTCAAATAGCGTAAAAATATGGTATATCAAGGTTGTGGACCCTATAGAGGTCACAATTTTTATCCGATTTTGTTGAAACTTGAAATGTAAGTTTATAACCCAAAGATCTTGGTTCCTTTCGATATTCGCGCATATCGGACTGTAACTTCCTGAATTATGGCCCCTGATTGTACGAAAAATCGCGTTTTTAGCTGGTGTACCCGATAGAGATCATAATTTTTATCCGATTTAAAAAAACGTATTATTATATCTTCGTTACACCCTAAGGACGACTGAGTTCGAATTTCGTGAAAATCGGCCCAAAATTGACAGACAAAATGGCCGCCGTTCATTCCCAAATAGCGTAAGAATATGGTATATCAAGGTTGTGGACCCTATAGAGGTCACAATTTTTATCCGATTTTGTTGAAACTTGAAATGTAAGTTTATAACCCAAAGATCTTGGTTCCTTTCGATATTCGCACATATCGGACCGTAACTTCCTGAATTATGGTCCCTGATTGTATGAAAAATTGCGTTTTTAGCTTGTGGACCCGATAGAGATCATAATTTTTATCCGATTTAAAAAAACGTATTATTATATCACCGTTACACCCTAAAGACGACTGAGTTCGAATTTCGTGAAAATCGGCCCAAAATTGACAGACAAAATGGCCGCCGTTCATTCCCAAATAGCGTAAGAATATGGTATATCAAGGTTGTGGACCCTATAGGGGTCACAATTTTTATCCGATTTTGTTGAAACTTGAAATGTAAGTTTATAACCCAAAGATCTTGGATCCTTTCGATATTCGCGCATATCGGCCCGTAACTTCCTGAATTATGGCCCCTGATTGTACGAAAAATCGCGTTTTTAGCTTGTGGACCCTATAGAGGTCATAATTTTTATCCGATATAAAAAAAAGTATTATTATATCACCGTTACACCCTAGGGTCGACTGAGTTCGAATTTTGTGAAAATCGGCCCAAAATTGACAGACAAAATGGCTGCCGTTCGTTCTCAAATAGCGTAAGAATATGGTATATCAAGGTTGTAGACCCTATAGAGGTCACAATTTTTGTCCGATTTTGATGAAACTTGAAATGTAAGTTTATAACCCAAAGATCTCGGTTCCTTTCAATATTCGCGCATATCGTACCGTAACTTCCTGAATTATGGCCCATGATTGTACGAAAAATCGCGTTTTTAGCTTGTGGACCCTATAGAGGTCATAATTTTTATCCAATTTAAAAAAACGTATTATTATATCACCGTTACACCCTAAAAACAGCTGAGGTCGAATTTCATGAAAATCGTCCAAAAATTGACAGACAAACTGCCCGCCGTTCGTTCTCAAATAGCGTAAAAATATGGTATATCAAGGTTGTGGACCCTATAGAGGTCACAATTTTTATCCAATTTTGTTGAAACTTGAAATGTAATTTTATAACCCAAAGATCTCGGTTCCTTTCGATATTCGCGCATATCGGACCTTAACTTCCTGAATTATGGTCCCTGATTGTACGAAAAATCGCGTTTTTAGCTTGTGGACCCTATATAGGTCATAATTTTTATCAGATTTAAAAAAACGTATTATTATGTCACCTTTCCACCCTAAGGACGACGGAGTTTGAATTTCGTGAAAATTGGCCCAAAATTGACAGACAAAATGGCCGCCGTTCGTTCTCAAATAGCGTAAAAATATGGTATATCAAGGTTGTGGACCCTATAGAGGTCACAATTTTGATCCGATTTTGATGAAACTTGAAATACATATTTATAACCCAAAGATCTTGGTTCCTTTCGATATTCTTACATATTGGATCATAATTTCCTGAATTATGGCCCTTGATTGTACAAAAAATCACTTCTTTTTTTGAGCTTGTTCTCTGTCCATCTCTTGCAAAATGTGGGCGTATCTTGCATGGCAACCGCTTGTTGTAGTTTTGACAAGATATCGTAACCACGCTACTGGTATATTCAAGGCTTAGCCTCGCTTCTCCATTTTTAAATTATACGGTATCATTAAATAGCTGAACCATTCTAATCTACTTAAGCTTGGAGCTTATGGTCTTGTCATGTTTATAAATGTCTAATTAATAATTTATATTACATTTAAGGCATAAAGAAAGACATGCAATTGGCAGATTTAGCTCTTGCATAATGCCTGTTTAAGTTTGTCATTATAATTTGAAAATATACTTCTAGTTAAAAAATAAATTTTCATGTTGTGCTGAGAAACCTAATTTCCTTGAGGACACAGCTTTTTTTTTTTTTAACAAATGGCAATTGACCAGTATCTGTTTATATTTCAGGGTACATCTTTAGCGTTCTTCAAGAGATTTTATGTTCACAATTCTGTCATGGATTATCATCCAAGAGACATCATGTAAGATTTTTAAATCAAATCTTTGATTTTATTAGTTAACTGTGTGTTCTAATGTAATTTATAGTACTCTTATAATCATCATAACTTTGTAAATACCAAACAGAATAGAACCATATTTGGACTGATATTCCTTTTTAGATATTCGATTTTCACGGTATTGTGTAGGTGGCAAGGGATTCAAAATTTTGCAAATGATAATCAGAGACTTTAAATATACATTTTGATAATTTTGGCCCACCATTATCTAATTTACGATTAGATTTGTATTTTACAGGTTGACATGTATGTATCTATCATGTAAAGTAGAAGAATTTTATGTTCCAATTGGTCAGTTTGTCAAGAACTTAAAGGGCGATAGAGAGAAATTTGCTGATATAATTCTTGGTTTTGAATTATTATTGATGCAGAAGATTCATTATCATCTTACTATACACAATTCATTTCGTGCTTTAGAAGGACTTCTCATTGATTTAAAGGTAATTAGGCCCAGATTTATCTCACCATTATACTATATAGCAAAGTGGCTTTAAAATTGTTTTGAAATTTGAGACAATTGCTCAAGCAGTGATAAGGAGGAATTCTATCTATATTTTTAGCTGTGCATCAGTTATTCACAGAGCTATGGCACCAGTCCTCAAAAGGATTTTTTGAGATTGGATATTATATTTTGTGAGCTTTAACTTCTCCAGTTCAACAATAATTTATGAAGCATTTGAAATGTAATATTTACATCAACATTTCACAAGTCATTTTGGATTTTACAGACAAGATATAAAGATCATTGTGATGCTGAGAAATTAAGAAAAATAGCTGAGGAATTTATAGATCAATCTCTTGGTACAGATGCTAGTTTAATATTCTCACCATCACAGGTATGTTGTTTACAAATATTTCAACAAGTTTGACTGTAGTTTATCTCATTGTTTGTGAAATGCTGCTTAATGTATTCTGTGATCAAGGGAGAAAGTGATCATAAAATAAATTATGTACATTTTAAATGACACAGAAATGTTTATTTAAATTGTAGGATTATGTCTCCAATATTTGGGTAAATAATTCAATGTGAACATAAACAAGATTTTAATTTGTCAACAACTGGTGCTATGATATGTCATACGCTATTAATAGTGGGCCTATTGTCAAGGTTGATTATAGCTGACAATCAAAATCTCCTGTTTTGTAGAATTCTGTTTTATGATACATGTACATTCTATTTAATTTTTCAGATTGCTCTTTCAGCATTGTTAGCTAGTTCATCTAAAGAAGGAATTAATCTTGACAAGTGAGTGCTTCATGTCCTTTATTATTGTCATGATTTTAAACAAATACAACAGCTTATTAATAAGGGCCCAAATATGCCCTTCCCCTGACCTTCTGCATTTATTATGAAAAATCTAAATTGGCACTACCTACCAAATTTGGTTGCCATCAGTTGAGTTATAATTGGACCAACACTACACAATTACCACTTTCTGTAGTGAAATGGCAAGTTTGGTGAATTTGACAGTTGACAATATACTTTGATTCATTTTATCATGCTGTTACAATATAATTTCAACTGTTTTTATTTCAGTTATGTTACTGGAACATTGTTGCTTGGTTCTTCTGAAGATGATCTACAGAAAACTATTTATCAAGTTAAAAGTAAGTAATGTTTGTGTATGTTGTATTTTAGAATACATTAGGAGATTTTAAATATAGACTCTATATTACACTGTATATAACATTTGAATCCAAAATAAAGATAAAGGTATAGATATAAGTTTAATATATAAGTTTAAATAACATTTGAATCCAAAATAAAGACGTGCAATAATCCTATTTAGCTCTTTATAATGCATCTTTAGTATGATAACTAGTCAACCATGATCCTTTCTCATCTTTCATCAAAATTATCTTCATCAAGATGATGTTTAAGACATTAAACATGATTACTACCGTTAAATTTATTACAGGAATTCGATATATGATTAAAAACCAAGAACCACTACAAAGAGAACTGATTCAAATTATACAGAAAAAACTAGAAAAATGTCGAAACCAGGAAAATAATCCAGAAAGTGAAATGTAGGTATTACTTAAAATATATCGTTTGTTAACTTACATGTATGTATTTAATATAAAACCAAATTACACTGTTTATATTAATAAGATTTAAAAGTTTCTAAAAACAAAATGACTATCTAAACAGTTTGACTTTGGTTGTGTTCTTATTGCTATATAGGCATAAATTTATGTCAATTTGGACCGAACAATACCAATATTTACGGACCATACAAATTGAAGTATTGGCAGAATTTTATTACTGATAATTTGCATGCATATATCTGTACACTTGGGTTTGAATTTTTAAATTTTAACAAGTGAAAGATAACACCATCCCCCTTTCAGTGAGACAATCATATTTGTGTTCAAACTAAAGTTTTACTGTCACAAGTTTTAAATCAGCAAGTTTTAATTGTAGTTATAAAAGAAAAATGGAAGAAATGATAGATGAAGATGATGAAATAAGAACACAGAAAAGAGCCAAATTAAATGAGGTAAATTACGATTTAAATTAAAAAAAAAAGAAACACCAACCAAATACAGTATCTATATATATAGAGATTAATGTATAATAAAATGTTTATGAGGTGCACTTAAACTCATTTATTTTCTGCTCCCACTACAGTTATTTTTTATACACCCACATTTTTATGTGGACCTATATTTTGTCGCCCCTGTCTGTCCACAATTTGTTTGTGGACAGTCTACAGGTCACAATTTTTATCCGATTTTGACCAAACTTGAAATAGGTTTATCTCTAAAAGATCTTGGTTCTTTCGTTATTGGTAACTTCATGGATTATGACCCCTGATTGTACGAAAAATCACGTTTTTATCCAATTTTGATGTATATTTATAACCTAAAGATCTCAGTTCCTTTCGATATTTGCGCATTTTTGACCGTAAATTCTTGGATTATGACCCCTGATTGTACAAAAAAAATTTGCGATTTTAGCTTGTTGACCCCCCTAGAGTAGAGGTCACAATTTTTATCCAGTTTTGATGAAACTTAAAATATATGTTTATATCCCAAAGAACACAGTTCCTTTCAATATTCGTTCACATCAGACCATAACTTTGTTGATTATGGCCCCTGATTGTACGAAAAATCAGATTTTTAGCTTGTGGACCCTCAAGAGGTCACAATTTTTATCCGATTTTAAAAACTGTTTAAAATGGCACTGTTGCACCGTAATGAATTTCGGGAAAGTCAAAACTAAACTACCCGACAAAATGGCGCTCCTTGTACACGAATAGTGTAAAAGTATGCAATACGAAGGTTATGTCCAATTTCAAACTTAAAATATATGTTTATGTCCCAAAGATCTCAGTTCCTGTTGATATTCGCACATTTCAGATCCTTACTTTTTTTTTAAAAGCTTGTTCTCTATCCATCTCTTGCAAAATGTAGGTGTATCTTGCATGTCGACCACTTGTTTAACCCTTTGAACCCGACTGGCCAATTTTCCGACCAAGATAATAACATCTATATCCCAGCTGGCCAGTTAACAAGCATAATTATTTTTATGCTATTTGTTGTGTACTTGTTGACTTATGTCATAAGATAATATGTGAACAATCTAGCTTGTAGTGCCTTCAATTGTGACTTACCGTAATAGAAGAATTATTTCAATGTAATCATATTTTTCAGGGAAGAGAGACAGACCATGAGTTGTTTGGACCTCTTAATCCGATATAAAACCCTTTAAGATGATTGTAATGATATTTTCATCATCAAATTATTATTATTATATCATGGAATAAGAATGTTAGAACAGCTATAAACCATTGTATACACATGGTTGAAAAGATCACAGATAGAATAGTGAATGAAATGGATTGATGGATATCTGTATATTTGTTGAAAACTTGTGTTCTGGAGGGGAAATGAATTCATGTATGGATTATAATAGGTTAAAATGGAGTATCAGTAGAGACGTTTTATTGAGTTACCAGATAACTCCTGTTCTTTATTACTTATACAATTGTTAACATTTGAATAAAAGAAACTTAAAATTGTTTTGTTTTTAAAAATGTCTTTATTATAAATGAATGAAAGGAAAGACTTTATTTACAAAAATAGTTTTAAAAAAATAAATTCTGATTAGTAGTATATGTTTCCCTTCGGCTAATAGATAGTAGATCACTAACTCACCCCTCCCCAATTAGTCAAGTATCAGGTGTTCTAGAAATAATATGCATATCCTGCCTAATGTATGACACCATCACAACTTAACTAGACAGAAAAAGGCAGCGATCACAAGATTATTTTTTGACATCGTACCAATTTCCTGACCATAAGTTGGCATTCAAGACAATATTAATTACAAACTTGAATTAATGTCAAATTTTACTTTATAAGGTTTCACACCTTGAAAAGCTCTTGATTTTATCCAAAATCCCAATCTACTTTCAATTTCAAAATGGACAGCAACTCTGTTGCATAAGCTGGATTTCCCTAGAATTTTGTCCCTTGGGAGCTCAGAAGCCCAAAACTAATCCTTGAAAATTACTTCATTGATACAGAAAAATCTTTTTAATTTCTGTATGTGCAGTACTAGTGACAACAAATTATGTTAAGTTATCATTAAGTTATTTGAACACAGACAGGTTATTTGGTTGTATTTTAATGACTGAGTCATATTAATCCTTGCTACGTGTATACGGTACTGTACAATCATCAGGTCTTTGAAGACGCCTGTGTATTATAAACATGGTAGCGATACCAATAACTAGTCCTACCACTAACATACCAACACCAACTCCTGCCATTGCTCCTGTAATCAAAACAATAATAACAAATAATTAGTTTACTTTGAGGTCCAAATGTTTTAAATATCAGAGTACATGTATAGCAGGGCTTTCAAGTTTTGCCAGTCGCTCAATTTTGGAAGTATTTAATTTACTTTGGATAAGCAAGATATTTTTTATCCAAAGAATATGACAACTTTTATATATATATTCAAGTGTTTTTACACATACAAACATTAAATTTAACTGTATTTATTGTGTTCTAAGGTTAAATTGTTTGAAATTCTAATTTTATGGCATGTAAATTGATAGATGGGTAAGTTCTCTAGTCAGACAATATGACTGAAGCAAGAACCTTGATGTATGGCTGTCTTCATTAGCCCAGTCAGAGCAGAACAGTAGGATGATAAACCTCATTTCATTTCATTTCCAGATGTATGGTAGCCTTAAAGGAGATAATCCACTTACTTCTATATATTTACAATAGATAGATTACAATGACAGCTACTTAAATCAACTTGTAAAAAAAATTCAAATCTTCCCCTTTCAAGTGCCCTACTGAACATCAATGTGTTTATTATGTCACTAATGCCATCAGGACTACTTATTATCAATTAGAAATACACAATTATCTTGAAGCAACAAAATAAACAAATTGTACCAATCCCCCACAAAACATTGCCATTAATGACGTTTCTAGCACTGATGACATCGTTCGTTGGTCTGAATGTTTGCTTCTACCTGGGGTGATATCAGAAATATATAACGGTGAAGGGGAAAAACAGAACGATTCCCCCAGTAAAAAATTATAATTACCTGAAGAAAAGGTGTCTGATGTAGAGATGATATTTGTGATTGTTGATACTGAATCTGCTTCAATGTAAAACATCTGAAAATACAACATTCAGGGTGTAAAAATATGCCATGCTTAGTAAAATAAGTATATGTATTCATTATTCACTTGTATTTATAATAATTAACTGTATATTACAAGGTATGGTTCATATGTGTATTCACACACCTCCAGATTACATATGTTTGAAGCTCAATATTTCCTGTATCAACCTTCTGTAAAGTCATTAGGGGTTTTGAAAACAACTGACTGATTAATTTGAAATAATGGACCTAATATTATTGTTCAAGTACAGCGATTTTATTGGTCTAAATAAAAATAAGTTGCTAACACATCTGGAGGTAGAATATGTTGAACTTTCAAATTGTCTGTTGCAAGCAGTCATTGAGTTGGTCAATATACTGCCCTTACCTCTCACCTATCAACAAACTGTTGGTATTGTACAGTGGCCTAAATTTAATATAAATGTGTTGGACCAATTTGTGTTGGGAATTTTCACAATAAATAAATACCTTATTGTTGTGGGGATAATGAACTGAAAACTGTGGATTAGTTGAGGCCCCAACAACTAATTTATGAAATGCTTCTCCCACATTAGCAGAATTATCTACAAAAAAATAATTGAAAACACATACAATTCTATTTTAAGTTATAGCCATTTTGAGTTTAATTTACAGATTGTAGTGTGTTCTTTTACACTATTTCTTTTGACTCTTGGGATATGTTAGTTCTAATATAATATGATTTAATAAAGTAGTATGTTGTTATATATTTGGTAACTTTACCTGATGAGATTGGTGATTTATCCAATATAGAAAATAGAACATTTATCTTGTCACCTCCTGTAATCTAATAATTATATAAAATTAAAATCATTATAAAATAATATCACCTGGTAGATTGAAAGATCTGATAATAATTATTTTTATAGCATTAATATGACTGACGATTATCCAGACGTGATATTTGATTAATAATAATCAGTAAATATTTATATTAATAAATGAAATGGAATGGGAGGGATTAATGTCCTACTATTTGGGCTACTGAAGACGGGCATAGGCCATGCAGTGTGCTATGAGGAAAGTTTTGCCTGGACAGTGGTGTTCTGTTTTTTTTTGTCCTATCTGAATGACTAGACACTGTTCTTTGCCAGGCCCTGGCACCACTGACATGGCTAAACCAAGCTGAAAATTCCTAGGGAACTTTATCGACCAACCCCCGGATCAAATCCGAGACATCCTGGCTTGCGAGCCAGCATCTCATGCAATGATCCACCACCACTCCATTATATTAATAAACATGAGAAAAATGATATAACCATACCTGTAAATGAGCTATACGTAATGGTTTTACACCACTTAATTTAGCTAGTTTACTTCTAGTAGCTGTATAAAAATATGATCTGTAACCTTCAACATCCTTTACATAATCACCTATAACCATTGATCAAAATAAATATACAACAAAAACATTCAGAAATATTTAACAGCAATAAATTGTAAATTCCATTACAGATAGGAATGGTTTTTAATATCTTTGTTGACACTTAACTTAGGTTATTTGGAAATGAACATACAGTAATTTTTTATTTCTATCCTTATTCAATGCAAGGAGATGAATTTTGCCCAGAAAGTGGAGTACCGGTATCTAACTACTCTTCTTTGAATTCCATCTGCAAAGTAATCTTTTACATGCACTGCCAATTTGTACATGGGACATCCCTTTTTTCTCCCATTCTATTGACTACACGTTCCTAATTAGCCCTGCAGACACCATCCCTGACAAGTGAGAACTGGTCTTAAAACAGACTTATAGACATCCAATATTAACACAACAATGCATTACTATGTATTATAATACTATATGAAGTAGTTAGTCAAGTACTGCATTTAGAAGTTAAAACTTTTACCTTTAATTGTCAACATGATGTTCAGTTTGTTTGGACCATCTGAATAACAAAGACTAATGTCATATATATCCAGATCAGAATGGGTTGGTTGATAATTGTAGAAATGAACAAACTTCTCAGATCCAGAGTCCTAATTTTGAGAAAAAATAAATAAAATGGTGGATTATTATCAAAAACTGTAATAAATGTAATGTTCTCACATATCCAGTACCTCTTATATAAATATAAGATCTCTATGGTTGAAGAAATATTTCAGTGTGAACTGTGAATACTTTTTAGTACAGACAGGGGGAGAGAGAAATGGGGTTTACCGTCCACTCGACACAAAGTAGGTGATTTGCATTTAGGAGTCTTTGGGAAATCAGAGGATTCAGAGAAAACCATCAAGGTTTGACAGGTAACCCAACTTCTTGTCACTTACAAGCGGGGAATCAAAACCCTGTCACTTTACTCAATGACAGACCTTGTGATTGTTAAACCATTCAGCCACAACCCCCCACCCGTATCCACTAGTATGAACATAAACTTACCAACAAAGCAGTAATCACTATTTCAATTGTCAAGAATTGTATATATTGATATGGGAGAAAATTGTCAAGACTTCTAATACTATTGTTTACATCCGATTTCAACTAGGGAGATATCACACACAATCAAAGATCAAAGTGGTTCAACAGACATGTATATTAGATTACTTATTGTACCTTTGCTTTCATATTAATCTTGCAAAGTAAACCACAGCATTTGAATCTGTACCAAAGTTCTAACCAATCAGTCATTCTATAGACGGTGTCAGTATTCCAGATATAAATAGTTTGATATATTTGTTACAAGTGAACTAACCAACTCAGATGGGTTTGTTAATACCTTTGTTTTTGATATATTCTTAGAATAAAGTCCAATTAACACAGGAAGTTGTTTCTTTAGATCTGGCAGGTTTGGTTTCTGAAAGTAAAAGATACCTAAAGTGCAATCATCCATGATAATAAAATTGAGTAATATGTTAAGTTAACTCAGTCAGTAAAGTACAGTCTTTGGTATCCTCAGTGGAATAGAACAGCACAATGTCAGGAGGATGGTACACTACTGGTTCAATAAGCAGGAGATTCTTTACTGGTAGTCCTAGTGCTCACACAAACAGTTTATCAATTAAAACTAATGGAATTTAATCAGTAAAATATCTAAAAATAAATATATTTATCTGAAAGATTGACAGTTTAACAAATCTGCAAATGCACCAGAAGCAGTTTAAAATTGACCATTTGGATTGTATCAGAATATTCTTAGAATATTGGAATACTAAAGTCAGTATTCGATGTGACCATTGAAAGGTTCTCTGTACAAAACGTTTACAATTCAGGGTGCATGTGTTAATTCACTATAATATAAAAACCATTCTAATCTTACCTTCAAGAAAAGAATTTCCTGTACAATTCCATCCCTGCTCAAGTTAGCCCAAGCATTGGCACTTAATCCACGCCAAATTCGCTAAAATATAACAAAAGTATAACATAAATTTGTAAATATTTTACAGTATTTTAATATATACTATTCAAAAAAAGTAGGGGATATTTGATTTTTAAGTGTTATTAAAGTCACCTAATGAAACTGACGAAGAAACAAATGACAAAATGAAATGAAGTTCACATTCATCGATTTATTCCAAATGATCGTTAGACTAAGTAAGGCACAGACTGACCATTATAAGGGTAAAATGATACCCGGGGTCAAACAGCAAAGTTACCACAGCATCACAACCAAGTCAGTAACGGGTAAATCCTCCTCTGTTTGCCAAACAAGCATTGATCCGACGTGGCATACTCCTAATGAGACGTCTAAGGTCATTTTGGTCCAGATTGTCCCATTCCTGTTGCAACGCAGCAGCAAGTTCTTGGACATTGGCAGGACGTTGTTGACGTTGACGTAACCTCTGTCCAAGCATGTCCCAGACATGCTCGATGGGGGAGAGGTCGGGACTCAGTGCTGGCCAAGGTAATGTGGTGATGTTCTGTTGTTGGAGGTAACCTGTAACGATCCTGGCCGTGTGACATCTTGCGTTGTCATCCTGGAAGATGAAACGGCGGCCATGACGTCGTGCGAACGGCACAACATGGACTGCCAAGATGTTGTCCCGGTAGTACTGGCCTGTAACACGCCCTGCAACAACATGTAAAGCCGTTCTTCCAGCAACAGTGATGCCTCCCCACACCATAACAGAACCACCCCCAAATCGATCATGTCTGATGACGTTAACGTCTTGGAAGCGCTCGTTTCGACGATGCCACACCCTCCTACGTCTGTCCAAAAAATCAACAGTGAACCTTGACTCATCTGAAAACATCACATTGCTCCAGCGTCGATTATCCCAGTGTTGACGATCCCTACACCAAAGACGTCTTGCCTGAATGTGATGATCTCTCAAACAAGGGATCACGCGAGGACGTCGGGCGCGAAGGTGACCCCTATGCAGTCGATTCCGAATCGTCTGGCCACTCACTCTCAAACCAGTGTCTGTTTGAAGACGAGCGCTGATCTGATTTGCTGTGATGACACGATTTCTCAAGGACAAGGTACGGATAAATCGATCCTGGGCTTGAGTTGTCGACCTGAGCGTGGTCTGTCCTGTACAGATTGTGTATCACGGTATCTGGACCATAGCCTGCTTATGACAGACTGAGAAACATTCATCGTCCGCGCCACAACCGCCTGTGTTGTGCCGATCTGTAGCATGCCAAGGGCACGTAACCTTTCATTTTGGGTAAGCCGACGCATATCAAAATTTGTTTTCTGGTCACTAAAACAATTAAACTGATGTTTCCACCCTGGAATTCAATGCCACAATGACTGTAACATTCAAAGTCAGAGTCGTGCAAATCTTGGGTTGGACCCCCATGATGATCCCAAGCATCACCTGCATTCCATGCGGTAGCTATTGGTGCGTTTGGGCGTCACATGTAACTGGAAATGTTTCTTCTGTTAGGTTCTATAGTGACTTTTTTCGTAGTCATTTGCATATTTTAGTATTATGCCCCCAAAATCAAATATCCCCTACTTTTTTTGAATAGTATATGTATAAAACTTTGTTTTATACTTATAGACTATATTTTTTTTTTGTAAACAATATTTTATTTTATTTGAAAATAGATTGGGGAACAGGCTAGGCCTATGTTGACTCCTCTCTAGACTATATAATGAAAGAAATGGTGTTTGATGTCCACCTGACACAATCTAGGTCATTTCAGGAGTAAAACAAAGAACAATAATTCGCTTGCGTGTACATGTCTTTAGCAGTGAGGAGAAACCTTAGGACCCGGAGAAAACTCACCAGGATGGACAGTCAACACTACTCCTTGTCACATACAAGCTTGGGATCGAAAACCTTACATTTAACTCCATGACAGACCTTAAGATCTAAGTCCACTGAACTGCGACCCTATGTAATGAAAGATAAACCATGTATAGTTACCTGGCCCTGGTAGATATAAGTTCTATTATTATATTTAAGTATATCTTCAGCATGTCTCATCTTTATTTTACCTGTCTGTGATACTAGACTACCATAAGAATCATTACTTATTTTATTTATTGTACAGTTACCATGTAATACATCTATAATATACTCCACGCCTATGAATCAAACAAATATTTTTATTTTATTAATGGACATATGATACTATTCATGTATAAATGGATATTAATCTTCACTGTAACCTGGATATCGTTTAATCTTGCGTATTTAGTCCTAATTTCTTTCACATTTGTTCAATAACAAATCTTCGTTTGAAAATTTCAAATAATGGTACAGGAAATGTGCCAATCTTACATTATTTAAATATTGGACTCATGTGATGATTTTATTGAAATGTAAACGTGGAATAGTGTCTGTATTTTAAGTTGTTTAATTGTCTCAGGCAAGACATTGCAAAATATATTGAAATAACTAACTCCTCATGCAGTACCAATTATCAATATATTACTGAATGTCTCGTTCTTAACCATTAAACCACACATAGTTCAGATATTTACTATACAACATATAGTAGCATAATTACAGTCACATTCTCAAAACAGTCCATTTTGAAACTACTAATACTATATATATCATATTAAATTTTAGATAAGATTTATTTAGAGCTTATAATACAACCAGATTTGTAACAAGGATAACCATAGTATGCCACCATTGGCAAAATCATTGTTTGTCATTAAAAAACCCTGATCTTTTTTGTGATCAGATAAAGATAAAAGTATCCAAATAAAAGTTGAAACAATGTCAATCACAGGTGTGATAGAAACAAAAGCAGTCACAGTGAATCTTCCAAACGAGTCTTTAAAAATTGACATAATTGACAAATATAAATATATTAACATTTACCTAAATTAAAATCTTCAATAGTGGTGATTTTGTTTGTTGATTTATCTAGGTTTATATGATCAGATCTGATTAAACCATAATTATAATCAAAATATATCTGAAAATATTTAATAAAAACAATCATTTACATAACATAACCTACATGTTGGGGAAATTAAAAACTATATGTCATTTTCATAAGCTCTGTTATTTCCTATTACATTACATTACAAGCAGGTATTGAACTGAGGACCTCAGATGCTATCCTGCTGATCACAGACATCACAATCATCCAGCAGTCAAGGTATTTCACTCATGACTTGTATGTATATTCACCAGTCTATGTAATATGTATATTCTCAGTGAGTTATTGGAGAATAAATTTGTGTATGTCAGAGTTTACTGGTGTTTATAATTAACAATTTCAGTAAATTGGAGTAAAATTCTCAAGGGCAGATCCAGGAATTTTTGCGGTGGAGGTGGGGTTTGCCAGGTTCCTGTTAAGGAAATTTGACAGTTAACATGATGCCATCCTCATTTCTAAATTATGTTTGACATCAATTTTTATTAGGAATTAATAGGATCACATTGTGATTCAATATCATTGATACAAAGTATTAATTGTGATATCACATATGTCTATATCATTATCTCGCACTTTGAATGCCCATCTGATGATAAAGGATAAAGCACGCGACCGTGAAACTTTTCTCATAAAAGTGTTGTTTTGTTTTACAATTTTTTTTTTATGTAGCTGAATCTGCCCCTTGTTCTTGTATGCGCACACCAATGTGTATATAAATCTGGACAACCACGCTGGAATATCTCAGTCAACCCCAGGGACTCACTGGTCAGCAAGCCAGCACAATACTCACTTAGCCATGGTTGTCCTAGTAGTTATTGAGGAATAAGGTTAAAAACCATACAAGTAGATCCTTCATGTTAGATCACACCCTCTATAACAAGATAAAATTAAACCTACTCTTTCTGTAGATGGTTTATCTATATCAAATGTATCTATCTCTAAATTCAGTGAAAACTGTTCTGGTAATATTGGCATCTTTAAAGTTGGTTTTCTTCCTGGACAAATTGTTCCTCTTGGTATCTATTAATAAAAACAGCTCATTATATTAGAGAATGATTCTATTTTTTTTTTAGATAACAGGAATATCATATATAAATAAGGAATTGAAAATAATGATATTTAGTATGCATTTCAGATAAAGCTGATCTAAGAACCTTGTGATTGTTATAAGTTAGCTTAAATTTGTCATCTGAACACAAAGATGGGGCAAATAAACTAATGTAAAAAATTGGAAGTTTCAAGTAGGATAAGAATGTGCGTATAACTATAAAGTCTAACCGCCTCTGTTAGAATAGTCAAGCTGGTTTCATTAATAGTCTGTGTAAATGCTACGCTCTCCTGGTTTAAATACTTCATTCATTTGAAACTACTTTATGTCTTTGAACCTGACTGGTCGGTTTTCCGGCCAAGATACTAATATCTATATCCGGGCAGACTGGTTATCCGACTAAGCCTTACGCATTAGGAATTCAACTCTGTACATGTGATGATGTGTTGTGGGTATGACTTCGTTGGAATTTCATCAAGTCTAGACCCATCAGAACATGTGTTACAATGTGCTGTCTGCAGTAAGGGCTTCCCCCTTTTACTCGCAGACACAACACAAATATTCCTGAAAATATGGCTGTATGGTCATGAATGGCAAACAGACGTGTAACAGGCTAGAATACTTGAAAATGATGATGAAGACTTGAATAATGTTGATTAAGGGGACGATAGTCACTTTCTTTGGACTTTTTTCAGGTTTTTTTGTGAACTGTGGAACTATGATGACAAATGTTGCCTTGAAAAATCATATTACAAGTATATGTATATTTCAGAACTATTTTCCTTGTAGCACATGATCCATACTAAAGGAATATAACTTTTGTTGGCACTTTGGCTGATTAGCAATTTTATATTTTGTCACTGAAAATTGCCAAATTTTGCCTCACAGGCCAGGGGGAGGGCCATTTATGGTATATATGCCAGGGTACAAAGGGTTAATGTTAAAACATTATATTTATCTAGTCTGGTCTTTGTTGGACATCTCATGTTTTTCTATAAAATAAGTAAATCTTCTTACTACCTCAAATACTAGTGGATCTTTTACTGGGCCTGGTCTAAAGAAGACAAAATCATAAACATGGCTGAAGTTGTGTGTTCCAGGCAATTCTTTTCCTTTTGAATCAACATTTACAGCTGTAAAGATAAATAGTCTATTTACACGGTACAGATATAAGTTTTCACAGATTTAGCAACTTCGGTCATCTCAAAAGTTAGGTGCTATTACTATTAATCTGAGAGGGTTCTGCCTTGAACAAATGAGTAGTATGAGTTATTTGACTCCTTTTCCCAAACATTCCATTTGACATATTATTTGATCATTCAAAAATTTGATGTCCACCTGTCACTCCATTTATGAGAATGCTTGTTTATGACAGAAAAATACTGTGTAATTGGTTGGTTATTTTATTCAAATACCAGCAGTTGCCAGGCAAGATATGCCCACATTTTGCCAGAAATGGACAAGCTAAAAAAAAGCAATTTTTCGTACAATTAGGGGCCATAATCCTGGAGGTTATACTCTGAAATGCGCGAATATCGAAAGGGACTGAGATATTTTGGATATAAAGATATATTTTATGTTTCATCAAAATCGGATAAAAATTGTGACTTCTAGAGGGTCCACAACCTTGGTATTATATACTACTTTTGTACATTTAAACGTCTTTTAAAATTGGATAAAAAATGTGACTCCATAATCCAGGAAGTTACAGGATCCTATATGCGCAAATATCGTACAATCAGGGGCCATAATCCAAGAAGTTACGGTCCAATATGTGCGAATATCAAAAGGAACAGATATCTTTGGGTAATAAACAAACATTTTAAGTTTAATCAAAATCTGATCAAAATTGTGACCTCTAGAGTGTCCACAAGCTAAAAACATAATTTTTCGTACAATCAGGGGCCATAATCCATGAAGTTATGGTCTGATACATGCCAATATCGATAGGAACCTAGATCAAGTTTCGTCAAAATCAGATAAAAATTGTGACCTGTGTTCATTCTGAACCTGCAACTGCATAATAATACCTTTAAATTTGATTATTCAGCCTTTTAAATGTCTCAACTTTCAGAAAATTTCAAAGGATTATATCAACATGTTTTGAGACCAAGATGGAGCGAACAACCGAAAATTGTAAAAGGGCTATATGATGACATAATATTAGTCTGTTAAATTATAAAATAATGATGTATACATTACCTGTTCCATTGATTACGGCTCTAACAGGTATTTCTTTATGTCCACTAGCTGTATGATAATCCGATGTAGTAAAATAATAATCTAACGTAAAGTTGGTTTTCTTCTCCTTCCATTGCTGACATGATCTCCAATGATTGACAGGTATTCCACGAACCTTTAAGCACAAAAATATTACCAACATTTACATATCAACATTTAATATATCAGTTTATATATATTGTGAGATTCTGATAAATTAGTCAAAGAGTGGTTAATTATATGTAAAAAACTAAAAATATAATTAACAAAAGCTATCCGAGTTTTACAAATATCCTAAAATGGATTCTTTATACCAGATATATGGTGTGTGGCCGAAACCTCAAATAAAAGGTAAATGTAAACAAAGAGGGTGGGGATCCTTCGGAAATGAATGAAATGGGGTTTAACGTCCCACTGTTCTGCTCCGACTGGGCTAATGAAGGCGGGCATATGCCATACAGTGTGCAATGAGGGAAATTTTGCCCGGGGCAGTCGCACTATGGCCTACTCTTATATCAAGTTCCAACTGCAAAGGGATCTTTTATGTGCACGCCAATGTATACACAGAGCCTCATTTTTTTCATCCCATCCGACTGACTAGATAGCCCTCCTTCCTGCACCACAGGCAAGGGTAAATCACGTAGGAAAAAGGACCCCTCGGGACAAAATGTTACAGATGTGACTCCATTTTGATTCAAATACTTTTCAAGTGATATATCATTTTTGTCACAAACGGGATCAGTCTTCATATAGTTGATTTATCAAATAAAAGGGTTAAAATTCCTACAGGATCATAGGGAGATAGGAGAAGTCCAGTATATAACTCAGAAATTTTATGCAATCTGTGGTTTCAACTTTTACATTATTTCTGCCAAAATAGGTTTCATTAAACTTCTGTCCGAATTTAAATACATCGCCAGTAGGCATATTAATACGTAGTTATCTCCCTTGAGGAATATCGAGAGTTATTCTCTCATTATTGTTTATCCCGCCATTGTGAGTTTTGCCATTAAACATCTACTAACCAAATGTCGTCTCGTTGTGGTTATTTCCTATCGACTGGCGCATCAGTTTTAACTTTTACCTTATCTCTGCCAAAATAGGTTTCATTAAACTTCTGTCCAAATTTAAATAATTGAGTTTCAATTTTTACCTTATCTCTGCCCAAATAGGTTTCATTAAACTTCTGTCCAAATTTAAATACATCAGTTACTGTATCTACATGTGATGAACCATTACCAGCAGTAAAACCAAATATACTTCTATGATTTTCTTTTAAATCTGTTGTTTTACATGTACCATCTAAAATCACAAACAGTATACCAGTATACAAATAGTACAATGATCAATACAGCATCAAAAAGATAATATCAAGACAATTTATACTCTCTCCACCGGCATCATTATTTGGAGATTTTTATAATTGTACAATTTACACTTAAATAGACTATAAACTAGTATAAACTGATATGAATTGTGAATATAAAAATCAACAAAAAAGATTGGTAATGATAGTCATTACAGAAAACTTTTGGGTTCAAAAATGTCTTGATGACGGCCATAAATATTCTTGAAAGCAGATTTCAGCTCAAAAAATAAATAACCTTGTCTATAAAGAAGTTAAAATAATATCAAAACATTTGGGAATATGACAGTGTTTAGGTAAATTAAGGAAATGTTTGTGTGAAAAAATCAACATATTGTCTACTTACATAATCTAGACAGGAAAAATGAAAGGTTGACATTTGAGTCAAATATTCCATGAATCCAGAGTATAAACTCTAGGTATATTATAAAGATATATTTACCTGAATGAATATCATATCTTTCCATTTGTTTAAAATTTATAATAGATGTAAATAATTTCCCATTTGACATGATCATAATAGCAGCTCTGTTACTAAGGTAATCATAATATTCTGTAACCTCGATACTTTTTCCTTTCTGAAATATAATTTTCATCAACATAGTATTGTCAGGCAATGAATATACTTCGTCAATCAGGTTTTGACATTTGTGTTTTTGGGGTAAGGGGGTAATAATTAGTCCTTTATCACACTGCTAAAACTTCTGCCCTCTAGATCTTTAGAAGAATGGGGAAACCAGAGCACCCAGAGAAAACCCATGAGGTTAGGAATGCAATGCCATTACTGACAATGATTTGGGAAAAGGGTTGACAGGAAAAACAATCATAGACATCAGATACCCCTTTTTAAATCTATGGCCACAATGGTTGGTTGACATTTTATTCATGGGGGTTTCAATAAAAGATGATAGAGGTTAAGGCCACCACAAAAGTTAAATAACTCAATGATGCTAATAGAAGTTAATTGGTTGAGAGGCGGGGATCATACTAGAATCCTTGACAGAAGCACTGCCTGTGTGTATAACTATCTCCATTGAACTCATGATGGCACCCAATCCTCTCACATTTAAGATTAAAATATAATACATTCATCCACAAAAAATACACCATTTTCTCCAAAATATGAAAAATGCACTTTACTTGTTTTATATTAGCTTCTATTCTAGCTTCATATTGATTGGGTAAAGGCGGAAGTTTTGGACCTGTTGATTGTCCTGGTGGTATATTACAATCATATGATAATACACAAACTACACAAACTGATACACAGTATAACACTTTATAATACATGATCTTTCTGAAATAAATAAACATTTCATATTAATATTCTCAAAACAATGTTCAATTATGACCTTGTATACACATTAACCTAGGCTTCTTCGTCTGATGACCTTAAACACTGTGTATCAATTTGAAGGCATCCACAATTGCCAGACATTTCAATGTGGGCATATAAAAATTGGCGGGGACTTCTCAGGCCCCTAATACATGCACCCATCACCGATAATTCTAAAATCATTGTCAAGATGTAATGTAGCGTGCTCACAAGATTTCATATGGATTTTGATTTTGATTTTCCTGAAAATGGTCTTCTCTTAGTCCTAACAAGCCATAATAAAATTAAAACCAAAAATAAAAAAACCCTCTAAAATCTACATATACTGGTCGAGTCTTGTTCTTCAGGCAAGTAGAACACAAAATTGTATATCATCATTCCTCTAGGCAACATATCTTCATTTATATATATTTTATCATTTTATATGATCTATGTTAATATTTCATTATATTCAGATAATATACACCTTGCCTCTAGACATATTAGATATACTGTAATAATTACACAATATCATATCCGCCATTCAGTAACCTGATACGCCATTTTTACAAACTTTTAAAAATAAACTTTTTGAAATCCTTTTCATACATATTTCCACAGCTAAAACTTTGTCTCCATTATAAATAACCAACTAAAAAATTGTACTGAAACACTTACCTGTTGGGTAAAAACATAAAAAAAATGAAAGATGTGTTGAGCTGTATACTGCTGATTGCAGATCACATATTTAACAACGAATTCCACAAAACTAAAATAAAACAGTACTGCTTGTAAAAGAAGTAAAGAAGTTGTAAGTTATATAACTTAGACTTATTGTTTGGCTATTACTTAATGATTATTTTAGTCAATCTATTACCTATATTTATATACTTACTTTTATTGTCCCATCTAAATACAATGTAAATACAACGGAAATAAAACAAATATAGAACAAAGTGACTTACCTTCATATTATTGTTAAAAGGCAGTCAGGTGAATATTTTTCAAGTCATGTTCAGTGAAGCAGAACAAATGGCCTCAAGGCTCAACTCAAGCAAGTGACTTCTTTTAATACATCGCTTTATAATCCCATTTATTGAAAGAACTGATGAAAACAGTGTGATATCTTTTTTTTCTTCAGTTAAAAGGGCTACGGATTCAAAATTTTTGGGTATTTGACAATAAATTTAGTACATTTATATGCAACTTCTGTCATAAAGTGGCTTTACTAAATGTATTATAACACAGTTGTATAATTTTCCAACTATTGGTTTGTTTTAAACTGTATAATGACAACCACCCCATGGCCAACAACTATATTAACCAGCTATTCCATTGCTACTATAACCCAGTATCAACTTAGTTGACTACCATGCTTCAGATCTCTTCAAAACCTGGCATAAGTATATTCTTTGGGAGGTTGGATTGCCGAATGGTTAGCATGTGCGTGCTGTATCAAAAGGTCTGTCATTGATTCAACCGGCATGGTTTCAATTCCCCGGTTGTTCGTGACAGAAAGTAGGGTCGCCTATCCAACCTCGTGGGTTTTTTCCCACTGCTAAAGACCCCTATGCACAAACAAATTTCTGAAATAAAATTAAACGCGTGTTAGTCCCAGAATGACCTAGTTTGTGTCAAGTGGACGTTAAACCCCATTTCTCTCTCTCTCCCTCTTTATTTCTACCCCCTGCCTTCCCATTCACGAGGATATATCTGACTTCTAATGAATTGTGTTTGTTTCTTCTTTAATTCAATAAAATTGATACAATCAGTTATTTTTCTCAATGCATATCACATTGCTGGATTAATAGTTTAAAAATCCAAATTATGTTTAGGTTAAAGCATGCTACATGTATAATGATATCTGAAATATAATTTGGATGAAATTAATTTCACACTCCAAAATTACGCTTTGACAATTGAACTAAAACTATTGACATTCATTTACTGGTATATTCTGTTTGACAGAAATAGGTAGGCCCTAATCTGGTACAGGTAGCTTCTTTATACTTTTCAATGAATTAGATGCAGACAAATATTCTTTTAATATAAATCTTTTTGACAGAATATGTTGGTAATGACTAAACTTTAAAGGGATATTGCCATGAAGACAAAGATGAGGTTGTAAGCTACCATTGCCCCAATAATAGTATATAAAAAAACATAATGGCATACGTATGTTTTTTGTCAACCCAAATAAATTTTCAACTTCTGAATAAGGTCAGTTTTTGAAACTAAATCCACAGGGCAAAAAAATATAATTATTATTGTTATGTTCATTCTTCTACAGAGGCCAACATCAAATGTATAATATCCCAAGGTCACCAAATTTCGCATTACCACTTCAAACAAAAACAAAGTAATTTCTTCTGTAAAAAGATATTTTATGTAAAATCTATTTAAAAAATACAATTAGTTTAATGCAAAACTATAAAAATCTAAAAAGAGACCGACAAATACAGTTTAACAATTTAAAACATCTAACACTATAAACTTAATACAGATCTTTCATAATGATAAACATATAAAAAGCATATGTAAAGCTTAAAGTCATGGAGAACTCAAAACACATTAGTCTAATGAAGAAACCTCTCATGATCCAAAGATAGATGTATGTATATCAAATACAATTAGATCTTACTGAATATAATTACTTTTCTTATAGCTTAACTATAGCTTGATATAGTAGGGAGCTATATAAAATTCAACTATAGAATCATGTTGAAGTACAAAAAAATGGGACTATACAATGGCAGATTTTAACTTCCATTCTTGACATTCAATGCATACAGATGCAAAACAATATACATAAAGAGGTAATCATATAACAAGTTAAAATATTTATATTTGTATCAGTTTCAGTCAATGTCTGATATAAATTGTAAAAATGTATAAATGCAGCAATTACTTTAAATATTAGTTAATAAATTATTATAATACAATAAATTCTAAATGAATCTAATTAAAAGGAACACTGATAATTGTAAGACACAGTGAAATCTTAAGTAGTCATTACAGATAATAAACCAATCGCATTAAGTTTTACAAAATAAAAAGTATATGACAATATTACAAAAATTGATTCCATAAATTGTGTGCAGAGCTTACACATAATTAATCCAAAATGTCCAACTCAACCTAAACTAGCTTGGGGAAGGGAGGAGGTGGCTGTAATTTTCACATAATTTCCTAAGCTGACACAGTTTACACTATAAATTACATATGTCTAATTATTTACCTGAATGTTACCAGGTTAAAACCTAATATTACTCAGATTTAGAGAGATTAGTTTTAAATTCTAATCCATTTCCTGATAAATTGGATGGAATAAATGGAGAAATTAACACAAGATACCAATTACTTCCGGCTATCTCTTTCATATTGTTAACAAGTCCTAAATCATATGTCTTAATATTTTTCTTATTCTCATATTTTGTTTGTCCATATTGCAACTGTTGGATTTGGATTAAAAGCATCCATGAAAAAAGAAATGTTAACAGCAACCCAACTGTCGTCTGCACAGTTATAAAGAATTTGTAGAAATTATAATAACCAAACAGAAGACCTACATGTGGTGCAAAAAATGATAAAATGGTCCAAATGCCAAAACCATCTTTGACTTTGGATACAAATTCAAAATTAAAGATATTGCAATAAATTCCAGCTAAAACCATGTTGAAAGCTAATGCTATATAATATCTATGATTTTGGTAACCAATACAGTAACCGGCAAACCAGCAATGGTGATCCCTCTTTAAAACACAAACATCACAGATTTTACAATGATGAGATCTTGGTGGATAATAACACACACATTTATCACAGTAACGCCAGCCATTTTTGGTTGAAGGTTCCGTTGGCCACACTATTCCACTTCCTGCTGTATCTGTGGTTGCCAACATAAACATATTGCCATAGATATTATGAGCTAGATATAGGGCTGTAAAGATATGGAAATACATTCTGGGGTCCAATCCATTACCAGTATCTTGGTAATATGATGGTAATATATGGATTAATTCATACCAAAGCAAGAACAGACCACCAAAACAGAATACACTTAAAGCTATTCTATCATTTCTTTTTCTTGGGAACCGCCATCTTCTAGCCATATCTGAAAAACGTTAATGAGTAGTAAATACACTGTCAAAGGAGGATGGTTAAACAGATTAATAAGAGCATACAATAATGTCCATGAACAGTAGAAAAATATTACTTTAAGGATCAAGTTGTCCATATTTGGGCAAATAAATTACAATATTTAGAGATACAGTATTCAAAGATATGAAGATTCAGGTCTAGTAAGTGTGCACTGTTATTGGTAGGCCTAAATGGTAGGCCAATACTAGATAAAAGGTCAGCAAAAAACAATTTGGATTGGCTTTAATTTATAATAGAAAAGTCATTAATTTCAAACCCAAAGTTAGGGTGCCCCGTGCAGCGAAAAATTTCCCTAAAGAAAGTTGAACTCGACACGGCAAATGTGCACGCTTCAGTGGCTTGCCTCGAATTGATTTCTGGCTAATCACGCAGTGCGATAACACTCAGTACAAGAGTCTATGAGTCTATAAATAGCCATCACACGTGAAATTCTCTACACATCTATCAACTATTACAGCAGTAAAAAATCTATTGTTGACGATTCTGAATAGCAGTAATATTTAGCTTTTTGGTTATTACAGCAGCTTTAGAGATTACGTTTGTTTTATTTTTTAAATTGCTTTATCATTAACTATACCATTAGGAGCGACATCTTTTGGTTTAGTACGAAATATATATCTGAAACACTTGGTTTAGGCAAGAACATGATATTAGCAGTAGTTTCATTTTACTTTTACAAGGTTCTTAAAACAATTGCTGAGTTGCGAAACGTGCGTGTTTCTAAATTCAATTTCTTGTCCCAGCTTTCTGTTATGTTTGTAAAAAAGTAGTCTTGATTATCCTGGCTTGTCAATCAGTCGTAAAATGGGGTCGGATGTTATGGCCAACACTCGTAACCATTTTTCCGTCTATTATTTATGGATGGTTAAATATTTCGCTTTTTGGTTATTACAGCAGCTTTAGAGATTACGTTTGTTTTATTTTTTTAAATTGCTTTATCATTAACTATTCCGTTAGGAGCGGCATCTTTTGGTTTAGTCCAAAAAATATATCTGAAACACTTGGGTTAGGCAAGAACATGATATTAGCAGTAGTTTCATTTTACTTTTAAAAGGTTCTGAAAACAATTGTTGAGTTGCCTAACGTGCATGTTTCTAAATTCAATTTCTTGTTCCAGCTTTCTGTTATGTTTCGTAAAAAAGTAGTCTTTATTATCCTGGCCTGTCAATCAGTCGTAAAATGGGGTCGGATGTTATGGCCGACACTTGTAACCGTTTTTCCGTCTATTATTTATGGATGGTTAAATGGTCATAACATGACCGTTTATTTAGTGACTATAAATGTGCAAAACTAATTTGTTCTTGTTTAGTTCATTACACTCAGCCTTGCTTGAGCCTCAAATCAATTGTCAATAGCCATAGTAGTTCTTGTTGAAGTTGTTGTGCAGAGGGTCAATGTTCCTGTTCCATAGTATCGATTAGATCTTACTTTTCTGCTAACGACACGTTTATTTAGTACCCAAAATTTATCTAAAATATAAAGATAATTACTTGTAAATATAACTTTTCTTATCTTCTACCGTTCAAGCAAGTGTCAACAAGAAGATTGTTTACACCGGAAGTCTCTTCATTAGTGAAAACAAGATAGGAAACACTATTAACCAATTAAATTACCGGTTACAAATCCTCACGGAAATTGAAAATATTTATTTTTAGAAACCGGAAATCGGAATTGAAAGACGTTTATTTATTTATTTGTTTATTTATTACATGTAAATTTCCCATATTCTTGAGTTTTATTGTGTTTTCTTTGAAAAGATATGCACATCTAGATACATATTATAACTTTGAACAAAATGGCATCAAAATATTCAGTAGATATTAGCGTAAACTCAACGCACGAGCTATATCTTGAGGATTTAGCAAGATCTGATTCTGGAGCAGACCGGGTGTCAACAGACTCCGCATTAGGGGGCTCACAGTCACAGTCCCTTACCTCAACTAGTCACATTGAGTATGGTTTAGCGAGGGCAGGGCTGCAATCAGGTTCGCCACCAAAAAATGATGGCCAGATGTTGCATTTATTAGGACAATTTAGACAAGTGTACGAAGAGAAATTGAGTCGTCTAGATGAATTAGAAACTAAAGGTGAAGATACAGCAAAGGTAATATTCTGTACACCACTACCCTACATTCAAGATAAATACAGAAAAAGACATAAAAAAATCATTTTGTTTTATTCATACACTGCATTCAGAATATTCAAATCTGGTTTGTACATTTATATACTGTCATACTGTTTAGAATGGGTTATAGTTATAGAAATAACAGCCCTTGCCTTAACCATTTTTTGGCCAAACTGTTTGGTTATACCAAACAGTTTGGCAGTTATAACCAAACAGTTTGGCCGTTATGACTAAAGTAGGGCTGTTTTGACCAAACCTGTTTTTGGCCAATATGGCATAGAGCCGTTATGACTACATCCCTTTAGAATCACTGAGCTACTTTTGAAATCGATTTACAGATGTTCATGTACATGAAGCCGTAGGCCATCATTTGGGTCCTACGTCATTTCGGACTCAACACAGACACTCTTTTGGACTCAGTTTGACGACGGTTCAGAATTTACTTGATGACTTTTTGGACTCGGTCTGGCGAATCAGTGAATAATTAAAGGGACTATCCCGAATTGAACAGAGTCTCAAAATTTCAGCTCAAAATATTGAGTCACTTGGACATGAACGTCAAAACTGCTTATCCGGACACGTAACCCTTTTAAGATTTTGGGTCAATTCTTTCGTTGGGTGACCTGATAATCGACTCCCCTTCCTTTAGAGGTTTATACAGTGAATGACCCATGTGCTGTACTTGATAACGAAAGGTAAATTTCACCTACACATTTTTATAAAATAAAAGTCTGGTTTTATCAAGACACCGCATAATACAGCTTGGGTCACCGGTCCCCACTTCCAGATTAAGACTGACAGATTTAAGTTGTTTGAAAACGTATCAAATATACTAAATTAGTTGCTCGGCCCTAAGGTAGAGGATTTTAAGGGATTTTAACACAAAATTAACCAGTTTTATTATCCAAAATATTATCGGGATTGGCCCTTTAAAAGACTGTTGAACATTTGTGTGATATATTTGTAACAGCTGTTTTTTGGGGTTTTTTTCATTTTATGTGAGTCCGATAGTTGTTTTGTTTTATTTATAAAAAGATAACACTGATTTTACACTGCTTGTTCTATTTTGTTTTGTTTCATCGGCGAGTATTGAACTTGACAATACAATATTGTTGAAAATTTGTGCATATTTAGTAATACTGCTAATGTTTTTATAATTGTAAAAGCCTAAATGTCTTTTACGTGAGTCAGAATTTTCTTTGTACGCACTAATTTATCGATTGGTACTGCTATCTATGGCAAGCTTGTCGAGGAATGCCTGTCAGCGTGTAGCTTCCGGATTATCGTTAAAACATTCTAGGGGCTTGTAAAAACAGTGCATGTCGAGTAAATATTTATTTTTATACGCCCACATTTTCATGAACACTCTACAGGTCACAATTCTTATCCGATTTCAACGAAACTTGAAATATAGGTTTATCTCCCAAAGATATGGTTCCTTTCGATATTGGCATGTACGATTGTACGAAAAATCACGTTTTTAGCTTGTGAACACTGTAGAGGTCACAATTTTTATCCGATTTGGTTTAAACTTGAAATATATGTTTATAACCCACAGATCTCGGTTCCTTTTGATATTCGTGCATATCGGACCATAACTTCCTGAATTATGGCCCCTGATTGTACGAAAAATCACGTTTTTTTAGCTTGTGGACCCCATAGAGGGTGAATATATCACCGTTACACCCTAAGGATGGTTGAGCTCGAATGTCATAAAAATCGGACCGAAACTGACGGGCAAAATGACCGCCCCTTGTTCGCAAATAGTGTCAAAATATTGCGTATCAGGGTTGTTGACTCTCTGGAGGTTAAAATTTTCACCTGATTTTGATGAAACTTCAAATGCATGTTTATAACCCACAGATCTCTGTTCCTTTCGATATTCGCGCATATCAAACCATAACTTCCTGAGTTATGGCCCCTGATTTTACGAAAAATCACGTTTTTAGCTTGTGGACCCCACAGAGGTCACACCTTTTATCCAATTAAAAAGAACATTTGAATATATCACTGTTACACCCTAAGGATGGTTGATTTTGAATTTCGTAAACTGACGGACAAAATGGCTGCCCCTCGTTCGCAAATAGTGTCAAAATATTGTGTATCAGGGTTGTGGACCCTTTGGAGGTCACAATTGTCATCTGATTTTGATGAAATTTGAAATACATGTTTATAACCCAAATATCTTGGTTCCTTTCTATTTTAGTGCATATCGAATCGTAACTTCCCGAATTATGGCCCCTGATTTACGAAAAATCGCGTTTTTAGCTTGTGGTCCCTCTAGAGTTCACAATTATTATCCGATTTCAAAAAACGTTCGAAAATATCATCGTTACTCCGTAATTTTGTCTGAGGTTGAGTTTCATGAAAATCGAACCAAAATTGCCAGACAAAATGGCCGCCCCTCGTACGCAAATTGTGTAAACATCTGGTATATCAAAGTTGTGGACCCTCTAGAGGCCACAATTTTGATCCGATATTGATGAAACTTGAAATGCAAGTTTATAACCCAAAGATCTCGGTTCCTTTCAATATTCGCGCATATCAGATCGTAACTTCCTGAATTATGGCCTCTGGTTGTACGAAAAATCGCATTTTTTAGCTTGTGGTCCCTCTAGAGATCAAAATTATTATTCGATTTAAAAAAACGTTCGAATATATAGCTGTTACACCGTAATGTTTGTTGACTTTGAATTTCATGAAAATCGGGCCAAAACTGCTGGACAAAATGGCAGCCCCTCGTACGCAAATAGTGTAAACATCTAGTAAATCAAGGTTGTGGATCCTCTAGAGGTCACAATTTTGATCCGATTTCAGTGAAACTTGAAATACATGTTTATAACCCAAAGATATTGGTTCATGTCGATATTCGTGCATATCGGATCGTAACTTCCTGAATTATGGCCCTTGATTGAACAAAAAACACGTATTTAGCTTGTGGTCCCTGTAGAGGTCACAATTGTTATCCAATTTAAAAAAACGTGTGAATATATCACCATTACACACTAAGATCTTGGTTCCTTTTGATAATCGCGGATACCTGAACTTAACTTCCCTTTTGATATTTGCACATTTCAGGCCATAATTTTCTGGATTTTTGCCCCTGATTGTACAAAAAATTGCGTTTGTTTTTAGCTTGTTCTCTATTTCGTTTTGTTTTTTATAGTTCAAAATTTCGTTTTACTTGTCTTTACTACACTAGGATCTGGAAGAGTTGTTATATCACCGGCGTTTTTGTTGAAGTGAGGGATAAGCCAATGAAACAGTCTGTTACGGCGACTTCTTGGCGTGTCATGCAGGGAACTGTGGATAAACCACTAGATTGATTAATCAATGTCTGACGTCATAGGGTCAAAAGCCACTCGTACGACCCCTGACATTGAGTCGACCTTCGAGTACTGTACAACTTGTCAGATCTTCATGTAGTGTAGGCCATCGAAAGTATAAAAAAACGAAACGAAATATATATCTGTATTTTAATCAGATTGTTGTCACAAGGAATAGTTAGACTAATATCTAAAATAGATTCAGGTAAATTTGATGCTTCTTGATCAGAGTGTGGTGTATGAAAAAATGACTTAATATCGGTTGATCTAAGGAGCCTTGGTATACTGTTTTATATGCATATTTCGATTCCATTGACTATATGTATGGATATTGATAAACTTTAGGGAGTCAATTAACCTGCAGGCAACAATATTAATTAATTATCCGTTAATATTAAAATGTACCTGTTATTTATACATAGACCGATTGATTAATGCCATGGACAATATAAACAAAGACTGATGTTAATTGGACAGTATTCTGTTCAAATCAAGCAAAATGACAACATCATAAGGACAAGTGCTACATGTATATGCTGGATATATTTCATTGTCAGTAAGATGTACATGTACCAATGAAGCAGTAGGGTTAAGTTTTTATTTTATTTCCGAGCTGACTTCTGATATCTAATATTATTTTTTACAGACACGGATAAGAATATTAAATTCATATATAAATGATGTTGGTGAACAAAATGATGTTTTAATTAATACAGTAGATGAGTTAGAACGTGAAGCTAATCATAGAGTAAACCTTCTGGAGTCGAAACTTCAGAAAACATCATCTTGTATCAAGGTATGTATATGTTTTAGTTCTTTTGCATAACTACTGAATTTTTCTTCAAACACCATATATAAGCTGTCCGTTATAGAATTTCTAAGGAGCTCTGTGAAGAAAAAAAAAAATATCTTCTCAGATGTAATTCATTAAAAAAGAAATTCTATGATAATTTAGAAGTGGTCGTTATTGTAATTTTCTGATAGCACAATATGACCAGCATAAGATGAAACTTCAGAAGATGAAACTTCAGAAGAAATTTACTAGTTTTTAAGGTTTTTGGAAAAATGACATGAAATAGTAATCCACCAAAAGGGAAATAACTAACAACAAATTATTTTGAATTTTTTTTCCATATCAAATATAGGCCTATATCTGATTCCATCCAAACCAGATGTCTAATCAAGCCTACAGTAAGGCACCTGTCACAGACATTGTCATGCACAAAATGTGCCGTACGATATCTGTGACAGGTGCTCTATGTTAAGGCCTTTGAATACAATATACACGTACTATTATTAACCAAAATAAACTATGATGAGAAAAATAGACACAGAGAGAAATTTAACGTCCAATCAACATATACTAGATCTATACGGAACGAACGTGTGGTTCAATTTTATTTCAATAATTCCCTTGCGATTTTAGTAGTGGCAAGAAACTTGAGGTGTAATAGGGCATACATGTAGAAAACTCCAAGGGGTTTGACAGGCGATCCTACACCTTGCCACACATAAGTGTTGGATCGAAAGCCTGTCAATTGACTCAATGACAGACCTTGATCTAAAGCGCACGCATTAGACCACTCTGCCAACCAGCACTCCCCTGAAGCTATAGTATTGTATTTCATTTAAACACCAGGATTCATTAGAGATTAATGTGCCACGGTAATGGATGATAAATCTTTACATACTATCAACTAAACCATAAAATACTGTAATTTAAATAGATTCTATACTGGAAATCTAATATATTATTTTAAGCCAAGAATTATAATTTGTTCAAGTGTGTAATCATGAAGATAAACGTTAAACCATAAATTGTAATGTGTGGATAGTTTTAGCAAAGATAAAAGAAATCCTATCATATAGCTGCAATACTTGGTATTTTGACCAGTTCAATCATGTTTTTAGTCTATTAGAAGAGACTACAAATGCATTTAATATACCAAGCTTGTAGTTTAAAGTCCTAATATTCCAGAATGAAAGACAAATACAATATAATAATTGTCTTACCAGAAAGCATATTGGTTCATAACAAGTTATTAAAATCGATTAATCCTAACATATGGGCACATCAAGGTTACTTTATTTTCTTTTGATTTTATGGCCATATCTTTTTATATACACCCCCATCCATCAGTCTGCCTGTTTCCACAATTGCTTGTGGGTGCTTTAGAGCCTAAAATGTATATTTGATTGATTTTAAATTTATATGCAAAAAAATCCTATTATCAACATTTTTTGATAATAATTTATTAATTACCACCAGAGTTATGGTCCATGATTACTTTGAAAACTCTTGTGGATGCTCTACTAGAGTTATCATTCAGTTGTTAGTTTCATCAGACATAAAAGCCTTTTGATTTTCATCCATTCATCCTTTTTGTCTGCGATATCACCTCGGTGGAAGCGGAGTAAAATACAACTAACTCACACACATCCATTTCCAATATGTGAAGACTCCTGTATTTCTAATTTTTTACAATGACTAGAATTATCATCTATTTACCTGTTAGGAGATAATTACTTGATGGGTTTGTTACTCTTGAACAGTTTTTATTGTATTGTAAATGCTCTTATTATCTGTAAAATAATAGATATGCAAAAACCCTTATTGACTGCTCAGACGATTTACATGCTGTTGATGTAAGTTTCTGTCATTGCCTGTTAACCTATCTTTGATAGAAAAAATGCAAATGTGTAATTTTGTACTGTGTATTATTATATTGATTTGTAATAGATGTCACATTATCTGTCATGACTTGGTTGATTTAATTGATGGAATTAATCAATGATTCAGATGACTTTGATCTTTGTTGACATGATATCTTTCTGGTCACAGGCTAAATTTGAAACTGTAAATTGATACATAAATGTTACAGGAAATAGAAGTTAGAACAAAGAGTATCAATTTTAATCATGTTCTGATATACTTATGGTGATTCATCAAAAGTCATTCCAATAATACAAAATTTGTTTGATTGATCAGGATATTGACAAAAATTTATAAATACATTTAATATTGAAAATTATACTGTTTCCAGTGATATGGAAATGAGCAACCATTTCAAAAGCTATGTGTGCGTTCTATTTGTCGACCAAAAGGTGATTTTGCAAGCTAGTTGTTTTAAAGGAGCTAAATCGCTATTCTTTGGCACTTAGAAATGGACACATATGGGTCACAACCCATATAATAATGTAATATGAATGTATATAAACTGATTTACATTCAATCGTTTCTGTTTTTACTGTAATTTGTAATCAGTTATGTGTGCCAATTTTAAAATTTTCATTTTGAGTTATATATTGGATATCAGAAACCCAACTTTTAACAAAATCATTGTTGATTTAAATTGACCAATAAGTCGTGTTTGCAATGTTGAAGACTGTGGATGATATTGAGTTAAGGACTTAGCTCCTTTAAATGACTACTGACACCATCATGTTCAAGAGACTCAGGGCAAGTATTGTGGCTTTCATTAGCCCAGTTCGGAGCAGAACAGTAGGACGTTAAACCCCATTTCATTTCATTTCATAATGCATCAAAATCTCACATGCACCTTGTATACATAACACGTTATTGTCTGCGATATCACCTCGGTGGAAGCGGACGTAAAATACAACTAACTACTACTACTAAGGATTAAGGAGACACACCTCCCTTCACGCCCTCTCTTGCAAAGTTGCCAGTTAGCATATTCTTGGCTATCCCAAACATTAAGTTGACTAATATATTAATGATTAAGATGACTGGTCTACACTAAGTATATGTACTTGCTTTATTTCAAGTAAATTGCCTGTCTTAATTCATAATGTCATGCTTTGTTCATTGTAATTGCTAAAAGTTAATTAAAAAAGAATTTAAGATATTAATTTATTTTGTTTATGTATAAATTACTTTTCCGCGTTCATTAGAAATTCATGATATGTATGGACATGTACCAATAAATATATATATTATTATATATATTTCTAGTTTTATGTGCTAGAGATAAGGTTTATTAATGTCTTAACGCATATTATAAGGTACAGTTTACATATGAAAGTAGTTTATATAGTGAATCTAACCTGTTGACAGACACTTTGCTAATACCGTGTCAATCACTTCAAGTTTAAAACCAACACAAATATTCTTGTACACCAGGATTTTCTACCTATATGTAGATATCAAATCTTAAATATATAGGTCTCTGTAACCTGATAAGCACCTATTAACATAAACAATGCCGAAACAAAAGACCATCATTAATATGCAAGAATGGATACTAATAGACAACTAAAGAGAACTCCTTTGAATTAAGACCTCTGCTATGAATCTTTATGTTAGAGGTTATTGATTAGTATTTATATTGATTCCAGTTATAGTAATAATGGCAAGTATAGTTTTCTCTCTTTATTTGTCTAGTCACCTTCAACTGGTAATGATGATAATGCTATGCTATGGATAATTTGACTTTGAAAAAACTAGCCCAGGTTTGTGTCAATATTGAATGTTTTTGAGTTATTGATTTTCTATTCATTGAGGTTTTGTTTACACAATAAAAGCATAATATGTTAACCTCTATTAGACTGTAATGAGTGTCCTCTGTTCAAAATCTCACTGATATTGCAAAATTACTGGTCTGCTATATATCTCTTAATATTTAATTTGAATGACGTATTTGCAATATATAAATAATATTAAAAAGTGAAAGTTTATTTTGTAAACTGAAAATGTCAGTTTTCTGTTTAAAGAATGATCTCCCATTGTGTTATATTTGCCAGGGTGTCAAACATGTATTTACACATATGTAGCCTACATTTACTATTTAACACTTGAGATGCCTCATAAGAAGATAATCATAATTGTTCCTAAACTGATTACTGATGCCTAAAGGTTATGGAAATGAGTTCTTTTTAATGCATTTCGTATTACAGTAACGCTGATGAGTGAGAATGAACATAACTAAACTATTTTGTATTCCCAGCATGGTGACGCAAGGGCTTTCGTCGTGTGAAAATACAGCTTAGAATATAACCTCCAAAAAGTTGAAATCTCAAAAATGATAACACAGCATCTGTTCCCTTACGATCACTGTATACATGTATTTCCAGAACTATCCATGAGTTATCACCTTTGTAATTTCAACACATAGTCTTCTTTCATCCGTTTTCTTGTCACGATCAGTTGATGATCCTTCTATAAACCATACTCTTTCGACTATAAAATTGCACATATATGCACTTTGATTGTGCCGTAACTAATCAAGACTCTATAGTCTGTTCAGTCGTGGGACAAGACCCCATCTTCAACACTGCTCAATGACAAGTTTTTTTCAAAAGTATAAAGTTCATTTCAATCTGATGGATAATGATGGAGAAATAGCGAGTTGAGTTTTCAAAGCAGCTACCCTGAATTGAATTTTATTAAAATTTCCAGCCTATATAGGATGTATATTGTAAGCATGGCTAACAGGCCTCAGTGGTTAAACTAAACTTGTAATGGGCTAAATCTATTGTTACGGTCAGCTCAATTTTTGTCAAGGTCGCTGAGATGTAAATAAGGTTAGGGCCCGCTATTGTTGGCGAGATTGTAGTTAGGGTAAGCATTGGGGCTAGGTCCAGGGTTAGGGTTAGAGTTGGGATTAACGCTAGCCCTAGTCTTATCAAATAGATCTAGCCCCTGTTATATATGGTGTGATATAGATATTACTTGCATGCAGTTAAATAATGCAAGATGTTAACCAAAATTTGCTAGTATTTAATACAGTTCTTTCTATTACACTATTTTAATTCAAAAATTGGGTTTATTTCAAACAAAATAATCTACATGAATATAATTCCTTCTCTATAGAACCAATAATCTCATATCAAAACTTATATCTTTCGGGAAAAAAAAAACTGTACTTGGTATATTTGGCTAAATCTGTTTCTAGTGACATACATGAAAACAATAGAGAAATTCAGGCACCTGAACCTGTGTCCCCATTCCCTTCCCTTACACACACAAAAATTAAGTATTTTCATAAGCTAATTATAGGTTTATTTATTGTAATATTTGCTTCAATTGAAATCTGTGATATTATAAGTTTGTTCGTAGGTAGAGCTTTACGTCCGCTTCCACCTTGGGTGATATCACAGACAATTGTATTATAAAAGGAAGTGTTAGTTGTATAGTACATGCAACCTGCTATATAACAGGTTATATTGTTATATATGTTCCTGTATGGTAGACAATGTGATATTGATTTAACATGGACTGTAAAACACTACCACACTAACCACCTGTTTATAGGGTTCAGATTCTTTTATATTATAACACTGCTCTCTTCATTAATTACAAGTATAGTGAGGGGCAGGCTTCATTAACCTTAAACTATCTGTGATTAAACTCAAGTATAAAATCTAACAATAAACTTCTATAATCTCAGAGATGAATAGACTTCATATTGTGTTAATAGACTTGCCGGTCCATGTTAAGCGTGTGGAGGCTTGTTCAGAAGGCAAGTCAAACTTTCCCGCCTAATCGCTGTGAGCTGATAACAATGTCAAAGGTTGTGTGATTACTAGTCAAGCCTTCAGTAATATGTATAGACAAGTCGCTGGTGGCAACACAATGGCTAATCCTGTCTATATTGACAAGGGCCAATAAGATCATACACCACCATGTAATATGTAGGTAGAAGGCTGGAATAAGTCTCTTGTGTAATGTTTGTTGCAGTATTGAAATTCTAGTTTTTATGATAATCAAGCCAGGTGGAATGGCTGTTAATTAGATTATGCAACAATGAAATGACATAGAGATTTACCTGTTTAAAGTGGAATATTTAGTGGGAGTTGTAAATATTGGTGTACAGTTAATATTATATATTTTGTTTGTGTAATTCTGTGTCGTTTGTTCTAACATTTTCATAAAAGCCTTTAAAACCTGTGAAAATATATCAGTCTACATCTTTGTTTGGAATTTATTGGATTATCTACCTGAATTATCACAATGATTGAATCAGAACGACTTAGAACTTTAACTAGTAGCACTGAAGTGTACAGACGGACGCCCAGTCCAGAAAGATTATGTCGTACACCCAGTCCTAAACGAGTAACATGGAAGAATCCAGTTGAACAACAAAAACAAGCAACTGTAAGTTTGACAGTGTGACAGATATTTTTGTTTAGTTAAAATTTTAGAAATCATTAGTCAATGCCATTGATTTTGTATATCTTTCTCACATTGAGGACCCCGGTGGTTGTATCGTTAAGAAACTGATCTGGACTTCAAGCTTCCTATTTGTAAGGTTGTTAGTCTTAAAAATTAAAGAGTGTTGATATAGTGTTAGTAGTTCTGATAAATAGCTGGATGGAAGATTTTGTAGACACTGGTATGTGAGGCACAGGACCTTAAAGTTGATGCGAGCTGGAATTGGGAGCCAAAGTAAGGAGCCAAGATGGCTGTGATGGCATCATACTTGGTTCCTGGTTCATAAGACACTTGTACTTGTTTTTTTTTTTAAAGATTGGTTCATCAGAATCATTTCAGATTATAATTTATAAAACAAAATGAAGTTGAGAAACTTGGAAGTGCAGAAAGAGCACATTAAGAAGTCTTGAACCTTTGCTTTGATATGGCCCAAACCCAATCGATGCTAATTTTCGTATTTTACCTCACAGGATTAGAATTTGTGTAAATCTGTTTGGTAGCCCAGCAGGATTTCATGTGAACTTACACGTAATTTTTTGTTGCCATCATCCATTTCAAACTAGCAATATCACACATGGAACAGTTTACCATCTAACACGAATTAAACATACATTATGCAAGAGCTAAATCTGCCTATTGCAGGTCTTTCTTTAGGCCTGAAATGTTTTCTAAATTATTAATTATTAACTTATCCAGACCATAATCAACGCTCGATAATCAACACTAGCCTGCTATTAGGTTCCGATTTCCTGTTCGACTTCCATTCATAATTTAATCATGAAATGGATAATCGCGACTATGGTTTTTGTTGTACTGACTTAAGTAATGATGATCGAGGCTAGGCTGAAAATTTAATTACTAAATTCTCGGTTCAGAGTTGATCAATTTGACTGAAATTTTCAGCAAATTCTCTTACATTATATAGTTTTTAACTATTATAGTGAGAACTGGCAGCTCCTGATCTAATCTCCCATAATGTATCTTTAAGGAAACCATGCGTTCACATGGAGTTTCTACCCTAATCTTTGAATCTAAATTAAGCTACATTCTATATTCCCAAAGCAAATATGCCTGAAATAAACCAATTATCATTGGAAAACATGTACATGTATTAATCTCAATGTGAAAAAAGCAAACGATTTGTGGTTGTATCTCTTGATAAAATGTACATACATGTAATGAGATAGTCTTTTAATCTTACTTACCAAGAAATGTGTGAGGAACATGTCCAGGTAGTAGAGAATTAGACAATTAATGATACTAATTATAGCTTCAATTTGTACATATACAAATGAGTAATTAGTGTATCACGCTTTTTGATATACATTATTACTACATGGTGATAACACATGAGATAAACTACAGTAAGTAATTGTCAGTTCTTGTTGATATTTAAATTGTTTGTTCTTGTTTCTGTTGAAACTGACTTATTGGAGTACACACACCGAAGTAAGATCTCATCTGATATTTATTGCTTATTAATTTATGATTTGTGCTTTTTAGAAATCTCCGTTTAATTTGGCCATATTTTGGCATCTGTATAATCATTCCATAGTTTAAACATTGTTTCTTGTGATTTAAAACATCTTACAGAGTATATGAATGCATAATTTTCTTTTGGATTTGTAAATTATGTTGTGATAATTATAAGATTATTTGTATAGTGTGTGATACAGTGCAGTATTGATCATTTCAAAGATTTTATCTACCAAGAGGCAAATTTATTTTGTGCTTACTTGATTATTCATGATTGTTTCTGATGTGTCAAATTTATTGATAACTGACCGTAATCTTACCCCCCCCCCCCAATACAATACTGCTATTAAGTTTGAATTATTATTGAAAAGGATATTTCTGGATTAGCATAAGATTAAATTATAATTATGATAGATTTAATGGATTATTATAAGCCATAATATATCATCTCTTATCATTATTGTTATAGTACGTTTATAATACATGATATATAATGTATCACCTGGTAGAATCTCTATAATTCTATGTTACCATAGGGTATATAATACACCTTTATATACCATACAATGCAAACTTTTATATGAAAGATTTTATGTAGTGTATGTCAATAGGTAGACATGAAGCAGTATAATACATTATAATGATATTAATATATTATTGAATATCCTCTATATTCACACAGTCCGGATTGATTTGTTGGTAAAAATAGTTTGAAATAATAATTATCATTCTTATATTTTGGTAAATATGATTCATAATGTTTAATGCCTTTAATGGGTATGTAAATATATGTCACACTGACCCATCTGAAATTAGCAAAATCCCTAAATATACCCTTATGTTAAAGCTAACCACCCTAAAAAAAAATCATAATATGCATATTTCAAGTTCCATTTAGTTTTGGTTTCTTTCTTTTTTATTTTGTTGGAAAATATGCAAAGAAATTCATGTGTGCAGATCAGTATATGTTATGCCATAAAATCTCATCTTTGTGTAAAGTATTATGAGGTTGGGAGTAATTGTCCAGAAACAATTTCAAACAGCTTACTTTGGTATTTTTCAGGAATATATGTCTAAAGCTAGAGATTTAGAAAGGGAATTACGAAGTTTAACAATTGAAAAAACGAGAGCAGAAACCATGATGGATGTAAGATTTTTTCTCTTATTATACCGGTATTGACAGTGTAATATTTGAATTTTAATATTGATTCTGCATCCAGATTTGAAAGATTGTTTGGAAGAAAAAAAAATGTGCTTGCTCTGGCTTTATATAGATTATGTAGATTAAGTTTATTGTAAAGCTGAATTGATTTTGTTGGCTGTCGTCAAATAAGAATGAATGTCATTTGAAATTGCCTGGAAACAAATAATAAATCTAATTTGACTTTGAAAGATATTAATGATTTCTGTATCATGTTAGCTACATGATTATTGAATATTTATATTTTCAGGATTTGCGATCTCGTTTACGAGAACAGGAGGACAAGTGCTCACAATTCCGTTTGGAAAACAGTAATTTAAATTATGATATTGATCAATTGGTTGATGTAATGAGGAAGGCTAGATCAACAGGACGTTGGGATGTATGTGTTTTATTTTATTTTAATACAGACAGGGAATATATTCCATATATCTGTATAATATGTTACATTTACAGGAAAATTAACTTATTACGCCTATGCTTTGAAAAAATGTTTATGTATGTAATTATTTATTACGATCCTAATTAAATGAAGACAGCACAGATCACAAAACTGCTTATCAGAGTGTGTTTTGTTTTCGTGGATATAAGTTGAATTTTGGCAAATTTTTAAAAAAAAGTAAAGTTTAATGCAGAATGAAAAGGAAATCATTAAATTGTAAGTCATATTCAAATGTCCTTGTATCCATGCTAATAAAAGCTGATTATAGGAGTATTATGAGTTTTGCTCACTTATTCTATCTAACATGCAAATGTCGCTCTATTGTATTTATCGAAATTATATGTTATGTGTACAATTCTTTTTACAGGTTGATTCAGTTCGGTTTCGAGAGTTATCTCATGAACAAGTTTTTGGTTCCTTGCAGGACACGTACATAAAATCGTAAGTTTTATTTTATTATATTAGTGGATTATCTGTAAAAACATTAAGATTGATTAAATGTCTTTTCACCTGTAGAACAGTATTACCTCATGAATGGTAATTTATAATCCTATACTGATTGGAAGAGACAAAATAAATCTTAATCCAATTACTTGATATTAATGTATGACACAACAACAGAGATTAGATTGATGAAATAAAGATTAATCGTGTATATTGAAATTTTTATGTGTTATTCTATTTCAGTCTAGATGATGATATAATTAGAGATTTAGAAGATAAATTAAAACGAAGAGATGAAACAATAGATAGTTTAAATAGAGATTTACAATATCATGTAATTATCTTTTTAATTCTTTTATTTTACAATATCATGTAATTATCTTTTTAATTCTTTATTTTGGTAATTGAACTTAAACAAAACTTTCATGTAATTATCCATTTAATTCTTTAATTTGTTAATAAACTTAAACAACATTTCTAATGTCATGTAATTACATTTTTAATTCTTTAATTTGGTATTTGAACTAAGACAACATTTCCAATATCATGTAATTATCCGTATAATTCTTTATTTTGGTAACTGAAATTAAACAACATTTCTAATCATATTTGGGATTATAAACTCATTGATAAAAGAAGCACTGTGTCTTCCCTGAAAATTTGAGTACTGTATGATATAAATTTGAGTAATATTGTGTATTGCATTGTAGCGGAGTATGTCTGATTCACGTTTACAGTATTCATCAAGTTCTATTCCGTCCAGTCAAACAGATAAAGATTATACTATTAGTCAGTTAAAAAATGATCTTCGTAAAGCAAATCAAACAGTCAATGATTTGCAGTATGAGGTTAGTCTTATAACTAAATATTTATTTTATTGTTAGTCTTCAAACTCAGTACAAAGAAAATTTTATTGCTTACATGCACATCAAAACCCAGACATAAAATACATATTTTCAAAAACATGAAATTGTTTTCTGAATGTTAACAGGAAATCCAAATATCAAAGTGAATACAAATCTGTGAGCTTCCTGAAATTAAAAGACATTTTCCTCCTCACAGAAAACTCCTTAAAATCTTAGTCAATAGGAATCCCATGCAAATTACAATATTGCGAAAGTTGAATTTCCAATAAGAATAACAGTCCAATAATGGTTCAGTTCTGTACTGTATTCACAAAGATATGTTGAATTGAAATTTCATCGATCAATGCTGGTCACTATATGTAATAAACCTTCCGCCATTTTGCTGTGAGAGGCCTTATTCAAATCTGATTGAATCCCAACCGGACAGTTATCCATTGTGCATATTTTGATTTTGTTATCTTCATTAAATGTTAAATAATCAATCTAAGTACATATTAGCATCAATTATGCAGTGAGAAATTTGAAACTTTGATAGACATATTACATACCAAGCTTATCCCAGTCTAATCTGAAGTATAGTGTACAGTGAACAATGGAGAATAGGCATAAATATACTGTATGAGTATATCATAATACAGTTTTACTTTTAGAACAAGAAAAATAAAATGAATTTGGTTTAATCATGTCAATATTTTATTTTTCAGCTGTCAAATAGAGAAAGAAAAATAGGTTCACTTCAGTCACAGTTATCTGAATTAAATAATGAATTGGCTTTAAAAAATTCTGAGGTACTTTAAATATATTTATTGATATTATTAGATTGTATTGTATTAGATGCACAATTTTCACAAAATTGGGGTTGTGTGGTACCCTGTTTTTAGCAATTTTAATAAGATTATGTATTATGTTTTTATACTATTGTCTGTTTTTTAGTTGGGTAAAACAGAAGATTCCATGCGTCATTTAAGAGCTGAAACAAGTTATTCTTTTAAACAATCTTCAGAGGTAGGTTTAATTTCATCTCGTATTCTATTCGTGCGAAATGGAGCAGCCACTGAGGCTCAGTTATCCCTTGAGAGTGGTGTAGTGGGGACCAGTGTACACATTGGTGTGCCCTTAAAAGAACCCATGACAGTTAGAATTTGAAATAAGATTAGGCTGTAGTGCCGCTATTCGGTCAAAATTTCCCTCATTCCCTCATACCACACTGTATGACATATACCTATGAAGGAAGACTGCACTACACACAAAACAATACGGAAAAGATACGCTTCCAGACTAGATAAGCTACATAGACATTGCAAGAAATAAACAACAATATCAAATCAAGTGAATAGATCCAGGGACCAGCCATAAGTGTCCACTGCACTGTACAGTCTTGTATGTCACTTTGGCACTAACAGTGGGGAGGGGAAGGGGGACAAAAAAGGTTAGACAGGAATTATACTCCTGGTAACATAATTGTGGGATGGAACCTCCAGCACTTTCAACACTGATAGACCTCATGATCTACAGTACTTCACCCACTCATTCACTCATCATTCAGTCTCATCCATAGACTCTGCGGGGAGTGTGAATTATTATAAAATGCCTTGTTTGAGTCACACGTTATTAGGACATCATCATAAATGTTTGGTTATACTAATAGTATAGTTTGTAATTTATGTGATATTATTTATAATTTAGATGCCTCATGGGGACAGAAGAATACAAACATTAGAAGAAGAGTTAAGAGATGCAAAAGAACAGAAACGTAAAGCATATGATGAGGTTTGTAAATTATAGATTTTATTATAATGGATACCAATACTCTTTTCTGAAATTTAAAAAATAATAATATACAAATAGTTACAGATTAAATTGCTAGCACCTTCATCCACCCGTCTTACTATTAGGGTGATGTGTCAATTATCTTGTAAAACATGATTTTAACAAGAAATATATTTTTCCTGGCTGTCTGAATATATTTTATAATGGATGATTATGTATTTAGGATTGCATCTGTTGAATAAATATATTTTAAAGAGATTAGGCCACCATGGATGATTTGTAATGACCTTTATTGCATTTGATAAAGTTTGCATACCAGCTATAACATGACAATAAGAATAATTTTGATTCTTTCTTTTTGGTAGATAAATACATTACAAGAACGTCTTCGTGAAAGTCAGATGTCAACCAAAGATCATCATGGTTTACTAAAGAATGAACTTTCAAGACGAGATGAAACGATACAAAAACTACGAAAAGATGTTTTATCATTACAAGACAAACGAGATTCAGCTGTTTCAGAGGTAAATTCTATTTGTATTAAGTGACGAGACTGGCATATGCTCTAAGTTTTGAAGATTTCCAGCTACTATAACTACCATCAGTACTATACTAGATATCAGATATACTGTGGATTATCAGCTAGACTGCCATTATTCTGTCTTCATTAGCCCAATTGGTGCAGAAAAGTAGGACGTAAATTAAATCCCATTTTATTTCACTGTCGTTATTAATCAGTCATCAACCATGAAAGAACTTTTTATGTGGTTTTCCTGTTTCCTATATCTTTTACAAATTAAATCAATTTCACTTATCTAATTATGAATCTAGATAGAATTAGGAATCCATAACAAAGGATGTGCCAAGTGTCAGTTGAAATTTGGCATGCTGCAGTTTTAGTATAAAGAATTACATAATGTCTAATAGTTGTATTTCCAATGATTCAAACAATAGCCCCCCCCCCCCCCCAAAAAAAAACCACACATACCAAATACCCAAGTCATTAAGAGCGTGTCCGCGAGAAAACCATGCAGAAGGTGCTAATATTAGATAAATCTTTCAATTCCTGTATGAGAAAATTGAAAAAACATTTTTCATATGGTGAAATTGCCAAAATCTGTCTTTTCTCAAATACCAACTTTGGCAAGTCCTTACACCTTTACTATACGTAGCAGAAAGACCAAACTCACACAGTTTATCGATGACTCAGTGCCGTTACCACAATATTAACTTCAGACGATTCTGGCGAACGAGATCTGTATACAGACTGGATATCAAAGCCTGTCTAAATTCCCCATTTTTCGTCACCCAAAGTTTGACGCCCTATAGCTACTTCTTTCATGGAGTGGGTTTAAAAAATTTATGCTCACGTGAACAAGCAACCTCCCAACATTTGATACAAAAAATAAAAATGACTGGAATCGACTTGACAAAAACTAGGTAAAGGAAACAATAACCCATGAAATTAACCTGTAATTTCCCTATTTTGGAGATAATTAACCGTAGTAGATAAAAAAAACCTAACAATTTATTTTCCTTTTCATTCATATGGTGTTTACTACCAGCCCTAAAATACATTAGTATCTGTTTTATAAAAATATCTTGAAAAAAAAAATACTTTCAAAGGCTTGTAATCGTTCATGGCTCATCTGGCGTCAACGGGAATTGACTTCTGCAGTTGTCCACGACCTTTCATTGGAGTTTCGACGTGCTCAATCTTAAAAAACATATCCATTACTCTCAAATAGACATTATTTTAAATAAAAAAATCCAATGAAAATGAAAAATTCACCTAAAAGTGAGATTCGAACCACCAACCGCATGACTTCCCCCGACCCACCCTCTCACCGAGTTGCTTGTCCGAGGGCCCCAAGGTCCATGTCGTGGGCCCTGTTCAGGGGGTTTGCCTAGGGCCTCTCTTGTTCTAAATCCGGCCCTGAAGGTGTAGCTGACGGTGCCCGAGAGCTGTAGCTACCATACTACACTGTTCAATGTCACCCACTTCGACGCAATTAGGCTTCGTTGCCGTTAATATTTAAGCTTCCACATTTCTGTATTGTAGAAATCAGTGGATCTGTCCCAAAATGAATAGTGGAAACATGCTCTGAAATTAAACATTTTGTAGCCATTTTCGGTAACTTGTTTGAAAATGAAATCTTAAAGAGACAATACAACAAATATGTTAAAGGGACAATACGACAATACCAAATATACAATAAATACAAATACACACTTATATAGAATACAACATGGTACAAATAATGGCTATGGATATGATGAAAACGTATAAAAGTCAAAAATTTTATTTCTCTAATTAAATTTGCAAAAAAATGTATCACAAAAGCTTATTTTTAGCACTTTTCAATAAGCTGTATATTTTAAGTATGTTGCATTCCGGTCATTTTTTTTTACACCTATGGATACTATGTGCTTAGCACTTCAAAACCATCCAAAGAAATTCTACTTGCGACCATGAAAGAAAAAGTTAGTGTATCTTTTTCTGCGCTATAAGGACAATGTGAATATGGTACCCTAGAACAAGTCCACACAAAATTAGTATGTACTGATTTTTTTTTTCAAATTAGTGCTGGGGTAGAAGTTGACCACCCGCTTTATCAGACAGGGTCAAAATTAGAAGGTTGCTATTCCACCATAGAATGCAGTCTGTGCTTAAAAAAGGTGATAAATACACATGTGAAAACCGCAATTTTACCCATAAAATGAATAATTCCTGTACAGTCCTTTAGAGCGACATCAGACTGTAACCACTTCAGCATGTTACCTCTTGCCCCTAGGGGGTGTCATACCATAAGTTTGATCAAAAATTTCCGACCCCCCATCTTAGCACTTTTTGCGATTTTTGCATGGTCTTCTCGCGGATACACTCTTAATTATTAATATCAATAGTCTATTGTTATATTTACTTATCAACAGCTTGATGAGTGTAACAGAAAACTTGCACAACTTGAAGGAAAATATAAAACACATACTGATGAGGTAATCCAATAGGTTGTAGACAAACATAATAGACATTTTATATCAAATTCTATCTGACATTAAAAAAATGTAACATCTTGTACATTTTATAAATAGTATCTTTGTAACAAATTAGACTACTCCAACTCCAATTAAATTAAGGGAGCATTGTTTTAATAAATAGTTAAGGAAGATTGTGGTTAGTTTTATTTATGGATATATATAGAATAGTTTAATCAGTTTTTACTATACTGTATTATCATCAGTTCTTACTTTAAAATGGAATTAGCATGTAGTACTTTTATTTATACTGTAGACTTCTTAATCTAAAGATAGACAAATATATTTTAAAGGTCAATGTAAATATAACAGAGACATACAACCTTGTGCTGAATGTGCCCTCTGTAGTACTTCCTGATTGTATGCAGATTAGTTAAAATTAGTTTATTTTTGTCTCCTGATTTACTATCTTATGTTATTACATAAATTATTGAAAATCGATAGTAAATATTTGGGGAATAAATATATATTGTAAAACATTTTAAAATATTCATGAAAAATTTAAAAGATAGTATATTATAATAACTTGTAATTTCTATTACTAAAAGTAAACAGAACATTATTTACCTGTGATATTACTCATGTAGAAGCAGATGTTCAATGTCAACTATTTTAATTTTCAAAGCCTTAACCAAGTATTTGTTGAAAATCTATATGTTCGTACAATGTAGTAACTAACAGCATGTTATCTAATCATTTACTTCAAACTGAAATATGCTCAGGGGTTATTTATCATTAATTTCGATACTTCATTCGTTATCCAATCTGAGAAAATCTATATTTTAAGAAAAAAACAAATATATATATATATATTTGTTTTTTTTCCAGTTAAACAGACAGAAATCATCAGATAGTGAAGTTTCATCTCTTCGAAACAAATTAAGTGAAGCTGAAAATGAGGTTTGTTTAAATTATTTTTATACAGATTTATTATGTTAGATCTTAGAGAACACTAAGTTTTATTTTGGAACTTTTGTACTGAAAAAAAAATAAATAATGAATTGTGAAAATACTATTTATTATAAGTTTTGTCATGTTTGTAAACAGGACCAAAACCACGTTATTTACATGGTGTTGTTAGGTTTACATTTAAGTGACTAAGATTTATTTCAGATAACAGTATATGATTCTTTTTGGATATTAAAATAAAATTGTCAGAATGTTTTCCATTTAAATATTGATTTTATGGTGTTTAAGATTCATTTTGAGCATAAGATTGAACATTTGATAAAATTTAAGTTTATAAGTTATTAATTAGACAAACATTTAATGACATGAATTGATATCAGCTTACATCAAAAGGTAATAGTTAAAGAATTAAATAATAAATATCCAGTAGATTTATAAATATATTATCTGAATTTTTATTTATGTCTTTATTATAACTGTTTTTTTTTTATATATAATTTTCTGAAAAGTAGGCTTAGCCTCTACATCAGCACAGCACCCCATAAATTTTGTATCCATGTGAATAGAAAGTTTAGTTGTAGACTTAGTTAGTTCTGAAGTAGATTTACATATAATATTAGCCTAGCAGATCACAAAATTTAAATTTCTCTTAAATCTTAATCAAATAAACAATTTATGATTTAAAGGCGTACATGGCTAAGAATAAAGTGACAAGGTTAGAAAGTGAATTAGAATATTTACGTAAACAAGAATCAGATGCTCAATCAGAGGTAATAAAATTAGTAGTTAGAACTTGAGTGGTTAGAAGTAAAAAAAAAAACAATGTCATGAATGTTGTCAAAAGCTGTTTGAGCAATATTAAAGATGCATTATGTAAGGATTAGATAAAGAGCTGACCGTTCTTGCTATAAGAATTCAAACAATAATAATTCAAAAATAGCTAATGAAAAAAAAAATGTATATTTTGGAAATTTCAGTCAAATAAATTTATTCTGGCGCAGTTTTAACTATTTGAAAATGTTGAGTAAATCGTTTACTATTGTAGCAATGGTACTGGACAACCAAGACTACCATAATTCTCAATTATCCATTTTATCATTACAGTTTAGAATCTTGTAGGTGTTCAATCCATTTAAATCTCAGCCATCCGATGATCTAGAGAGTTGATTATAGGCTTGTCATGTGAATAAATGTCTAAATATACTATTCAAAAAAAGTAGGGGATATTTGATTTTTAAGTGTTATTAAAGTCACCTAATGAAACTGACGAAGAAACAAATGACAAAATGAAATTAAGTTCACATTCATCGATTTATTCCAAATGATCGTTAGACTAAGTAAGGCACAGACTGACCATTATAAGGGTAAAATGATACCCGGGGTCAAACAGCAAAGTTACCACAGCATCACAACCAAGTCAGTAACGGGTAAATCCTCCTCTGTTTGCCAAACAAGCATTGATCCGACGTGGCATACTCCTAATGAGACGTCTAAGGTCATTTTGGTCCAGATTGTCCCATTCCTGTTGCAACGCAGCAGCAAGTTCTTGGACATTGGCAGGACATTGTTGACGTTGAAGTAACCTCTGTCCAAGCATGTCCCAGACATGCTCGATGGGGGAGAGGTCGGGACTCAGTGCTGGCCAAGGTAATGTGGTGATGTTCTGTTGTTGGAGGTAACCTGTAACGATCCTGGCCCTGTGACATCTTGCGTTGTCATCCTGGAAGATGAAACGGCGGCCATGACGTCGTGCGAACGGCACAACATGGACTGCCAAGATGTTGTCCCGGTAGTACTGGCCTGTAACACGCCCTGCAACAACATGTAAAGCCGTTCTTCCAGCAACAGTGATGCCTCCCCACACCATAACAGAACCACCCCCAAATCGATCATGTCTGATGACGTTAACGTCTTGGAAGCGCTCGTTTCGACGACGCCACACCCTCCTACGTCTGTCCAAAAAATCAACAGTGAACCTTGACTCATCTGAAAACATCACATTGCTCCAGCGTCGATTATCCCAGTGTTGACGATCCCTACACCAACGACGTCTTGCCTGAATGTGATGATCTCTAAAACAAGGGATCACGCGAGGACGTCGGGTGCGAAGGTGACCCCTATGCAGTCGATTCCGAATCGTCTGGCCACTCACTCTCACACCAGTGTCTGTTTGAAGACGAGCGCTGATCTGATTTGCTGTGATGACACGATTTCTCAAGGCCAAGGTACGGATAAATCGATCCTGGGCTTGAGTTGTCGCCCTTGGTCGACCTGAGCGTGGTCTGTCCTGTACAGATTGTGTATCACGGTATCTGGACCATAGCCTGCTTATGACAGACTGAGAAACATTCATCGTCCGCGCCACAACCGCCTGTGTTGTGCCGATCTGTAGCATGCCAAGGGCACGTAACCTTTCATTTTGGGTAAGCCGACGCATATCAAAATTTGTTTTCTGGTCACTAAAACAATTAAACTGATGTTTCCACCCTGGAATTCAATGCCACAATGACTGTAACATTCAAAGTCAGAGTCGTGCAAATCTTGGGTTGGACCCCCATGATGATCCCAAGCATCACCTGCATTCCATGCGGTAGCTATTGGTGCGTTTGGGCGTCACATGTAACTGGAAATGTTTCTTCTGTTAGGTTCTATAGTGACTTTTTTCGTAGTCATTTGCATATTTTAGTATTGTGCCCCCAAAATCCAATATCCCCTACTTTTTTTGAATAGTATATTAATTTGTAAAAGATTTGAACTCAGAAAAAAAAAACCCCTGCAATTGGCAGATTTAGCTCTTACATAATGCATCATAGGATTTATTCAAATTAAAAAGCAATTAATAGATACCACTACATATACACGTAATATTAAACCAATGAAAATCAAATAAAGATGAAACATTGATTCACGGTAGCTAGACCTCGGGCCAAATATTACTACAGATATACATAGTCATGTGTCATTTCTCATACTGATAATTTTAATGCATTATTATTATTTTTTAGATACTGAAATTAACATCAAATTTACATAAATTACAGTTGTCCCAAGATACAAGAACTCCAGAGGTTTGTTTTTTGTAATTATATATGTAACTTCATGAAATCTCATAATTATAAATGGTTGTTGATCATAAAAAAAAAACCACTCAACAAATCTTAGTTATGTCTTGTACTTATTTGAATTTTAGATTGATCGTGATTCTATTGTAAAACTGAGATCAGAAAGTCGTGATGTAGAAGATAAGTTGAGAGACACCTTATCTACTGTACAACAGAAGAATGACATGCTTAAACAATTAAAAGATGATATCAGTGCTGCTAATAATAAGGTATTTTATAAAGCATTGGTTATCCTATACTGTTTTATAAAATCAATCGTGTTTATTATCATGATACTTATAGAAAATGCAGGCAAAGTTTGGTATAAAAAAAGAAGATAAAATTGCAATGATTCACAATATGTCCATTAAATGTTTCGTTTGTCCAAATGTGTCAACCCTCTCAAACTGTAAATTGTTCTTGTATTTAAACAGCTACATGATAGTCAGATGAGATGTGATGAAAAAGAAAGAGAATTACAACAAGTACAGACTAGATATTCAACACAATCTAGAGAAGTAAGTCATACTACACTGGAACATCTCCCTCTATAAGATGGTTCAAATTATGGCTGATTTCAGTATTATGCTGGGGCCTATATTGCTCCTAGTAGCGTGAGAGTGAATAAAATACAGGGGACTTGCTACAACACAGGTGAAATAAGTGAACATCAGCATTACAGTCAGTGGACCCCAACATCAGTGTAAAGTGGAGCGTCAGTTTAATTACTAGCTAGATCACAGATCTGACATTTTCTTTTAAAAAAGAAATACGTATATAATATGACTTGGCTATATATTAAAATCTAAGTTATTGATTTATCTAAATTGAGTTGGATGTTAAATTACTTCAATAGTGTTGGAGTAAAATCATATTTACTATAAAATTAAAATGATTATTACAGCTTGATCGTCTCCAGACTGATATACAAGAGAAAGATTTAGCTAATGCTAGACAGGAAACAGTATATAAATCACAGTTAGCTGATAAAGAGGATGAAATATCACATCTTAAAGCAGATCTGAATATTATTCATGAAAAATTAGCACAGAATGATTCTCAGGTAAAATAATATAAACTCTTTAAATTTATTATCTTAAAATTGGCACTATCACTTTCATGTCCTTATTATCAATAATCAGAGCACTGACATGCTTGAGAGTGCATTGATCTCCTTGTTTCTGAAAAAATGTCTAAATCTGGGATGAGCTCAGTTGAACACATTTAAGAAATAAGCAATCACCAGAATGAATGTCTTTTCAACATCTTTGTCTTTACCAAATATCTTTTGATGTTCCGTTATCTAAAATATATAATTTAATATAAAATTACAGCTTATGTCAAGAGAAGAACAACTTCGTCGTCTGCAAGCTCAGTTACGTGAAACACAAAATGTACTAGCTGAGAAAGAATCTGCTGTACAAAGATTAGAAATGGATTGTATAAATATGGAAGATGACAAACGATGTATTGCTGATAATGTAAGCCATATTGATATATTTGTTTCATCTTGTACTGTCTGTCTTGTCAAACTAAGTATTTCTTTCATAATCATATTGATATTTTGTTCTTATCCCTATCTGATAAATAATTTCATTATTATATGATTATATGACAAGAAACTAATGCATTGGTTAATTGTTGTGGCCTGAAGGTGGTTAACATAAATGCTTATTGAAATTAATAAAGCTTGCATACCCTACTCTTGCCTAAAACATAAAAGTACTTAAAGACACTATTTGACATCATTAATGTATATGTTATAAAACAACTTTGCTTTGAATTAATTCTGTTGAATATCACTTTGTTTTGTGGGGGTTACATTTGACAATACAACTGATTTATGGGATAACTGCTCCCATACCTCATTTTGTGTAACAGGACAAGAATGTCTATTATTTCTTGCTTCCATTAATTTCTTGTTTTACGGTACCGTATATATTTTTTTAGCAACTATAATATAATAATGTATATTATATACTGGTTGTAAAATATATATCAGCTATAGTATAATTTATATTAATATGTAGTAAGATGTACTGTTAGTTATAGTTGGGTAGAGGTGGTATAAACATAATATATATTTGTTTGTTATATATAGTTGGGTCGAAGTGAGATAACTATACGTCAACTAGAGAATGATTTAGTTAGTATAAAAGATCAGTATAAAGAAGCTGTAGAAGAAAATGGTAGATTAGAAGCTAGAATACAAGCATTTACTATAAATGCTCAAAGTGAACAAGATGAACTAAATATTGAGGTTAGCACAACTTATTGAGTTTGTAATCTACATCTATGACATTGTGGAAAATTCAACAGTTTGAACTCATTAACAAAACTGTCCCATATAGTTTTCTGAAAATCCTGGAATCACAGAATCAAGTGATGTATAACTTTTAATCATTGTGCTACAGATTACAATTGTTATCCCTGTAATCAATTTCCCTGGTCCAAATTTACTAATCTTTCTTGTGCATAGCTTTGTCAGAATATAGTAAAGGAACAGCAGCACCTGAACAGCAGTGTTTCGTCTCCTCTTACTACTCATTGAAATCTGAATATCAAAGGTTACAAATAGTTAGTTAAATGATGTAATGAATTCTTTGCTTAACATTTTAGGTAAGGAGAAGAGAGGAAGCTATTAAAAGATTAAAAATGGAACATGTTAACTTACAAGAAAAGAATAGTCATGCTGAGGAAAAGGTAACTTACATACATAATATAATAATTCTTCTTTAATAACCTTTCTTACTCAGATCAATGCATGTTCAGGTTTATGCTGTTGGCTGTATATTTCAACTTCTGTATGGATATAAACACCTTATTGATATTGTTTGTCTAGATATCTATATTTATATGTATCTCTTTGTTTCCAGATTAGTCAATTAGAAAGAGAAATTGATCAACAACGAAATGAAATTCGATCTTATAAAACAGAGGTAAGTTTGAAGAAATTTATCAACATTTGATTTACCCTATATGTTAACTTTCAAGAGATGCATAATTCTGTTGCAGCTTGTTCATTTCAAATTGGATTAAGAGCCCTAGTTAACCTTTATTGTGGCATGTTCAGACTTTAAATCTGTATTTGTAACAAAAACATCTTAAAATAATATCTTTGTATTTACTGTGTATGATTCTATTGAACAAATTTCTTTTAGATTGAGGGTAAAAAAGGTACGATTAATAATTTAGAAATTAGTTTGGATGAAGCTAAGCAACGCTCTATGACCTTGATAGATGAAATCAATAAATTAGAGGATAAGCTTCGAACTTTAACCTTAGATTTAACAACTTATCAGTCGCAGAATGAAAACCTACAATCTAATGTAAGTACCAATTTTACTCCAAACAAGTTTTAAAAAAAAATAAAATGGGATAAGAATTTATTTTATTATGATTAGTATGAATCAAATGGTATTACTTTTCAGTGACGAATTTGTTTACTTTGTCATTTGTGCTTCAGTAGTCTTTGTATTTTATTTTAGTTGGTCACCAAGGATGACTTAGTTCATCAATTAAAAGATGACCTAGAAGAATTACATAGACAACAAAAAGAAACTATGGGCAAAGTTTTTGTTAGAGATGACAATATTCAAAAACTTAACATGGAGTTGAACAGACTCAAAGCTAAACATCATGAAAAATCTAATGAGGTTAGTACATATAATTTTAGCAATATTTTGTCTCTACGGATCCAGTTGTAGCGCTTGTTTGCTTTTATTTGATAGAAACTTTAGATAAACAACTCAGACATGAAAATAGTTTTTAGATATTGTTAGTTTTAAATTTTAAATTTACTTCATTTTACAGCATAAGCTTATACAAGTTTTTTTTAACAAATGGAATGTGTCTGTGGCTAAAAATCAGAATTGTCTAGTCTCGATCACTTCATCTGTAATTGTCTCTGCAACGATAAAAATAATTAACTACTGGTCTGAAAAAAGCAGATTCAATTATGGTAACGGACCGTTTCCATATGGAAATGTTGTTTCAGTTCACAGGTTGACAATGTAGTCAAAGGAAAGGTGAAGGATATTTTTCTTCCAAACCAATCATAAGATGCACATAAATCTCTGTATGATACTTTAGAAATAATTGATACTATTTTGTCAATACCAATATTAGTTGCAGTTGAAACAGACAATTTGGTCTGCAGTGAACAAGATTAGGACCTGTCTGCCATTGATTTGATGATATACTTGTATTGCATACCACAACACACAAGGGTTAGGGCAATGGTTAGATTTAAGCTTTTGTAGACAGCATCTGAAGTTGCTTCATATTTTATTTAGATTCAGCAACAAAAAGATTTGATTATTAGATTACAAGATACTTTAACACACTGTCATGTTGACCTTGATAAAACACGAAAACAGTCGGACACAAATGTAAGTATAATATTATAGATATATAATATATAGAGGTCTTTTTTAAGACTTGTTGAAACTGTCAATTCAAAACATTAAAGTTTGCTGTGCTTGCTTGATTTTTTTACAGCTGTAAGTACTAACCAGAAAAATTACATTTCTGTTATCAGCTAAAATTAAGATAAAAATAGATTAAATATATTTCTTTCAATGTTATTATATTAATATTTACATAATGTATGTCTGGTATAATTGTTTACATTGTTTTGAACAGAAGTTATATTTGTATCTCCGAAATATAGTTAAGATCTTATTATTGTTCAGTTGTGAGGGTGGGAGTTGTTTTTTATTTATTATTTTGCTTTTCTTTTTATTAAATCACATACACCATACCGATCTTCCTAAATGTGCCGCAGAATTTTGAATGGCACACTAAAAAAATGCGGAAAACCACAAGAGCCCAATTCGGCATTCACTGGTGTCTACTAATAGCTGTGTTTTTCTTTATTTATAATGAGTTATTCTATGTGTCTATGACTAGTCTCTGTCTGGTTGTATGCCATCTGACTTGCATGTTTTTATTTTGCAAAATTCAAATATTTTCCATATATATTTAGCCAGGTGTGCCGCTAGTTTTGTCATGTGTTCCAAGGTGTGTCGTTGGCAAAAAAAGGTTGAGAACCACTGCACTATATATTGTCTAGTTCAGTATGGTGTATGTGGTCAGATTCCTGTGGTTAAATTTAAAAATGATTTTTCTAGTCTACCTAATACATTAAGCAGCTATAGACTAATATCACATTTTTCCATAGTTTTATTCACAAATAATTATAATATGATCACATGTTGGTTTTTGTTTGGTGCACCTGACATTTGCTAGTTTCTTTGTCTCATTTCTGCTAGTCTACACAGAAGGAATTGGCTATCAAAGAGTTACAAGAAGAACTGTTAGAATGTCAGAGTCAGTATTCTGAATGCTATAATCAGGTGGGTTGTGCATTTCTCTTTTAGAATCTAATACAGAGACTTTTATAATTAGACATAATTAAATTACATTTATCTCTACTTACCTCAAACAAAATAGTATAAAGGTAATTATATAGGCCTTACACTCAAATGTGGAATGACATGAAACATAGATTGATATGAAATGGGTACTGTCTTGTTTTGATTTGGTAAAATGGTTTTGGTAAAGAAGATACTTCTGCTCCCACTATTATGATAACATGTCATCTTGTTTTTGATTGGGCAATAGATTACATAAGCTGCCTCTTCCTCATGACAGTATGTTATGACATATTTGATTGGTTAATTAGAATTGCCGTCTGCTACTTGCTGTGGAAAAATGTTATCTGATTTTTGATTGGGTAGCTGAAATAGCCTGATCCTTTTTCACCATATTTGTCATTTTAGCTGGGATGGGGAGTTAGAGCACATTGTAATATAATTAAGTCACCTAAAAAGGAATCTAGTCACCTAAAATGCAGTCTATTTACTACAATTTGCTAATTATATTTGCAGGTGATTAAACAGGAAGATCAAATCAGTAAATTGAAAGAAGAAAATAGTCGATTGAATAAGTCTGATCATCGTAATGCCCAGGATGTTGTCACATTACAAGATCAAGTTCATCAACTAGAACTAGATCTAACTATATCACAAGAAAAACATAGAACTTGTCAAAAAGAGGTAAAGTATTTATTAGGCTTTCGGTGAAAGACTATCGTTATTACTAAGATTATTATTATTCTTTTTTTTTATTATTGGAGGAACGTAGTTCTCAGCAACTATAAGAGATAGAGGTCTGGAGTTTGATTTCCTTCCGGAAAAAATGGGTGGTGGTTAGTGCTCAACTTGGTTAATTCTCAACTGATTTTTCTGGTATATTTGCATTTTTGGATAGCTGGATACATTTCTGAGCAGATAGCAGTTCAAAAACATTGAATTTAGAAACTTTGTTGCTCTCATTTTTTGTTGAAAATTTTCAAATTTTAAAGATTTTATTTTTGGGAATTTTTAAATTCTGATTACATTTTGGGATAGCTGACATCCATTCGATTACAACGATATCAATTTTTTTCTTGAAATGTTAAATTTGATTTTTCACTTTTTTTTTACCATTTTGGTCAAAATCGTAGAGTTTGTACTACTTTAAAACGAAGCTTGAGGAATATTTTATATTTGAATCAAACTTATTACAGAAATAAATGAAAAGAGTTAGGACATTCATCACTAATTATGACTTATTGAAATGATAGTAAAAGGTGATCTCAGAGGAGTGGTATATAAAATTGTGTACATATATGAGGTTGCTCCAGGGACTGTTAAGTTTTATTTGCCTATTTTCATGTTAGAATAACGTACTTAAAATAATAATATTTAGTCCTCCTGTTTTATGCCTTAGGTCTGTTTGTCGACATTGACTTCATTCAATTTCTCACATGTTGACCTATTCAGTTTTTATGGCCAAGGTACCAACATTTTAATTTATTTATAATAATTTTGTTCACCTATTTTTGTTGTTTTACAGGTTGCGAACAGAGATCAGAATATTCTACGTTTACAAACAGATTTAGATACAACTCAGCAGAACTATAATGGTGTCTCAGAGGAGGTAAAAACTTTATTTTATTTTAGTCATTCTGTTTATTGCAATACAATTTTTATACGTCCACATTCATAATGTGAACGTATTATGCCGTCGCCCCTGTCTGTGTGTGTGTGTGTGTGTATGTATGTATGTGTGTGTGTGTGTGTGTGTGTGTCTGTGGTTCGCCTACAGGGCGCAATTCTTCATGGATTTTCTTCAAACTTGGTATACTTATTCCTTATACCCTAAGGATGATCCCTATTGTTTTTGGTGCATGCCCGACCCCCAGGGGCAGAGCCACGCCCATTTTTTGTATTTGTTTGTTTGTCGTCTACAGGCCACATTTCTTAACGTATCATCTTGAAACTATGCATACTTATTCTTTGTACCCTAAGGAACATCCCTATCGTTTGGGGTGCATGCCCGACCCCAAGGGGCAGAGCCACGCCCACTTTCTTTTCTTTGTATGTCTGTGTGTCGCCTATAGGCCACAATTCTTAATCAATCGTCTTGAAAATTTTTCATATGAATTGCTTATACCCTAAGTATGATCCCTATTGTTTTTGGTGCATGCCCGACCCCCAGGGGCAGAGCCACGCCAATTCCTTATATTTATTTATTTGTTTGTCATCTACAGACCGCATTTCTTAACGTATCATCTTGAAACTATGTATACTTATTCTTTGTACCCCAAGGAACATCCCTATCGTTTGAGGTGCATGCCCGACCCCAGGGGCAGACCCACGTCCATTTTCTTTTCTTTTTATGTCTGTGTGTCGCCTATAGGCCACAATTCTTAATCAATCGTCTTGAAAAATTTTCATATGAATTGCTTATACCCTAAGTATGATCCCTATTGTTTTTGGTGCATGCCCGACCCCCAGAGGCAGAACCACGCCCATTCCTTATATTTATTTATTTGTTTGTCATCTACAGACCGCATTTCTTAACGTATCAACTTTACATACTTATTCCTTATACCCTAAGGATGATCCCTATTGTTTTTGGTGCATGCAAGCCTCCCCGGGGCAGAGCCACGCCCATTTTTTGTATTTGTTTGTTTGTCGTCTACAGGCCACATTTCTTAACGTATCATCTTGAAACTTTGCATACTTATTCTTTGTACCCTAAGGAACATCCCTATCGTTTTGGGTGCATGCCCAACCCCCAGGGGCAAAGCCACGCCCATTTTCTTTTTTATGTCTGTGTGTCGCCTACAGGCCACAATTCTTAATCAATCGTCTTGAAATTTTTTCATATGAATTGCTTATACCCTAACGATCATCCCTATTGTTTTTTTACCCCCAGGGGCAGAGCCACGCCCATTTTCTTTTCTTTTTATGTCTGTGTGTCACCTACAGGCCACAATTCTTAATCAATCGTCTTGAAAAAATTTCATATGAATTGCTTATACCCTAACGATGATCCCTATTGTTTTTGGTGCATGCCCGACCGCCAGGGGCAGAGCCACGCCCATCCCTTATATTTATTTATTTGTTTGTCATCTACAGATCGCATTTCTTATCGTATCACCTTGAAACCTAGCATACATATTCCTTCTATCCTAAGGAACATCCCTATTATTAGTGGTGAATACCCAACACCCAGGGGCAGAGCTACGCCCATTTTCTTTTTTTATGTCTGTGTGTCACTTGCAGACCGCATTTCTTAATCGATCATCTTGAAAACTTTTTTATACTTATTCCTTATAGCCTAAGGCTACTTTTTATACTTATTCCTTAATCCTAAGGCCGACCTCTATTATTATTTTTGGTGCATGCTCGACCCCTTGGGACAGAGCCACGCCTAACGTTTGTGTGTCCTGTGTTTTGCCTACAGACCGCAATTCTTAACAGATCCTTTTGAAACTTTGCATACCTATTCGAAACGTCATGCTTTTAGAATAAAGACATCGATTGTTTTAAAATAAAAATTGTGTTCTGTTCATGTGAACGAAGTGTTAAACTGATAGCAGTCCTACAACCCAGTTTTATTTCACAGACCCTCAATGCAAACTGGACCATATCAAACAAAACAGGAATGTGGACGTATATTGCTGCGTTAGCGATGCTCTTGTATTCTACACAAGACCAGACTTCAAAGTAATTGATATTACTTACAGCATGTAACCTACTTTCTGGTAGACTCTGTAAACAAATTACATTAATAAGAAAATCATGAAATCCTGTGAATGGTTAAATAATTGGTTAAGATTCCATTGCACTGTATAAAGATACTGTAGTAAGAATGATTAAAATAGTTATTGCAATCTGAAATGCTTTGTACTGTATATTTATTAGATGTGTGAAGTTTTCAAATTTTATGTTTTTTAAATTTTGAATTCAAAAGGGAGCTGTAATAATTCAGCAATATCGGATTAAACTCACCAAAGTATTTGATATTGATGTACCTCCTAAAAATTCTGTTAAATAGTTTTAAAGTTGTATTTAAATTTGAGATCCTAAATACCAGGTTATTGATGGTAAAACTAATATGATTTTTTTTTGCGAGAAGTGTTTTATCTTCAAGAGAAGCTCAGTTAAATGTAGTAATTTTAATGGAATTACCAAGACAATTAATGAATGAATGTTGATCATACAAACGGTCATTACAAATATCAGATAAAACTATGTTTTGTGATTCAGATGACAAATTTTGCTTGGAGGAACATTTTAATGCTAGATATTATAAATATGATTTAGTGTATATCAGAATGAAGAAGTAAAATTGGTTGATTAATTAATTTTCATTTAACTGGACGTGTTTTATTTATTTATGTATTTATATAAACATAGAAGTACTTATACTTGATCAACTTTTTAATCTGATTTAAAAATATACACTTTAATTTCTTGTTTTATTTCATTCAAAGGTGTTTTATTTATTTGAAGTTTAAGATGTTAAATAATGTTTTCAGTTGAAGATTAGAGAGGAAGAAATACAGAGATTAACTTCTAAAATAAAACAGCTTCAACAAGAGATAAAAGATCTGAATACACAGATTGAAAATGCTGATCAAAGGGTAGGTTTATTATTCTCTCTTAATATTTTATTTTTATCAAGTTAATAAATGTATTTACTATTTGTCGTTTACTTTCACAAGCATAATTGTTAAAAAGAAAAATAATTCTATCCAGGAAATGAGTTTTATCACTGAATGAATCACAATTAGCACACTTTTTAGTGTTAGTAATACATATAATACATTAGTTAGTAATACATTATATATTTCAGATTGGTGGTGATGAGAAGTTGATACAACAATTACAACATGATCAAGAAATGACCAACCAAGAGGTAAATATTTTAATTATCTATTCTTCTCCTACAACAGATAAACCCTGACAATAACTATTGTATTTGGGCCTGTCAATATGTATCAGTATGTGGGTTTATATTTAACACTCATAAAACAAATAAAAAAAATTTAATCTATTTTCGGCCCATGACCAAAGTCTTAATATTACATTAGATTATATTAGTATTTTTTGTTAAAATTCACATTATCACACCATACTATTATCTATTTCAAGACTTACTGACAAAAATTATTACCATTTTCTTTTATTCTTGTTTAGTCTAGGAGAATCCAACATTAATAAGAATTTGATCACATGTTTTACTCAGGGTTTTATGAAATATAATAGAATTAGTAGTCTACTGTCTCTATACAAACAGTGATTGGTGAAACTCATTGTCCCCTATTTTATTATATTAAACCAAATGTTATATATATTTTTATCATTAATAAATTATTTTATCAAAAATATAATGTCTTGTTATGAAATCACATATTAATAAAATGTTCAAAAGATATCGGAGAGTAGAATATGTGATCAAATTCTTTACTAAAAGCAATAGGTAATATGTTTTATTATGCATCCTGGTATATCTTGACCTTCTATTGAATGGATGCATTTAGTTACCTGCATTTCTCTCAAATTTCTTACCCACCACTTGCTTTAAGTTAAATTGTTTAGTTCTAATTTGTAGTTCTAAATAAATGTGCATTATTAATTTAAAATGACTGACAAATAGTAAGTTTATCATATATTGTACACTATGTTCATTAGACACTTTAAGCATGAAAAATAAGAAAATCACATACATAAATGTTTACCGGTAGTAAAGTCAATCAATTGCTAATAAAATATCTGTAGTGAACTGCCTGGAATTCTAATAAATGCTTAGAATAACATACAAACATTTATAGGTTTGTAACACATGTAAAAATGTCATAACATTGTTGCTATAACTAAAGAGGTACAGATGTAAAAATAAATCAGTCTGTGAGGTTGGAAATCAAATGTTTATATATTTATACTTTTTAACATAGTTAACTTTAAAGTAACTTGCTTGTTAACTGTGTACCTGTATGCTTTAAATTAACTTTCGTACACATGTATACAAATTTTCACCTGTGAATGTCTGTGACAAAGCAGCATCTTGTAATATACAACAAAGATCAGCATGCAAAATCACTGTCAAATTCATAATACTATTTCCTACATGTAGATCTCAAATAATCACCAATACATGAATTTTAAAGCAAGAATGCTAATACTCAGTTGATTGTAGTTATATTTTTCTTATGGTTATTGGTAAAACTTGGTGATGGTAGATTTATGTGATTGTTGAGTCACAAGTTATGTCTTTGTCCATGTCAACTGGTATCTGATAATGTTTTGCATGTCATAGACGTCTTGATTGCATGTAAAATAGAGGTTTGTTATGTCTATGGAGCATTTTATTTTGACTTATATAATGACATGAATAGTAACTATATTTGCAGGGTAAACAATAATAAAAATAATCATATTGCTGGTCAAACTTAGAAGTTTATGGTGTATGATTGATGTATGTCTGTAAGACATGTTAGGAAATTGATAAGTTTTGTTTTTATAAGAAGTCTATTCTATATGCCCCATTTGATCAATTAATTTGCATTTAACAGTTTAACTATAAATGTTTTATTTAAAACTATTTTGTAGGTAAAGAATTACGTACGGACGATTGAACAGTTGAAATCTGATCTTCAACTAGCTAGAAATAGTCACGCTCAGGAGATTAAACGTATGGAACAAGATATAGATATGCTAAAAGAAGATTTAGCTGCTACTAAAGATGACCTTGCTGATAATCAGAGACAATGTACCGAGTATAAACTTACAGCAGAAACTTTAAATCAAGAATTAGAACAATTACATAAATTAAATGAAGATTCTTCTGACCAGGTTTGTATTCTTAACATAATTAAAGTGTGGTTAATCTTTTCATATGGTGCATAAAAAGAATTCTTACCAGTTGGAATGGGAAGAAAAGAAGGCAGTCTAAGTAAAATCTTTAAACTTCCCTTTAATAAATGATAAAGAGCTCAATGTTAGTCTCAAAATGACCTATGTAGCTTACTGCCAAACATGTTAGCATCTTTTAACATTAAATAATTATTTAAAAATCTCTTGAATTTGGTTGATTTATTTTTAAGAACTATTCTCTTTAATTGTTTTCTAGGTGAAACGACAGGGAGATGTTATTAGAGAAAATGAACTAACTTTATCTGACTCTAGACAACAAATAGCTGTTTTAAACAGCCATCTTGATTCTGCTAATGAAGATCTGAAACGTTTAGAAGATGATTTAAACAACTATAAACTGAAATATAATCAGTCAATAGGACAGATAGATAATCTAGAAGAAACTATACAAGGATTACAAAATAAACTTGCTGAAAGTAGAAACAGGGTAAGTTGTTTTATATACTGATTTATTTTCAGATCCTTTCTTTAATGCATTGCAATTGTCACTTGTAAGAAAATTAATTAAACTTTTGGGACATAACACAGGTCCTCAGATCATTCAAATTCTCTTGACTCATGATGAAGAAAACTATTATGTTATGTGTTATACTAAGCTACAATGTTTGTGCATCAGTTTGCATCTGAAAATTATTTCTATTATTTTCAGACAATTTTTCTAGATTGACATATTAAATTCATTTCCCTCCAATTCAATCAATTGTTTAAATTTTAAAAAATGCTTAGTCGTGACCCTTAAAGCAGAAGTCCAGCTTTTGCAATTTCTATTTTATTTTCAATCTACTATTAAAATAGTTGAACAATGCAGAACCTGACCCTCAAATCATTTCTCCGTTAATAAACAAGTTAAAATGCTGGCCATGTTTTCATTAGGATTACTATAATAAAAACACTGTTTATAAACAAACTAATTTTTTTCCGCTGTTATAGCTATCGTGCTCTTTATACCTCAGTAAGTATGAGGTATGAGAGTTGTTGGGTTGAGGATTATTATATCACTGCTCCGTTTTTGTTTTTTTTACAGTGGATGACATATTTATCTGGGTAACTTGTTCAAGACAAAAGATATTGTACTTGGGGTTGAGCATGTTTGAAATTAATTTCTATCCCAAATAACAAATAAAATAAATGATATTGTGTATTATAGGAGATAGAAAGTGAGAGAACATCAGAGAAGATGAAGATAGAGATTAATAGTACTAATTATCTATTTGATGAAACTAAGAAAGAAGTAGATAAATGTGAGAATGTTATAGAACAGTTAACACAAGAACTTAGTGCTACTCAAGATGATTTATCTAGAGCTCAGAATCGTATTAAAGAAAATGAAGAGATGATACGTAATCTGAAAGATAAATTGAATCAAACTGAACATGAGGTAAATATTGTTAAATTCATTGATTAAATATTATTTATCAATAATCAACTATCAAATTGTTATGATTAATTTTTGAAAAAGCAATGATTAGGTTTGGGTATTTTACATAATGTTGAGAAATTGATTTCTAAGCCGAATAATGATCCAGGATGTTGAACTGTCTATCAACAATTCTTGAAAATGCTCTACGGGTTAGAGATTTTGAGAGCTTTTTAATTCACTATTGCAGACATTCTTTGGTTAATACTAAGGTGGAAGCCAATTCGTGGAGTTCTAAATTCAGTTTTTCGCAGATTGACTTCCTCAATCCATGAAAGTTTGTGAACACTTTACATGGCAGTTTTTGAGAAAAAAATGTTCATACATGCTGGGATTATTTGGCTAATCATTAGGATAAACCCTGCTAAATTTCTGACCTGCCCATCAGTTTGGTGTATGTTAATAGGAATAAAGATTGTGTAATATATGTTTTAAATGTAAATAATTATATTTTTTTTTTCTGGTATAGGTTGGTCGACTAGATGAGAAAGCTAGAAGTCTTGATAATCATATTATTACTTATCAGTCAGAACATAGTCACACTGATAATGAGGTTAGTACCACATTCATCATCGTACTATGACCAAACACATATGCAATGTACCAGTTAATGTAGATTAATCTTAGTATTACACAATGGACACCAACAAAATATTAGACTGAACCTACCAATCTTGAACATTATTTTTCTTTTAGACTGCTGATACTCCTTCAACCAGTTATCAAATTAGGTTAAATTTTCTGTATGAGAGTTTCAGTTTGCCTATAATTTATTGTAGTTTATGGAGAGAGAAGATAGAATTTCCCAGTTAGAATTTGATTTAGAAGATACAAGGAATACTCTACAAAGTAAAATACGTTTAGTAGCAGATTTACAAGATCAAATACAAGATTTACAACATGAATTATCAACATTACGAGATCATAAAAACAGCACAGAAAAAGAGGTATTATTTGATATCTTTTAGTTAAATTGTTTACATCGAACAGTATAAGTAAATGAAAATAAAGAAATAGCATGAGGTTTATTCCATATCATTATTTTTTTTTATTTATGCTTGTCAATTACTAAATGCCATTTAAACAACATGTATGTTTCACTTTAGTGTTAGTAAGAAAACATATTTTATCTGTTTTTATGTTGTAGTTGAGTAGAGCAGAGCAGAACATAGAACAATTACAAGTAAACTTATCTTCCACTCATCAAAGACATAAAGCTGATTCGAGTCGTCTAGAAGATCAACTTAAATTATTAGAGAGACAGCTAGCAGAAACACAATCTCAAGCCAGACAACTAGATCAAGAACTGGCTCGTAAAGAAGAACAAGTAAAACGTTGTGATGAAGAAATAGTGTCTTGTCGTGAGGACATCAGACGAAAAGTAGAAGAGGTGACTTTTTTTGTTTCTTAAGTCTTCTGAGTAAATATCTAATAAGTTTCAAACATATAATTGTTATCAAATAGTTTAAATATTGTCACATATTCAATGAATTTGTGTTATTATTTTTTGGCAGATTGAAAGATTAGAATCCAATGTACATAATGGTAAATTAGAGAATAATAAATTACAGGCATCTCTAAGACAAGCTGAAAATATGGTATGTATTTATATTTCTATACACAGATTAGTTTAAACAAAACATAACATGATGATTATAGATGTAAAATAGGATTTATTCTTTACATATATAAATTTGTTTGCTTTTTTCTTTAAGATTGCTGATCAGAAATCTGAGTTAGAACACCTAAAAACTGATTTAACAGATGCTAGATCACAATATAAAGATTGTGCTCAGGAGGTAAGTTTATAGGGTGTTTATATTTTAGAATCAATTCTATTAAGATTTATATAGTCTACATCATATGACATCCTTTACAGAACTATGCATGTTGCCTGTATTTAGATTTTAGAAACACCAGGACACTGACAAAATATGCCTGTCTTCATTAGCCTGTATGTTGCATAAAAGGACAATAAACCCCATTCCATTTATTTTATACACACAAAACAATTCTATGGAATACAATTACTGCATATTACTGAGAGACATCCAGTTAAATTACTAAATGCCATTGAAACAATTATTCATTTATTTTGTAATATAGCTTACAATAGTATACAATAAAGCTGTTGGGTGGCATATTGAAATCCCCCCTATAATGAAACCATTTCAACCGCCTTATTTATAGTGAGATCACAGTGTAGTGTATATTACATGGTGTAAGCAGGATTTATTTATTATATAATTTTAGCTTGCTCACCATGAAGAAAAACTGATGTTAATGGAACAAAGTTTGCAGACTACCCAAGATCAACTGAGTCAACGTGTAACAGAAGTTGTCCGACATGAACAAAATTATCGTAAACAACAAACAGAACTTAAAACATGGAAGGAAAGGGCTAATAGTTATGAAGATGAAATAGCTGATCAGAAAGCTTTGATTGAGAAAATGCGTAAAGATTTGTTAACATCTAAAGAAGACCATCATGCTGCTGAACAAGAAGGTGTGGCTTATAAACAACAAGCACATAAAAACCAGATAGAATTAGATGGTGCTAGAGAACAGGAAAGAATGTTGACTAATCAGGTATTATATTCGAAATATCATAGAAAATTTATGGCACCATAAATAGTATATTGTGGCAAGTTTTTGAAAATTTCTAGGTGCTTTTGCTTTTAAAATTTGTAAAAAATTCAAATACATTAATCAGATATGTTACAATAGAGCTTTATTGACGACTAATATACACTGGACTCTGGAAGTAATATTTAAATTATGAACAACAAACACTCAAGCAAAACATCAGTTTTTGTACTATAACTATCTTGGGTTGTTTATCTGTAGGTTGAACAACAAGATCAGATATTGAATCAGTTACAGACAGAATTACGAGCTGAACGTGAACGACATCAAGAAACCGGACGTCAGTTACAACAAAATAAAAAGATGTCGATAGAATTACAAGATGATGTTGAACAATATCAAAAACAATTACGAGATCTCACCATCAAGGTAAAAATTGATTTATTGTTTGATTTCTTATACATCTGAAGTAAATTTGTAGCCATAAAAAACTACCTTTAATTCAGCCCAACATTCTAAGCAGTACCATTTAGTGCACTGATTTTTAGTAATATACAAATTAGAAAGAATTTTTTTATTCCTAAAATTACTGAAAATTCCAGAACAGTTTTGATATACTTTTACGTTATTAAAAAAGGGAAAAGAAAAAGATGAAATAATTATTAGACTCAAGTCTCAAATTGGTGAATTTGAACAACAAGTACGTAATAATAGAGATGATATTATGGATAAAGATGGTCAACTACATGTTTTAAATCTCAACTTACAAACAGCACAAAGACAGAATACACATCAACAGCAAGAGGTATTATTTGTTAATGCTATACTGGCTACTTTTCTTTGCAACTATTGAACCAATTATGATTTAATTTATTTATTTTAAATTCATAACTAGATTAGACTGAAGAAGACTTCAACTTGATAATAACAAAATTGTATTTATTTGTATTCTAGATAAACAGAAATCAGGATTTAATTGGAAAGTTGCAGTCTGATTTAGAGGCAACTAAAGAACAATACCGAATAACTAATTCTGAGGTTAGTAAAACTATAAGGGATAGGAGAGGAAACAATTTTCTATTACTTAATTATTGCATTCACAGGGCAATTCTATTCATTGAAACTGCTGTTTTCTGGGGAAATCACCTTGTGTGCTCTTGTCAAAGAATGAAAACATGTTTCCTGAAAATCCTAAGATTCATGTCACTGATTTTGAAATGCAAATTTAGTTAATGTTTAATCTTGAATATACTTCATGGTTTACTGGAAGACGATATATAACTAAGAACGTGAATCATGTATATATGGTATTTCTTGTTTTATACTAGTTGACAGATGCTGAACAGAGAATACAAGATTTAAAATTACAAGTTACAACAGCTCAAGGTAATCACAAGGAATCTATGGAACAACTGTGTGAACGATCTAGACAATTAGCTTCATTAAAAACAGAACTAGCTAAATTACAACAACAGAATCAAACAATGACAGATGAGGTGATTTAAATTTTATTTCTTTAAATCCTTTTCCCTTTAAATCTTACAACATCTTTGTAACATGAAGAAAAACAGTAAATTTTTAACTTTCTTTTAATATTTTAACAGACTCAAATTAAAAAAAAAACCATTTAAATACTGATTTATGAATTGGCAGCTTGTTTAAACTGATTATGTTATCAGTCATTGGTTTTGGGGTGCTTACTATGATACAAAACATAAAAATGTAATGAGGTCCCTCTGCTGGCATCCTAGCCTGGGTTATTGCTGTGGTTTGATGTATTACTGGAATAATGAAATTCCATTCATAGTTCACACTGTGTAGTACTGTGGTGCATCGTGCATCATCACTGATTTTGATCTGTTGCATACAGTATCCTGTCTTCATTAGCCCAGGTGGAGCACAACAGTAGGACGTTAAGCCCCATTTCATTTCATGAATATTATTTAATATTTGTATTTTTATTTTAAGATCCTGTTCTATGAAGATAAAATGAGAAAATTACAACAAGAATTGAAGAAGATGCAAGATTTAAATAAAGCTACAGAAGAAGAGGTAAATTATTTTGACTATTTCATACTTTTAAATTAGACAAAAAATGTCTTGAACCTAATAACATTGTCTTGTAAGAATTGATGAACAAACCTCTTACAAATTTAAACAAATGGTCATTAGTTGGACAAACACACAGACATTGCAAGCCAGCAACAAACTACAAAATGGAAGATTGCTTTTATTATATATGAATCTTGTTTCAGTTGATTAATTTTGAAGAACGTTACAGAGTATTACAAAATGATTTACATGAAAGTCAACAACAAACTAAACAAACTCTACAAGAACTGGGTAGTAAAGAAGAAGAAATGGTCTGTCATAAAGTAGAATTCAGTACTTTACAAGAAAAGTTTAAAATTAATGCTGAAGATGTAAGTTTTATTGAAGTTTTATGTCTTCAGATATCAATTTGACAAGTACTGGTAGAACTATCTATGTCTATTGTATATTGATTTAAGTTAATTTTATTTCCCAGTCATACAAAGCAATTAGATAAGATCGCGTTATAACATGCTGGTAAAGTATTTTTATTTCTTAGAATATGCATATGTTATGTATCAATACAAATTATTCAATTTTTCAGTCTGATAAAATGCGAAATGAGTTAGAAAAATTAAGAGAGAATTATAAAAGTGCCAATGAAGAAATAAAAGCATTACGAATAGCTTTAGAAGAATCTCGTGCTAACGGAGATAGATTACATCGGGAAAGTGAACTGGTTGTACAGAATGTTAATACATGGGTTCAAGAACAAAAGTAAGATACACCTTATAATAATCTTAAATCTAGTTATGCTTTTCTTTTGTAATTTAAAGTTGAATGATTAAATTCTGTTATATTAAATGCATGTGTTTTCCTGTTGGAAATATATAAAGTTATTTTGGAATTATTTGTTGTTTTGTTTATTAATTATGTGCATGCTTGTTTTGTTTACAGAATGGCTAATGAAAAACTTGGCAATAAAATTAGGTAATTATTTATTTGATAATAAATTTAATTTTATTTTCTCGATCAATCAATATTTTTACGATCAATCAATATTTTTACCGGTAAAATGAATATTGTTATGTTGTTAATTAATGACAGGAATAATGGAATACATCTTGGAAATTACAGGATTTTGTAATATTAAATTGATATTTCTGTTTACAGAGAACAAAGTAAAGGAATTATGAATTTATCATCAGAAAAAGAGTAGGTATTAGAGTTACATATGTGTACATGTATATTAAAAATCAAATGATCTTACATTAAAAATAAAACTAATTTTTGCAAATACTAGACTACTTAATAAATACTTAATAAATATATTATTTTCTTTACTTTTAGACATTTACAAGATCAGATGCAGAAATTACAGAAACAAAATAACCGTTTAAGAACAGAATTAGATGAGAAAAAAGCAGAAGGTGATAGACTTAAGGTATGATTCAATTATTTCTAAATGGTTAGTGTTTTGTATATCAAAACCTACACATTATTTACTGGGAATGAATAATGAAGGTAAGGGATATGAAGCTATTTGAAGATCCTATTAAAACTAGTAAACCTTTTCTCATAACTACCATACTCATTTGTCCTTTGTCACATTATCTAAATGCCAGAATCAAATTTGCAAGGAAAGTCTTTGATGCTGAACAGACTTTAAGATAATGTGGGTAAGGATAAATGAAAGTCCTCTATTCCTTGTTGCTCACATGGTTTATATCATATTTCTTGATATATTGAATGAAAATTAGTGCTGTTGTAAAATGTCCAGTTAATAGTTTACACCTGGTTTATTACAGTCATTACAGAATCATACAGCTCAACAAGAAGTTATACTATCACAGTTAAAGAATAAATTAGAAGAACATGAGTAAGTTATTATAGACTGCACAATTAAGAGTTGTTTAGTTACTTCCTGATACGAAAAAGGATTCAGCCATTTTAAAAAGTATCAGATTTCTTGTTATCCATGATGTCCACTCTTTATGGTATGGGTAATATTATATACAGCCAACTAAAGTATGATATATTTTTTATAGGATTGATCAAGATCAAGAACTGAAGTCCAAACTGATAACAATAGAAGATCTTCATTCTCGTCTTAAATCTAATGTTGATAACATACAACATCTAAATCAACAGGTATGTTCTAATTTATATATTAATTTAAAGATCTATTAACTACTGTGCTATTAAATGATAAAATTTTCATAGAAAATAGTTTAATTATGTTATTTTTTTGATACGTTATAAGTTTAGATTAAATGTTTCAGGAGGCTATTTTTTTTAGAAAGTTTACATCAGCTTTTGTCTATTTCAGCTGTCGACATTACAGAAGGAAAACTCTCGTCTACGGTCTGATTTAGAGAGAGAAATATCAGCTCGACAGACACTAGAAATGCAAGTAGAAAATAAAGAACAGATGATAAACAGTTTACGATCACAAAATAGATTATCAGAACATACGTCTGCTAGAGATCCTGAAGTCACCGTAAGTAATGATACCTGGAATTTTCTACATTTTACAGATCTCTCACATTCATTTATTGATACAGTGTGAGGCAAATTGAAAAGCAATTTTCTGGTTCCATACATAAACTCAATAACTTGCATCTAGGTTAAAAACAAAGTATAATATGAGTTTTATTATATATCAAATATTCAAACATTTTTTATATCCCATTATTACATAGATAAAAATCTAGAAAAACTAATAACATTAGGTATTGAACTATTCAAGCAGATTCATTTGCTCAGTTTCAAATTTTTCATTATGTTAGTAAAAGTAAATGTTTTTGAATTCTTGAAGAATAATTCCAACTGTATTACAATAAATATTTTACTTACCTATTGTTTTGTTATTTATACAGACTCGAACAGCTCTTAAGAAAGCCATGCAAGAAACAGGAGTGAATGATCCACACACATTAGATAAATCTTATTGGATCCAAAGAGTTGGGGAGGTAGGCTATATTTAAAAGAATAGTTTTCTATAATTCATGGATGCAAGTTGAGTTGGGGATAATCTAGACCAACCAAATCTAGACTGCAACTAAAGATTTTTTTGTTCCCAATATCCTCCTTAAAGGTTAGCTCAGAGCAACGATGGGTGCTGGAAGTGTTCTCAGGGGTGCTGTAAAATTGACGAACAATGTATATCTATTGTTTTTATGGTCAACAATTTTTTCACGGGGGAGGGGTCTTCTCCCCCTCCCCAGTTACAGGCCTGCACAGGTATATAAGTGGGTAATGAATAAAGACCATCTAATGTGCATCTATTTTTCCATCTAATGAATTCTCAAAAAAAAAAATTATATTCATGCAATCATGTGCAGACAGTATGAAGGAAACAATGTTTTTTATTTTAATAATATTATGTCAATTTCTGGCTTTCATTCCTTATTGGAGTTGATTCTATACATTTGATTATCTATTTCTAGCTTTCCGTACAGCTTCAACAGAGTAGTGAATATTGGTCAGATAAAGTACGAAGTTTATCAATACAAAAGATGGAGAAACGAACAACCACAACAACACATTCTAGAAATTCTTCACCTAGTCGAAGATAAACTAACGTCAACAAGCACATCAAAATCAACCATTCACATCATTACGAACCTCATTGGTAATTTATAGTTTTCGGTTTAATGATTTTGATGTAGATAATTTTTTAAGAATTCATGAAAGACTAGAGCTTCTATATTTTGGGTAGGAAACATGTAGAAGTACATATTTGTACTTGTAGTAATTAAAGACCATTCAGGCTTGACCAGCAGATTAGTATTTTAGTTATATCAACAGTATTATCAATATATACGCTTGTATCATAATAGTGTCTTTACATTTCATATATCATAATACTAAACTGGAAATTAATACACAAAGTCCATTACTTTTGAATCAAAAATAGCATATTTTATGTTAAATAAATTCCAGTTTAAAAAAAATAACTTATTGTAATATACTTTGTTTTGAATTTGTTGCCGTCCAAATTTTGTTTTAATTGTTCTATGTAATTTTAGACTGTAACTTAAAACTGCTGATGACTTATTTAATTTTACTTGTTCATAAGGTGTGATTCTTTTATTTTGATAAAAGATTCTAAACAATATGAATTTAATTTACATGTACTTGTTATTTTCAAAAAAAGATCTATTTTTCTGTTCTTTTTTTTATTAAACTTTTTGTGATTGCAAAGTTGTTTATTTCTGATTGTGTTTATTTAGCCAAATAAGACTGCTTAAACAGACCATTCTTGTCTCTTTTCTTTCTTTCGACTTGTATTCTTCCTTAATTCATATACATTACTTTATCTCTAGAAATGTATTTATTCCTCTATATTTGTGTCTCTATCAATATAGAATAATTTATATTATATCAATATTTAATTATCTTACATTTGTGAATATCCTAAATTTGACTTAGAATATCACATTCTTGCCCGAGCCAAGTTAAATGAAATTTTTTGGGATTTTTTTTTCATTTTAAGAAAGCAACAACATTGCTTTGCTTCATACTAGAAACATTTCCTATTTTGAATTAATATTAAAGAAATTGTATTCCTACTAAATGTCAAAAAACATTGGCAGTTCTAAAAAGTTTAGGTAAGACTATTACTGAAAATTGTTGTTTATTATGCTGTTTTATATGAAACTCAATACATTTGATTCTGCCGACTTGGCCTAGGTATTTATGTACTAATAAATCGTGAAAATAAAATAGTTTTGTAAGAAGAATATTATAATTTTAGATTTTAGTAAAGATAAGAGCAAGATAAAAATGGTCTTTATATTTGACCTTATGAGTTAAGCTATTTCTGTCATAGTATTATTATTATTATTTATGTGTGTTTATTTCTATACAGTATTTATGTTATTATTTATATTATTTTAAGTTATCATTCTTTACATACATACCAATCATCTGTGATAGTAATGATATATGTATAATATATTATTTTATAAAATAAAATATTTTGTACCAACAAAATCAGCTGGTTTACCTTGTAGTCTAATTATCTTATTCAAAGTGAATGTGGATTTAAATGAAATGATTAAGCTCCAGAGACATTTTACCCAAATCAATGTTTCTTTTTATGATATATCATGATATATCAACTAGTCATATTAAAATAAGCAGAAAATATTTACCACTCACCTGCATATAAATTATACTGTGTATATCCAAGATATGTACACTGAATTAATTATCTTCATTTCTGTGAAAACTGCTATAACTTGTTAAAGGATATTCAAATACTTATTTCAAGTATTGTATGTCTCACCCAAATTATCTCCCCTTCGATTTGTTCACAAGCCAAACTTGTTACATGACACAGGTTCCAACGAGAATAAACTTGCATATATGGTATTGATTGCTTCCACAAATGACAACTGTACGGAATACATACAAATTTATGTTAACTGCCTGCATATTAATTCATCTATTGAGGAATTGTTTTGATGGAGCTAAATGATTGTGAAAGTATTTTTTTTTTGTTGTAATAGTAACCCATCATCGAAATGATGTCCACATTTAAAATAGCATGGGAACTTTTACGTGCACAAGCATCTGTACATCTTAACCTTATTTTCCAGCCCATCAGAACAACTATAATATGATCTTCTTTCAGTATTAAGAAAACCAAAACAATGGTCTTTCTTGTCCAACACTGCTCTTCCAACCTGAGATATTCTGTTTGTGAGTTTTGACCACTTAACAACCATGTTTGTAATGGAGTGTCCCAAATCTAGAAACATAAATATTCCCAAAAGTCTTCCACTTCCTTTTAAATACTATCCAGTATAATAAATTTAAACCAGCGGCTTCAAGGCAGGATATGCTCACATTTTCCAAGAGATGGATAGAGAACAAGCTAAACAAAAAGCGATTTTTCGTACAATCAAGGGCCATAATTCAGGAATTTACGATCCGATATGCACGAATATCGACAGGAACCAAGATCTTTGGGTTATGAAGATATATTTCAAGTTTGATTAAAATCGGATCAACATTGTGACTTCTAGAGGGTCCACAACCTTGATATTCCATATATTTACACTATTTGCATACAAGGGGGCCCATTTTGTCTGGCAATTTTGGTCCGATTTTCACGAAATTCAAACTAAGCCATCATTAGGCTGTAACGGTGAAATATTCAAACTTTTTTTTAAATCGGATAAAAATTGTTACCTCTAGAGTGACCACAAGCTAAAAACATTATTTTTCGTACAATCAAGGGCCATAATTCAGGAAGTTACGATCCAATATGCGCGAATATTGAAAAGAACCAAGATCTTTGTTTTATAAACACGTATTTCAAGTTTCAACAAAATTGGATCAAAATTATGACCTCCAGAGGGTCCACAATCTTGATAAACCACACAAGCGTGATTACGGTCGAACGGTGATATATTCAAACGTTTTTTTAAATTGGATAATAATTGTGACCTCTAGAGGGACCACAAGCTAAAAACATGATTTTTCAAACACTCAAGGGCCATAATTCAGGAAGTTATGATCCGATATGCGCAAATATCGACAGGAACCAAGATCTTTGGGTTATAAACATGCATTTCAAGTTTCATCAAAATCAGATGAAAATTGTGACATCTAGAGTGTCCGCAAGCTAAAAACGTGATTTTTCGTACAATCAGGGGCCATTATCAATGAAGTTATGGTCCGATATATGCCAATATCAAAAGGAACCAAAATCTTTGGGAGATAGACCTATATTTTAAGTTTTGTCAAAATCCAATAAAATTTGTGACCTGTAGAGTATCCATGAACAAATTGTGGACGGGTGGGCGGACGGACAGGGGCGACAACAATATACCGACAACAATATACGTCCACATAAAAATGCTTCTTGGTTACAGCCAACAATAAATAATATAATCAACAGCAAACAAATAATATAAAAAAATTTTATTTTATAAATAAACATGTATACAACACATTTTCTTAGTTTTTTGCAATTTTTAAAAAACAAAAAAAATGTTTATATTGTTAAACAAAAATAATCATTGATAACCAATTTTTAATCTATGCTAACAAATCATCACATTTTAACATAGTACTACCATACTTTTTAAAATATAAACGTAACATTCAGTAAAATCTTGTACATGTACCATTATTTGTCAGTCGCACAAATTTTACACCAGTATTTTAAATTAATGATTCTTGTCTGATCCTTCATTACTCTTTCAGCATTTTTTGTTTTTAGTTACCCTGAAACACAAGTAGTGTCAGTATTGTAACAAGAGGAGGTTTCTAGTGTATAAACACTGAATTGTTCTAATTGAAAACAATCACATTTAGTCTAAGTATAAAGATCACATTTTCAACATATCATAAAAAGTTGAAGAGAAATTTATTTTGAAGGAATGTCTTTGAAACACCTGGTTTGTTATTCCACTTGTTCAGCATATATTTTAAGAATATGACCAAGACCAGCTTTATTTCTTAAATCCTGTAATAAATTTGTAAAATTTTATTCAATTTATTTTGATTTAAATCGGTCTTTGCTTATAACATAGAATGTTTTAACTTTGGTTGTTATATTCTGTATTTCTATTCAATATATAAGATTATAATTTGTTGCACAGTCTATACAAAATGCATTTTTCATGCACGAATTTGACAGCATATAGCTAAAGCTACTGAAGTTGTCAGTTTAATATATGGTGATGACAAGAAATTTAAGAGGGTGGTACTCTCTGTTAGTTTGTCTTATAATTAATTTGTTGTACAAAAAAAAACCCATAAAACTACCGATATTTTTTTTCTGTCGACATCAATACGGACATATCTTGATCACTATAAAACAATCATAATCAACGTTTCCTATTACGTTGCTTTAACCATTTCTAAATCCACAATAACACCTGAGTTGGAATTTTATTGGAATATTTTTCTAGGAATAAGGATGTCACTATAGTTCAGTTATAAATTAGGAATACTGACCTGTAATTGTTGTATTTTTTTCTTGTAATCTGTTCTCTGTTTTTTATTTTTTATATCTTCATAATAATCAGTAAAATGTATATCTATCTGTATTCTCTTTAAATGATGACATGAACCTGAAGTTAGAATAGGAACACAGACTTATAAAAGATATATCTGGACCACCTTTGATCTACTCCTATTGAGCAGAGTAAATGCATTAGAAAAATATGATGGTACATGTATATTACATTTCTGCATTATATGATGTTTCTTCACTAATACACCTTGCAGAACCCTTTATCACAATCAGACAACCTCTTAATTAAGCATTTTTAAAAACCAACTCTGGTGATAGATCATATGCAGATGGTGCTCCAAATTTATGAAATTCAATATCAAACAAACCCAAAAGCACAAATTCTGTTAAAGTTTTTAAAAAGTATCTCAAAACCGAACTATACCCCTACCTGTCCCGTTCAGATCAGGGGTTATTACTTCATTTGAACAAATCTGACTAAACTCAACTCAGAAATATGTGTTGCATTGCGTGAGGGTCATAATCCTAGTGTATATACTGCTTAACCACTGGATAGACTTAGACTCCATCGCATAAAGTACACATAGCCTGTAACTTGTCAATTGTCAATTTTTGTCAACAGATTGCTAAATAGTCAAATGTCAACTTGATCATCATTTTGCTCTGATAGAAAAGGTGTGACCAGATAATATGATATAGCAATTTTTAAACAGACACATATAAGTATTAAATAATTTTCAATTGAAAGTAAAACTGTTCAGGAAGAAAATTAAGCAATTGATAGATATCAGTTATCAATATTTTTACTTACTATAAAACTGTACAATGGCTTTAGGTGCTATGGGCATATTACGTAATTCTAGTGTATTAACATGACGTAAACCAGCACGACAAAGTGCTGTAGCTAAATCTTCTGTCAACTCTTTCATATTATCTAGTTGTAAAAATGTTAAACGTTGACATCCTGATACTGTGAAATAAAAATCAGAGGAATTAGTAAAATAAGTTGTTTCATCTAAAAAAATTGTTCCAGTCCTGTCATATTTCCAGTTAAATGAACAACGCATGTAAGACCATTATATTATCCACTAGGCAAATTTGTTAGGCAGTACAATTTTGTATTCAATATGCTCATGCTATCTGTATACATTATTAGTGGCATATAAATTTAAGACAGGTCAGATGAAAACTATTTTTTGTTACATCCGTCACAAAATTCTACAAAGGGAACAATTAAATATTTATACCTAATGGCAGTAATCCTCCTTGATCAATCTCTTTACCACCAATACCAATTTCTAACATTTCAGGATAAAACCGTGCCAACAACATCAGACATTTATTGTTAAAAACTTTAGGCTTTTTACTAAAATAAACAAAACATTTGTATTTATAAAAAAATTCAAATATTGTTTGACTAAAATTACAGATTGAAAAATAGATATTATTACTGGGTATTTGCTGAAAATGCTGGTATAAAGTTTAATTATAGAATAATTGTTAAAAATCTCACCAGGGAAATAAAGGTGGTATAATTAGAGTAGTTATACCCGGGCAACCTCCACCTATAGCCCATAAAGTTTCTGGTCCAATAGGATCCACATCACTTATATAGTGAAACTTTTGTAATAATCTACTATAACCACTTACTAACCATAAACATCTACAAATATATATGCATAATAAATGTAAATATAACATGAAATAAGTACACACTATGGTCTCCTTGTGAGTAGTAAGGCCACACCAATCTGATTTTCTGTTCTTCGAGAACATCTTTAAAAATTTCTTCCTATTACTTCGGGAAAAGACTTATTTAAAAACCAAAAGTACTTGGTTGTGCAGACCATAAGTTTTGAAATCTTCAACAGAAATGCATTCACATGATTCAAGTGGCTATTTATCTAACAAGACTCTGAAGAACAGAAAATCAAATTGGTGTGGCCTGGACCATCTTAATATTGAACATCTCTCTATAAAGCAGTGGAACACCTCCCTCCATAAAACAGTGTAAGATTACACTTCCCTTCCATAAAGTAATGTAAGATTACACCATCCTTTATAAAGCAGTGTAAGATTACACCTCCCTCTATAAAGCACTGTAAGGTTACACCTTTCTCTATAAAGCAGAGTAAGATTACAGTACACCATCCTCTCTAAAGCACTGTAAGTTTATACAATCATCTATAAAACAGTGTAAGATTACAGTACACCATCCTCTATAAAGCACTGTAAGATTACACTTCCCTTCCATAAAGTGGTGTAAGATTACACCATCCTCTATAAAGTAGTGTAAGATTACACCTCCCTCTATAAAGCAGTGTAAGGTTACACCATCCTCTATAAAGCAGTGTAAGATTACACCATCCTCTATAAAGCAGTGTAAGGTTACACCATCCTCTATAAAGTAGTGTAAGATTACACAATCCTCTATAAAACAGTGTAAGATTACAGTACACCATTCTCTAAAAAGCAGTGTAAGATTACACAATCCTCTATAAAACGGTGGTTTCGATTCCCCGGTTGTACGTGACAAGGAGTAGGGTCATCTGTCCAACGTTGTGGGTTTTCTCTGGGTCCTCCAGTTTCCTCCCACTGCTAAAGACCCCATCTCTCTCTCTCCCTCTCTCCCCACACCCTCTCTCTAAAACAGTGTAAGATTACAGTACACCATCCTATATAAAGCAGTGTAAGGTTACACCTTGCTCTATAAACCAGTGTAAAGGTTACATCATTCTCTATAAAGCAGTATAAGATTACAACCCCTCTGTAAAGCAGTGTAAGATTACACCATCTCTCTATAAACCAGTGTTTTGGATGTGAATTAATTTGCAAATTTTATTAAAGTATATATGAGAGTGTATAGTTCAATAGTTTTACATCTCAGAATAAACAATTTAATTATGAAAACCATACTTACTTATCTGTTAGTATATTTCCACAGTTTATTATACGTAATGATACCAGACTATCCTGACAGTTTTTTAATATTTCTTCTAATCCTGCTTCAACACAGCCTCTACAAAACCAATGAATATGATAATGCTTAACTGACTAATAACTGACCTTTTAAAGAAAGATATAATTCAATTTAGCACAAGAAGTAGTACAGGCAGAAATTGAAATACATTCTTGTCTAAGATTACCCATAGATCTCATGATAACTATCACTATTTTATGCTTTACTCATACTGTAAAAAATACAGTTCAACGAAAAATATTTTCTAAATTAAAGTACATGTAGGCTACCTTATATTTCTCTGGTATTCCTCAAGACTCTCATCATCATAACGACTTCTGGTTCTTAATCCTGTAAAATTATCAACATACAATGGTGAAAGCACGACAAATTTGGATTTAATGTTCAGTCAACACAAAGAGAAGAGAAGATAAGGTAAGCTAGGCTAAGCAAATCGAAAAAATTCAAAAGCTACCAATTGTAGTCAGCGGGGATCACATGATCGCAAAAGCAGATGTCGTGTTGCTGATTGACTGTTCGACTGCGATGTTCTGAGCGTCACGAAGAAGTTGAACCAATTTTTTTTAATGACATTTGATGTCATTTCACGTGGCATTTTATAAAATTAAATGAAATGGGGTTTAATGTCCTACTATTCTCCAAAAGCTGGGCTAATGGAGACGGGCATATGGCATACAGTGTGCTATGAGGGAAATTGTGGCCGGCATACTCTTATATCAAATTGAAACTTTCAATGGTCCTTTATGCATGCCAACGTGTACACAGACCCTCAGTTTTTTTGTCTCATCTGAACAACTAGACATTAGATCTCCTGGTTAGTGAGCCAGCTTCTTACCCATTGAGTCACTGCAGCTCTCTTAATTTTGAGAAATAACCTGTTATCTGTTCAAATGTTGAGCTAAAAATTTCCGCTTACCGGTAAGTTTTTGAAATTATCATTTAATCATATCAAATTTGTACCATTACTAAGAGAAATCAAATAGGTTTAGCTCCTTTAATGAACTTTAAGGGCTATTCAAGGCACTGGATAAAATCACAATACAAGGGCTTTTCTAGGTTTCACATGTATAAAGACTAAATTATTGTTAGTATATTAAAATAAAAATCTTACCAGATTGAACTACTGTCACCTAATGGTAAATAAATAAAAAATAAGGGGAGGATTAAAGCTAGCCACCACAGAAGGATGAGGGTAGAACATACACCAATTAATTTATATACCAAACAAACCAAATACTTCTAACTATGGTTTTATTACAATAGGCTGACATTCTACATGCACCATGGCCAAAAAGGATGGAATCCAAACCAAGGTTTTGATATATATACCTTAGGAGAAAAACTGTTTTACCTAGATGATTAAGATTCAGAATAATAATAATAATAATGAAGTTTTATATAGCGTCTTCTCCATGTTGACACATGCTCAAAACGCTTTTTGTAATGGCTCTACTGGTAAAACTGTTGAAACAGGAAAGTCTTTAGTGCGGATTTAAATTGATTAAAAGTTTGTTGATTCTTGATCTGTTGTGGAAGTTCGTTCCATAATCTAGGACCAGCTGAACTGAAAGACCTATACCCATATGACTTCAAATTATATCTTGGAACAACTAGTGACTGTTTATTTTGAGAGCGAAGTGATCTAATAGGATTGTAGTCATATAAGAGTTCCGATAAGTATTGAGGAGCTGCATTATTGCGACATTTATACACTAATGTTAGTATTTTGTATTTGACTCGCGCCTCAGCAGGTAACCAATGTAAAGAAGCCAGCACATTCTGGATGTGATCAAACTTATGTGTCCTTGTTACTATTCGGGCTGCAGTATTAAGAACCTTTTGGATCTTGGCTAGAAATGCTTGTGGGATTCCATAGAGTAAACTATTACAATAATCAATCCTTGATAAAATAAGTGATCTCACAAGTAGTTTACAAGCGTCAGCAGTGAGATAGTTTCTGATGTTGCATATACAGCGTAGATGATAGTAGCATGTACAGCATACCATATCAACCTGAGCGTCCATTGTCAGAGAAGGATCAAATATCACTCCAAGGTTTCGAACATTTTTGGAGAAATTTATTTCTGAATTACCAATGGTGATTTTAAGATCAGGTATTGTTAGCCCATCCCCTGAATTTAATCCACATCAGATTTGCTGATGCACAGAATATGAAACATTTAATGTATCTCTACGCAAATGTATGTTCATTATGTTTTATGCAACTTTTAGTCTGCACACTGATTGTTCTAAATACTGAATTTATTATGGATTAATTGAACTAGCATATTTTTATTTAACTCCATTTGACATAACATGTACATAGTAAATAATATTCAAAGATGTAAAGGGACCCCAATTGTTTTCATCTCAACTTGACAATAAGTCAAACACCATCAAAGTCCTAGCTACACTACTGAAGGGAAACAAAATATAACTACACATATGTAGGAAATTATCATGCAAATTTTCTGGTAAATATTATTGTGTTAATTAGGAAATAAACAGATTGCTTGACAAATAAGTAAACAATTCATTCATACAATTAAGGGTATCACAATGCAAATATTACGATAAAGACTTCAGAATCTCTACACCACTCATTAACTGTATTGTGGTGAATACATATGTAAGTGTTAGATTTCAGGCATAGTGATTTCAAAAAAATGTGGCAAGGAAAGATTCTGAAACTGCTGTAAAAGGAAAATATTTTCAAGCACAACCATGTTTATCTAACTAATATATACCTAGGCCCATCACAAAGGGATATAAAATATGGATAAAATTAAATGAAATGTAACAACATTGGTGATCCATAACATACCTTCTAATGTGAGATATTCTGTTTGTTTGCACCACTGGGATATTGTGACTAAAAACTAATTTAAAGCAATATATTTGTACATAAATTATTCAAGTTACAGTGCAGCTAGCCTTTAACACATCGACTGCCAGGCCAGATTTTATTTCATATTAACACAATTGCCACCAATTTAGTATTACCCAGAATTGTTTTTTTCTATTATAAAATAGAAACTGTCTGCTAATGACAATGGATATGAATACAATCAATGTACGTATCCAGTATATTTATTTACTCAAGTCTAGCAGTCAAAGTGTGAGACAGTATTTCATTCTAGCAAAAAATGTGATAAATGAAAGTGACAAAATGTGATTTTTAAAAATTTAAAATTGTTCTCAAAATAAGAAAATATAAGACTTTTGTTTATCATGGGAATTCCACGAAGGAAAGAAAAGAAACTTGTCTAATCTATCCTATCATATTCCATAAATTGGGCTATTTTTTAAACCTTGGTTAAATGTTTTACGACTATTGTAAATTACGCCTTTCAGATGCAATGACATGGATAGAAGTGATTGGCTCATAAAAAAGACATTACATTCAATGTAGGCATTATTGGTATTTGTAGAGATATTAAATAGAAATTTAATAATACACCATTATGCATACGAGATACTTTACTCTTGCTGATTATTTATTTAGGGTGGGTGAATTTATTACAATATGTCCAGAAAAATTTCATTAGCACTTTTGAGGATTAGTCACATTTTCTATTTTCTAAAAATAAATTTCTCAAACAATCCATTATCCATTCTACCATATTCGATATACACCTACACCGTCATTCAGAGTTCAACAGCTGTTGCAATTACTAAATAACAAGTTATGGCGCATCATGTGTTAGATAAATTGGATACTGTCGTTTTTATTATACTAACATTAATTTCAAATATTTGGTTAAAATCTGTCACAATTAGTGCTCCCTATTTTGTATGTGCCATGAGTGGTTATTGCCATATTTTCTGTTGTATAAAACACACTTTCTCACTGAGTATTTTTTCAATCTCTAGACGATATGCCGTTTTATACATGATATTAAACAAATCATAGTAATAGTATACAGTCCATCATTTCCGACAATTCTTCTTTTATATAAATAAGTAGTACTTACTGAAGATGAAATGGTGTGATTTTTCAGTTTAACATTTTTCCATAAAGCTGGATGGCGGCTAACATGCTTCCATTCACGACAAATCTGGGAAACCAGACACAAAGTCTTAAAATCCAGATAGCTGAAAATACGGAACAATGCTACTCTTCTTCTTTTGGCTTCTTCTTGTTTCTTTTGTCCGGTTTTATTACCACTATCAGAAAATGCTGAACTACTGTCTGAAATATTAATAAAAGTTGAAGTAGCATATTGATATTAATTTATAAACATTCAGATAGTGTCCAATCTTTACATGGAGTAAAAACATAAAACATGTATATTATAACAATTTATAGCTTGCAATATCCTATGTCTGCCCACATTTTTCAAGTACTATGTTTGAAAACTCAGTTTCTTTCAGAAGTAAGCGATCAAAGTGGCAGTGGAACTTACACTGACACAATTTCAAACTTCATATGTATACCTGTAGTCAATAATTAATATTGGTATCACAAATTATTTTGACTGGACTAAACTCGTTAAGCTAAAAATAGAGTTAACAAACACATAATCTTATTAACATAAAATCTATGACACTAAAATGGGAACATTTTACATAAGAGTCTAATTTCATGTCCTTTATATAGCTGTTTTTTTCTTGACCTTCCAATTAATTAAAGTGGATCACTATTTTCCTGTCTTCATTAGCCCAGTTCGGAGCAGAACAGTAGGACGTTAAACCCCATTTCATTTCATCTCATTTCCAATTAAATTGTGAAGAATATTATGGATAGCAGCCAAGTTTTTGCAAATACATCCAAAATTTGAGCTGCTAAAACACATAAAGACACTGATTATTAAATACCGAGGCAGCTGTAGTCAAGGGGTTGAATCGCAGTGTTAGCTAACTAAACTCTTCATGATTTTTCAAGCCTAGTTCCCAGAACTTCCCACTTGTTTAAATTTTAGCTGGGTTGACAAGAAAAGTGATTATTAAATACCGAGGCAGCTGTAGTCAAGGGGTTGAATCGCAGTGTTAGCTAACTAAACTCTTCATGATTTTTCAAGCCTAGTTCCCAGAACTTCCCACTTGTTTAAATTTTAGCTGGGTTGACAAGAAAAGTGTTGCCTACACCTTCAAATAAAAGTAGGTGGAAATACTGTTGTCTGGGCAAAATTCTTCTCCATAGCATAAAAAATCCTATCTTAGTCTTAAAATTCATTATCTGTATTAAAGAAAACATTTTCTGAATAAAAAATCCAAATACTTTTGCTATTCAAAAAGTGATTCAAATATTACCTTTCGGTTTTATAAACCGGCTACCCATCGCTGTTGATATATTCCCAATAAATCTCTAGCAACATTAGCACAAATATATAGTAGGCCTAATATTTGCACGCAGAGAAATGAAGCTGTTTTAGAACAGCAATGTTTTATAACTGAATTATATTAAATATCCTTTCCATCGCACAAAATACTATAACAATTTAAAATCTCAACACATCCTAATATTAATATACTGATAAGACTACGGTATATATCTGTGAATTTAGAAAAGCCATCTCAACTATAATACCTGATATTATACCTGAGTACTATGTACATCACATGTAAAATATGTAAACTACAGGTGTTAATATATTCAACTAATATTTATTCCACTATATTTAATACTATATATATAATAGACTATTACTAAAGCAACTTTTTATATCTAAATATAATAGCTTATCAATAAAACTTAATTCCATCTGTTGCATGTAGAATATTGTAGAACCATTTTTTTCCAGCTATAACTGTGCCCATATATGAACCAGTTCAAATTCTAAAGTACAATATGAACTACACACAAACCATCTCCATTCATCATGCTATCAATAATTGTAATAATAATAGCGCAGAACAACCAAACGATCATACTATTTTACAATTTATTGACGAATGGTAACCAACACATGATTAAGATGTGGATTTCTAACCCTCTTTAGGCCTAATCTTACTATTATATTACCCTTTCTAGTTATAATGAGGATCTCAAGCTATTGTATTTGAACAGGCAGCTTTCAAGAATGAATTGTTTCTTTTTTTTTTCAAATGGATTTAAATTTTAAAGTCTCTGAGCGATATAGGAATCCCTTGAAAACTACAATATTGTAAATGTAATAAGAATATTGGTCTAAATATGATTCAATCCAATAACCAACAATGATAAATCAGATTAAAATACAGATCTATATTTCGTTTCGTTTTTTTTTATACTTTTGATGGCCTCTACTACATGCAGATCTGACCAGTTGTAGTCAGAGGTCGCGTCAGGGGTCATACGAGCGGCTTTTGACCTATGACGTCAGACATTTGATTAACCAATCAGCATTGATGTTTCTAGTACTTAGTAGGATACCCACAGTTCCGTGCATCGCATTCCAAGACCTCGCTGCAACAGACCGTTTCATTGGCTAATCCTTCACATCAACCAGAATGTGGGTTATATAACAACTTTTCCAGATCCCAGTGTAGTAAAGAGGAGTAAAATGAAATTTTGACTTATAAAACACGAAACGAAAAAGGGTCTCTGTTTTAATCAGACTGAAGAAAGATTGATCAACTGAAATTCCATACTTCTCCCTATGTAAATGGTACACATTATTTTTTCTATTCTATTTTTCTCCCTTCTTTTTCTTGACAGAATCTGTCAATAACATCGGTCTACATTTTTTCGAAATTGAACTTTTTGCCATTTTGTAATATACAATTATAACCAGTTAAAAGTCTTTTTATTTTCGGATTAAACAAGCCCAATGCCACCTTTATGTTTTGCTAAATCTAATTGATGGGCCTGTTTTTAATCCAATTGAACCAAACCTGGGAGGTTATCTAGCATTGATATTTTGATATTTTTTTCTTAAACAAATGTTAAACAAGCGTGGATTAAGCTAAGAGAAATTTCATATTTTCCAAAAAACGTAAAGTACACAGTTACTTTAAACTCCAATTATCAACATGTATTTAAAATAAATATGAATTGTAATATAGAGAGATAAAAATGATGAAATGCTTGTCATTTACGGTAATATTTTGTTAAATTTAAACTAGAAAATATTCTTACCATCTTTCATTTTATCTTTATCTGCATAATGTCGTCTGGTTTTTAACTTTTTATGCAGAAGTGGACCACTTTTTTTAGAGCTACCTTTTACACCTATAATGCCTGAACGTCCTAGTTTATGTGGTGTTGCTAATTTCTCTATATCAGACTCAAAATCCATATCAGTACTTTCTTCTTTCCTAGGAATTGGACCTCTACCTGCATGGGTGGCATCTTCATCAGACGAGGGTTCCGTTTCTTCAACATCTGATAGAAATGATTTGGCTTGTTTGAGTGGAACTTCATTATATTTGACAATATCAGGAGAGAGTGATACATCGTTTACATTATCTTTTCTTTCTAATTCATTGTTTGTCTCAGATTCCTTTTGGTTGTTCAGATTCTCCTGTATAGACTTGTTTACATCAATTTCATTATTTAATTGTGGTGCCAAAGTGGGGTTTATTTCTGGTTTATCTTCATTCTCTAAATATACACAATCTGTCACATCTTTATTTTGATTTGGTGTTCCTGCAGCAATTTCAGGGTTTGAACTCTTGACAACGTTCGGAATCCTTTCTTCTGATGTCACAGCATCTATCTTTTCCCCTGCAGGCACAGTATCTGATGTTTTTGTTTCTGGTACCATGGTAACAGTAGGACTGTTATTCATCTTTGGAATCACTCTATATTGATCATCCAAAAAAGCAAACTTCTTTTCATCTTTCTGGATGTTTTGTTTCTCCATAGTTTCTCTCACAGGCTGTTGAAATTGTCTAGATGGAGAGGGACTTCGGGAAATCGGCCTAGATGAAAAACTTTGGTTCATTCTAGCATCAGTATCTGTAACAAGTAAATGAGGGTTGGGAGACTGGACCCTGTTGCTATAAAATTGTTCATATCTACTTGGACTTCTGGGTGCAGGTTTTGGACTCATTCTATTTGGATCACCATATTTCAAAGCTAAATCAGAACCAAGATAACTGTTCTCTCGGGATCGAGGAGAGCTGGACAAATTTGGTGAATAACTTCTTGAATCACTTCTGATTGGAGAATATGAACTAGAGGTTAGATTTGCTGATCTTTTGGGAGATGGAGAGCGAGAAGTTTGGCGCATATCTGATAAAAAACGAGATTTCGCATTACTGACTGGGGCTGATTGTTGGGACATTAGGTATCTGGATTTTCTAGCAGGTGAAAGAGAATAAGAACCTTCATTTTCTGATGAATCTTGTTGATTTAATCTTGCTGACGGATAACGATGTTTATATAATCCATCTGAATCTTCTTCTAAAGGAGAGAGTTTTTGTCCTTTATATCGACCAGTTTTCGATTTATTTTGTATGTCATTGTAATAACCTGACAAGTCACTGTCATCTGTACTTAAATTGTTTTGACCTTTCAGAATACCTATGGCAAGAGTTAAGTCCTCCCTTTCAGCTCTTCGCTGCGATATTTTGCTACGGATATCATGAAAATCCTTCCCTTTTGGAGTTTGATTTAGCTTGTCTAAACTTTGCCCCATGGTGTCTTGACGAATATTTCTAGGACTGTTGCTGTTATTACTATTGGATGAGCTGGATAAAAGTTGGTGAGAATCAATGTCACCTGCAGTTTCACTACCAGATGGGCTAAACCTGTATGATTCCAGATCTTCTGATGCATATGTTGTTGTTCCAGCATCATCCCACATGATACCATTTTCATCAACAGATAAATCATTACCTGTTGCATCAATACTGTCACTTAATAATATTCCTCTTGCTGTTCCATGATTTTTCTTTGATGAAATATTTTCTGCAATATTGACAAAAAAACATTAAGTCAAAAAGTCCAATAAATTTATGATTTGTATCATTTTGTATCATTTTTGAAAGCAATATTGTATTTTGCTACCTCTACCAGCAAGGACCTCATTATTAAGATCAGGTGGACTTCATATAACCACAAGGCACAATCCAAAATGGTACAAACCCTGTCTTTCTGTCCTTTTGAAACCAAAAACCTCACTGTTTAACAGACTTGCTTAACATTCATCAAGTCTCTTTTTATCAGGAGAGAACCGAAAGCAGGCAGTTTTAGATATTTTATACCAAGATCTATCAACTATATACACATAATGATGCTATATCATTTGATTTGATGGTTAATATATAGGGAAGCAATCTTACCATATTCTGTGGGACTTTGATCACCAAGTACACCAAGCTCCTCTAGATCTGTTAATCTGTTTTCTAGGGATGAAGTCAATGCTTTTTGGTTGTTGGCTGGTTTCTAAACAAAAATTAAACATAAAAATAGAGATCCACATTTCCTACACAAAATCCCAACATACTGTTTCTTATAAAGTCTTTTTAATTGCTACCTATGTATACCAATCAATTAAACCTAATTTATCAGAAAGTATGATAAATTGTTTAATGAGCATACATCAAATTAAACAATAATTATCATAAATTGTTAACCACTGGGCCCTCGTTTGCTATCTTTGCACCTGCATAAATCACTGATTACTAAGTAAAGCCAGAGGTCATCCATATACTGTCTTGCAAGAGTAATGTCATACATAATGGTGGATACATATTTCAAAAAATAAATATTTTGGTAAGAACTATATTTTTTCTGGTAGACTGTATATGTTTTCTGTTTAGGAAATAGATCTTTAACATTATTGAAACAATTTGTACCTTTTTCTTTTTTGTAAATTGTTGTTCACTGTCATCTGAGGATTGGAGCTCAACGAGTCTCAAATCGTCATCACCAAGTGGCTTTTTTCCTGTAAGAAATTCTTGCTGCACCATGGCCTTGTGGAGTCTGCTACTCAAAATGGCTGTTTGTTCTTCTGGTGTTAGGATACCACGAAGAGTCAAGTCCTCTAAATTTGTGATATCTGGTTTCGGGGACTGACCATTCCCAAGGTTGGCTCCATGGGTCATATGGCTCACAGGAAGTGACTGGGATTGCATTCCATGTTGTTGTGCTATTTGAGCACTGCCTAACATTGGTAATGATGAAAATTGTCCAGATTGCTGCACATTGCCCTTTGCAAGGTTATGTGGATCCTGTAATGAAGGATGCATTTGGCTAGCTGCATATGAAGGCCTTTGGATGTTAGATGGGTTTATGGGAACCATTTGTGCAGAGTTTGCCGGGACTGTTTGCTGATTGATTGGTAAAGGAGCAATAAAACCATTTGATATTTGATGAGGATTATTGATAACCATATGGTTTACTGGAGTCTGTAATCTTGAGGGGCTGTGATAATTCTGATTATTTAATTGACTTGAATATTGTGAACCAGGATCTAAAGGTTGCCTGGGAGTTATCAAGCGAAGACGTGGTTCTGAGCCTGGTTGAGAGACATATGATGATGGCATTCTTCCTTGAGTTTCGACAGGTTTAAAAGAGGTTTGTTGATTTGGCTGATGATACGAACCATGCCGCGGATAATTTTGATATCTTTCCTCATTTGCCAAGGTATTTCTGGGAAGTTCATCTCTTTTGCCAACTTTTTCAATATTTCTTCTTGGTGGCTTTTCTGGCCGTCTGTCAACATCACTTAATCCTGTTGGTGATTTTGAAGATTCAGACTCTCTAGGATTTCCATGTCTGTGATCAGAGTCATATTCTCTATTGGAAGAACGAACTGGTGATGAAGCAGGACTTTGTCTCCTTTTTTGTGTATGTTCTTTTCTAGGTGGTGGAGTTGGTGAAAGTGAGTCTTCACTTTCGTAAGTAGGGTTATATTTATGTGACTTTGTTCTTCTTGAAGTAGGCTTCTGAGAGTCATGCTGATTATGATCTTCATCAGAATATCTCACTGTCTTTATTTTTTTTTGTTTAACAAGATTTGGTTTACTGGGTGACTTTTCAATAACTTGTGGTTTTTCCCTGTATTAATAAAATAACAAGTTTATCAAATCAGTGCAGTAGGTAAAACCACTAATAAATAAATAATGTTAAAAGTTTTGGAACAATTCAAATTTTTAATAAAATGCCTTACTTTTCAAATGCTTGACAAATTATCAAAAGCCATTTTATTTCATTAAAAAATACAACTTGACATTTAACTTATAGCCTATAATTGTTATCTTAATTTATTCAGTTCATATTGGATATTGTAGAATAAACTTTATGGGCTATATATATTCTCCTTCAACACACATTCAAAGTTATTGACCCTTATGACTTGATTAAATTCCATTCGATACCTTTTTTTCTTGGGAATAGCCGCAGCTAGTTCTTCAAGAGATCTGGTTGCTTCGTCTTCTGCTTCCTATAAGCATAATGAAACAATCTAACATACTGCATAATAAATCTATCGTCATTATGGAATAATAAGTATAGCCTGCTACAATGAAATTAGAATGATCTATGCAGGATATACTTGTTCAATCTAGACAACCTCCTGCCATAACTTATGTATTTTGAAAATTAACAATTCCATAATAATTCCAGCTGTAGTTTTGTACACTCATAAGTAAAATATTCTGAATACTGTGGATAGGGTACGAGAATCATCAGTGTTATTCCCTTACAGGGAGGCGAAAGTTCATCAGGATATTCTGGCATGGTTCCCCCTTCTGAGTGGTGTTGGACGGAGATTATGTAGAAAAATAAATGGAACCATCGACTTTGTACAGGTCTTTCACAGATAGGCTTAGAACTTTTAAGCCAGCCCTCTTAGTACACTGTATGGCATATGCCCGTCTTCATTAACCCAATCGGAGCAGAATAATAGGACATTAAACCACCATTACATTTCATTTATTCAATTACATACATCTACCTGTAGAGATATTTGCAGTTCTTCTTCTGCCTGGACTTGAAGTTTTAGTGTTTTCAGCTGGTTCTCAGCCTTTTCGGATCTCTCTATTAAACCCGTTATAAAATCTTCTAACTCCGCTCTAGCAACTTTTTCTTTAGCAGCTGTATTCTTTAAATATGTCTGAACTTTCTCTAATTCACTAAAACACAATATGAGCATTAAGTTTTCAACATGTGGTCGTCAGATTTATTTTCTATAAAATAGAATAAAGATGGGAACTGAAACAAGGTTGAACACTCCACACAATAAAACAATCGTCAAAAAGCAAGAGAATGGAGTGTTTCAATCGGCCGAACATCAAAAGAGGATTACATTCAGATTGGTTGCTTATGCGTAGAACATGTGGTAATCTTATGACTATGTCAAAATTCTATATGGACATATGACAGCTTTGATGAAATATAGTTGAATCAAACAATTTGTAAATTTAAAAGTTATGTTCCAATATGCTTTGCAAAATTATATAATTTATTCTAAACCTAGTCTGTGAGAAAATGATAGGCTGAGAAAATTTTCAAAATAAGTTAATTTCAAAATATATAAGTAAGTGTATATATATACAGCTGGTTTATATAGACAAACTATAAGTACAGTATGTTCTGTAGATATTTTAATAACAAGATTAGTCACTAAATACATACAGTAGGCTAAGTCTACTAGATACAGTCATATCAACTTAAAATCAATATCTACAGAACAACAGGTGGTTTAGATATGAAGTCATTGACCAAAACATAATTATGCATAAAGACCCAGTTGTTCAAATTGAATTTTGAAGTTTGTTAAATGATATGTATCAAATCAGTTGGTATTATTAACTACAATATTCCACAATATAATTTTATTGTACGGTACTTATACTGTTACTACCTCATTGGGAGAACGAATACATATTAACATTCATCCACATGAAAACATTTTTCGAACTTTATATATTTTCTTTTTTAGCCAATTTAATTAAATAATTTTATGTATAGCTTATTTATTTTTAATAAAAATGTACTAGACAACATATGGTATAAATATCGCGTATGAATAAAATAAAGCAGTAGTCAATTTTAGCAGGCTGTGTTTTCCAATTCTCTAAAGATCTACTTTTAATAGAATAGAGGTATGTAATGTAATCTAATATACATTAACATTTTACTTGGGTCATTCTGACACTATTAATAACATAATTTTATTTCTATGCTTACAGGTGCAATGTTAGAAGAAGAGAATTTTGTCTCCACAGTGGCATATACCTGCCTACTTTTCATCAAATTCCAATCTTTTATGTCCCCTACCAATATGTCAACACAACAACTGTTTTTCATCCAATATGAATAACTAGACATACTTTTCATGTTATCAACTCTGGGGCAAATGAAAACCGGGTTTAAAAAATCATCAATGGATCTTCACAGCCAATAACAAATGAAAAAGACAATTTTACCTTTTAGTATTAGATAGGTCCCTTTCTTTTTCTTTCATCTCTAATTTCAAATTCTGTTGTGTTTTTTCACTATTTCTTATCTTTAATTCAAGATCTGTCTTTTCTTGATGTAGCTTCCCTTCTTTCTCTTTTATTGCTATTAATTCTTGTTGAACAGAATTAAGTTCTTTGTCTTTACCATCCAGTAGATATTTCAATGTTTGACCAGACTTTTCAGCTTCCTTAGCAACCAATTCATTCTCTTCAAGAACTTTATCATGCGCCATTTTAATTGTCTCCACTTTCATCTTTGATTGCATCAATTCTTTTTCTTTCAGGCGCAGCTTCTCTCTCAATTCTTCTATGTTACCTTCTGCATCTTTATATAAATCAAATGTTTCAGACACTATCTGAGCCTGACCATGTTTGGTTCTTTCCAGTTTCTGGTTTAAATTCTGCAATTCCTTTTCTTTAAGCTGAAGTTCATAGCGTAGTTTTTCATTGTCAAAACCAGCTTTTGACAACAGATCTTCCATCTCTAACAACAAGACCTTCCTATCTTCCTCTAATTTCTCGGATCTTCTTAAAGCAGTCGCTAACTGGGAATCTTTTGTCCTTAATTCTTTGGACGCTTTTTGTTTGATTACAGATAAATGGGAGTTCATATTTTCCATTTCTTCTTCTTGTGTAGCAATCTTTAATTTATAAATCTCTAATTTGGAATCTGGCATTTGTTCATTGTGAGGATCTGTCAACCTTTGAGGAATCATTTGAGGACTGTCAGAAATAGGCTGTATCTGTTTTACTGTTGGAACAGGATTCTGATGTAAATGATGCTGTTCTGTTGACTGTTCAGGGGATATGTGATCTGATATCTGTTCATAGGAGGTTTGCTGTATAGGATGATGAGATTGTGTGTTACTGGTCATCTGTTCTGGTGTGTGTTGCTGTATTGTAGGCTGGAGTGGTGTTTGATTTGTCAACTGTGAAGGAATATTCTGTTGTATCAAAGGCTGCTGAGACCTACTATCTTCCACATATCCTGGAATATTCTGTTGTATCAAAGGCTGCTGAGACCTGCTATCTCCCACAATATGTCCTGGAATATTCTGTTGTATCAAAGGCTGCTGAGATCCCACATTTTCTGGAATATTCTGCTGTATTAAAGGGTGATGATAGTGTCTGTTATTTGTGTGCTGTTCCGGTAAATTCTGCTGAACCACAGACTGATAAGGTACTGTATAATTTTTCGTCTGTCTTGAGAAGTGTGGCTGTATAATAGTTCGAAAAGGTGGTGTATAATTTGATGTCATCTGTCCTTGTGTCTGTGGCTGTATTACAGGTTGGAAAGATGATCTATGATCTGTCATATGTGTTGGTACAGGTTGTTGTAACATAGGTTGGTAAGTTGGTGTTGGATTTGCCATCAGCCATGGATTATACTGTTGAAAGATGGGTAGAAAAGAGGATGGATTATTTATCGTATTTTGTGGTAATGATGCAGGAAGTTGCACAGGAGTTAAATTCCTTGCTGGTTGAACTGTTGATGGAGATATTTGTGATCTATGACTCCCAACATCTGTTGAACCAGGGTTACCCATCTGTTGAATATTATTTATAAGATCTTCTGGAACAGAGTTTGATGATATAGCCGTATCATCAATAATACTCTCATTTCTAACATTACATGGTAAATCTGATGGATTACTTGTGTTGTGTGTTTGTATCTTTTTTCTATCTTTGGTCATTATCTCCACTTGGTTCATTAAAACTTTTCTTTCTTCCTTTAACTGGTTGATATCTTTGTATGCTTTATCTAATTCATCTGATCGCTGTTGTAGTGTTTTATCTAACACTGTCAGAACTTTTGCTTGATCTTGATTTCTTATTTCAGATGCCACTTCAATTCCTTGAAGAACATCTTTTGATTGGTAAAGAGCATCAGAAGTCTTCCATTGGTTTTCACGACTCTTTTCCATATCGTGACTTAATGAATCAACTCTATCAGTCATATATCTATCATTAGTCATTGGACTTGGAAATTCAAATTGTCCTGAAGTGGGACTATGTTGAATGTTATTCTGCCTAAACTGTATCCGTGGTGATGCTGCAGAGGACATACTAGCAGGATAATCTGGATCCAAACGTTCAGTTCTTCTTCTTGGAGAATCTGTTCTGCTCTGCGACTTTGCACTTGAATCAGTTTGTTGACTACTTCTTCTCAACACTTTATTTATCTTTTCTGACTTTTTTAATTCACGTAATTCCTCCTCCAGTCTATGGTTTTCATCCATGAACTGTTTGAGAGTTGGTGATTTGCTACCTGACAGTGTATCTCTACGAATATCATAGTCTAATATTTTAGGCCTTTGTCGCTTGTTGTTGAAGAAAACATGGTCAGTTTCTAAATGTGATCGTAATTGGTAAACTGTTTTGAAGTTACGACATTCACATCTTGGACACTTGTAGGGTAAATTATATATATTGGTTCTTAAATCTTGATTCATTTTGGTAGTTAGTGTGGATAGACTTTTTTCTAGTATTTTTTCATTTCAGACAAAAACCTGAAAAAATACAAGCATATTGATCAATACTGAATATATGTTAATAAACAAAAACAAGAGACCAAACTGTTCTGTTCCAACCGGGCTAATGAAGACTGGCATATGCCATGCAGTTGTGTTGTGAGGGAAATTTTGCTCAGACAGCAATTGAATTCCAACTGTCAAGGGTTCTTTTATGTGCACGACAAGGTGTACAAGGGAACTTGATTTTTCATCAAATCTGAACTACTAGACTCTGCACCTTGGGGAACTTTCACCGGAAACAAAACCCAGCCAGCACCTTGCTTACTTAGCCACCATAAAGAAAGAGAGATACAGAGAAATGGGGTTTAACGTCCGATCGACACAAACTAGGTAATTTCGGGACTAACATATGGTTTAATTTTATTTCAATAATTCACCTGCACATAGGGGTCTTTAGCGATGGGAGGGAACCGGAGGACCCGGAGAAAACCCACGAGGTTGGACAGACGATCCTACTCCTTGTCACGTACAACCGGGGATTCAAAACCACGCCAGTTGACTCAATGACAGACCGTATGATACAGCGCAGCACGCACATGCTAACCATTCAGCCATCCAACCCCCCTCCCCACCATAAAGATAGAGAATCAGTAATAATATGTGTTTTATAATATCCTTTTTGATTAGAAATTTACTCAACAGTCTCATCTTTCAAATGTCAAAAATTCACAAATATATTTGGTTAAATATCATTGCTAGTCCATTATAGTCAACCTGACATTCTAATGTTAATCTAACTCTCCACCATAATTTGCCACGAAAATGTCATTTATAATTCATAACCTTGCTAGCTCTTTTGTATTTATAACAAAGAACCAGTAAGATCTGTGATTAAAACAAGGGCCTGTGAAATTATCTGATGGAGCACAATAATATTAAATGGAAATCTGAAGATGTTAGTCATGAATAATATGATTAATTATTTATAATTAATTAACTTTTCCTATCCAAGTTCTGATGGATAAATTACAAATGTACATATAAGCATCTGTAAGGTACATGAATATTTAATTATGATTTCAATAGATGATCTTGATTTTAACTTTGATTATGTGATGATGATGATTCATCCGATTGAACACTCAATTAACTTATTTAATACTCTTTGTATACCAAAAACATATTCCATCCAAAATATTGTATGTAAAGATGAAGTTTACAGTTTCTATAGCTGAAAGTTAAGTAAAAGGTCATGAGAATTAATTTGAACATCCCCAACAGCTATGCTTCAAGCTTCTTGTACCCCCACCCCCTTTAGCAAGCTGATGCATTTGGTGTTTGCTTTATGACATACAGTCATTAAAACTAGAGCAGTGCCCCTCATATCAAACTCCTACCTATACTACTCAGGCCTGTAACTTCAGGGGGGGGCCTGTAACTCGGGTGGGGGGGGCACAGGGAGGGGGGACTGCAAAAAGTTTGCCCCCCTCCCCCCCTGTGAAAAAATTGTCGACCATAAAAAAATAGATATACATTGTCTGTCAATTTTACAGCACCCCTGAGAACACTTCCTGCCCCATTCACCCCCCCCCCTCGTCGTTGCTCTGCGCTAGTTACGGACCTGATACCTATCGCACATCCTTCGATCACTATCTATGTAGTCTGGTATATAATCAAAAGACACTTTCACGTGATGTTTAATACATACATATTATAGTGTGGTATTTATCAATCAAACTGAAATATGTAATAAGAAACTTAAATTGGTTAATTCTGACTAATTTCCGTATTATGATTCACTGTCATGTACCATATGATATTCCTAAAAAAATATAGTAAACTATTAGTTTTAATCAAGAGCAGGTCAAGGCATACATGAAAGTATAGAAATCATACTATAGGTTCATATTTTATGCTGAAATTTGTCCCTTAGTGAAAAGAGCACACTCAAAATGAATGCCATTTACATTACCTATATTACACAGAAGAACAACATGAGTTACACATAGGAAAACTTGGAAGTAACAATCACATGCTGTATTATTAACAGCAATGCACAATTTTAAAAACACCTGTTTACCTATTAGTCAAAATTCTAAAGTATATATATTATCAGTATATCACATAACTTCTTGAAAATGGACACAAACTAAATACAAAAAGGTATGATTGCAATATCTACAACAAATATATTGATTATAAACACATTGTACTGGCCTATATGACACATATGTCCATGTTAACAAATAACGTATACTCAGATCTGATAAGTTATATCTGAGTTTATAAAGTTTCTAAACTACAATAAATCGATCCATTGTTTAAAGTATAATTAGCGAATACCATGTACAGACATACAGAAAAACTTACGTGATATTTTACTGTGTTATTACTGTTATAAATATGGTGGATAATTTTGACAGTTTTAACGGTAAGTCCACGATTCTTGTTGGTGCCAGCTGTTTCAGCATACAAGTAGCACATGTAAGACGCCGGTTGGTCCATTATGATATAGGGGGGATAGGTAATTAAGATGAGAAAATGGTATTCAGCTCGATAAGGTCTGAATAATATAACGGGATTAAATTTAGAATGATAAAATAGTGCTCACTTAAATATGTGTATCTTTCACAAACTGTCAGTTAAAATCGCAGGAAAAAAAAGAAAATTTAGAATTAAAGCCAGAATTTGAAAATATTTCCATCCAAATCATATGCGAGGTACATCACAGGAGTCTGACCTTCTATCCGTATATATGCATACACCATGTCCAAGCAGACAATATATTTTTATTATATATTGTCTGGTTGGACATGGTGTATGCATATATATACGGATAGAAGGTCAGACTCCTGTGGGTACATGTACATAATACCAATCTTGATCAAGGAAGTCTGTGTATGGCGGACAGAATTGGTCAAATTTGGTGGGGTTTTTTCTTTCAACGAAGCCAAGAATCCAATTCAAAAGTCCAGCTAGGTTGTAATCCATTTATTTTCTAAATGTTTTGTGCTAGACATTTTAAGACGCGCGGAAACAATTTGAAACATAAACATAAACGATTGTCGGTTTTATCTAGAATATTAAAAACTATATTCATATTAATACAACATTGTGACTTTTCTTTCTTTCTAACACTATTTATTCAATAAATATTCACATATCATAAAGATGTAATTATTGGATCTTAGAACAAGCCGGGGCAGTTATAAATTCATCAGGGTAAGAAATCATTTACATAAATATAAATACATTGTTTAAAAGTTACAATTATATTTTATACACTGGTATAAGTTAGAAAGAAACGGGTGTTTACTGATATGAAATGAAATGGGGTATAGCCTCCTACTGTTCTGCGGTACCGGTACGGCCTACTCTTTTATTGGATTCTAACTGCCATGGGTTTTTTTACGTACACGACAATGTGTACATGGGACCTCGGGTTTTTCGTCCCATTTGAACGACTATGCATTGTCCTTTGCCAGGTCGCCCGGCTGTACTGAATAACTGAAAAAAGGCGAACCACGCCGGAAAATCTGGATGAACTTTTCGAGTGGATTTACTACTTCTTGGTTTATTACATGCAATGTTTCAATATTCTTACATGTATATTTATTGTTTGATAAGGATAAGATACTCGTAATAGTGTTGAAACGTTACATGCAATAAACCGAGAGGCAATAAATCCATAAAGTTGTGTTTTTAATTTGTAAATAATCTACAGGTCCAGCTATGTTGTTTTTACTTACTGCGAGAAACTCGCTTTTCCACAAAAAGCATATGGCTTCTTTTTCCCAACGTTTTTTTTTTCTATCCGCATTGACGATACCAAACATTAATCAGCTGGACCAGGGAGAAGATGACCCACTCCCACTTCTCTCGACAGCGAATTTTAACCCTGTGTTTTAAAGTTACGTTTTATATTTTTAGCCCTTTTTTTATTACTACTTTATATGTAAACAATCTTAATTAAATCAACCTGTCCATAATTCCACGTATAATGAATGTGTTGGGCGTTAAATTTGTAATAAACATCAACAACCTATACTTCTAAATATCAGTCAAGGAAATCTAAAGTCATCTTAGAAAAGATCTGCAGGCCATTATGGTTAGACTATGACTATTTAAATTACGTACCATCCACATATACCCAACATTTACAGATAATTATCTACTCTGTTCTCTAGAAAATCTATTTAACCCACTCAAAACAGTTGCAAGATCAGTTAGTGCGTTTGTATTCCATGCAATGAATCTAAGAATATAACATGTTTCTAGCTACATGTAGGTCTATCTCTACCTTTTTGTATCATAATTGTTATCTAGATTTCCATGAATTAATATATTTCATCCCATATTTTATTACTTGATTCATATAATGCTTCTAGCATTCCTATATCATATTTCCATAAGTCTTCTCGTTATTTATGTATTTATAATATTTATACCCATGCATCATACTTGTATCAAATTTCTGTGCCATTATCAAACCTGTTTAAGGTAAATGTGTATATACACACTGTTTTCCCTGTTAGTAAATGTATATGCAAGCTAGATTAAAATTATCGTTTGTCTTATTTGTAAATATTATTATTTGTCATATTGTTATAAATTTGTATACTAAAATTTTATCTTAAAAAACTTATCTGTATATTGATATTTACTGATGGCTTGTCCCTTTAAAATGTTCTTCAGACGACCATAGAGTCCATGTGTATTATTAAAGGGGTAAGTTGCGTATAAAAATGTAAATCCGAGAGCCTATGTATAGAGGCATAAAACAGGTTAAAGTTAAAACGCTAAAAAGTTTTTGATTTGTCTTTAATATATAAAAGTGTGTTTTTTATTGGATTTATTTAATTCTTTTAAATTAAAAGTTCTCTTCTCTAAATATATTACGGTCTTCTCACTCCTTCCCCCACCCATCCATAGATAATACAGCCTATGATTTTAGCGTTCAATGGTCGACATGTCATTATCAAAGATGTCCTGTAGTTTATTTTAGAATTCGAACTGGTAATATTATGTGATATACCCTATCCTAGAATTAGAATTTACTCAAAATCAGAGAGGCAAGCTAAACGCAATCTGTATTTTGTAATAAAGGTGTGGGATATTCTATATCTGTATTTGAGATGTATAAAGCAAAGAGTTAGCAGTTTGCAGTATCGGGTAGAAGCTCAAAGTATTGTGTAATATTTTGTATTGTTTAATTTAGATAATGTGAAGAATTACGTGTAAAATAAAAACTATTTGTAATGACACTGGTAGTGGCAGACTGGATTACCTCCCTTAGAGTACCTGTTATTTCAGGTGGCGCTGAGAAAGATGTTTACGCTTCATTGATTATTTCAAAGATAATGAGGGTAACGGCTACAACGATTCGCTATGTACAAAGTAAATAAAGATGGCTTCTGAAACTCGGAAACGAAAGCGCGAATTTCAAGTTGATATGGACGAGATGGATTTGAGTTTTAATGTCGAGGGGTGTGGATTTTTACCAAAAGCTACCACAAGTAAACGAAGAAGACAAACTATACACGGCAGCTCTATTCGGCAAGTAAAAAAGGTAAACAAACAAAATGTTTCACGTGTGTTCATCAATTAGATTTATATTTTAGCTAAGTATAGTACTAGTAGGCAATAATATTAGTAGGCGCTTGATATTCTTTCTGAACACTTAAAAGTTACATGAACATGTCAGTCCATCTTATGATCTTATCAAATCGCCTTCAAATAAAGTCAGATCTATCTTGTCTCTTACTCTTAGAAAAAAAAATTATATAAATTAGTTTGGATTATGAAAATGGAATCGAATCACCTGGCCTTTGGGAATATCAATGGCATTCATTAGGGTAGCTACCCCCCCCCCCCGCGATTTGTACTGTTGACAATATACATGTATGGTTGATGACAACATGTTACAGAGTTCTGATAAGTTTATAGAATTTATTAATGGTTTGGTTCTGTAGTGAGGGTAGATTAATTACAAGAAAGGATACCTACATGTATTTTATGACACTCATGAACATGAATGAGAAGAGGCCAGATCCAATCAAAATGCGCTACTGTCTTGTCATACTTAGATGCCTTACATGTATTTTAAAAGATTACGGACCATCAAAGGATTAATATTCAAAAAGCAATATGTGAAATTTGCCTACATGTACACTTATATGTCTGTATTTGACACTCTGACCCCACAACAAGAGACAATTATGATTTAACTGAAATAGTGTGTTTCATATTATGTTTTTGTGTCTATTATGATTCTAAATAAATTATTGAATTGATATTATTATGAGGTTAATAAATTAGCGTTTTTGTATTTTAGTCACCATTCAAAAAGGATACAGTAGGCCTATGTAGAGTAGAAAATAAGGAACCTATTGTACGAGATAATCTTCGTGGCACCCTTCGTAGAAGACTTTCAACAAAACTCTTTCAACATAAAATGAAGAAACTACAGGTACTGTACAATTTTGTTTGGATTATTTTTATGTTTAATAATGTTTAAAGAATTTAAGCATACCTGTAAAACATTATCATTATTCTAGTGGTTTTCTGGAGAAAAAAAACAACAATATCTTAAAACATGTTAGTATAGATATGTATGATATTTAAAAAGTGTAGAAATTTATCAGCACCTTAAATAGCCATGTTTGAACCAGTACTTGTATGAAGGATTGAATAAGTACATGTAGAAGTACTGGTAAAGCCTGTCATTTTTCTCCATAAAAGATATTGTTATCGATGTATGATTAAAGATACATTATGTAAGATTAAGATAAAGAATTGACTGTTCTTGCTATTTTAGTTCAAAAATAGATAATGCAAAATGAATATATTGAAAATTTCATTCAAATTACTTTATTCTGGGCGAAGTTATCCATGTCTGTAGTTTTGACAAGATGTGTGCATTAAATGGCTGAACTGTTCTAAACTACTTAAAATCAGAGCCATCCGATGGCATCTAAGGTGGATTATGATCTTGTCATGTTAATAAATGTCTAATTAATAATTTATGTAACATTTAAGGCCTAAAGAAAGACCTGAAATAGGCAGATTTAGCTCTTGAATAATGTCTCTTTAAGTAAATAATATTTTAATTAAATTCTAGGGTAATGAAAATTTTTAATTTCTTTTTCTTTTCAAGGACTATTCTTTAGCCGTACCAGAAATGGACAATTTTGCCATTTTGAGATCTATGAATCAAAACACAGTTACTAAGAAAACTCCATCAAAGCTCAAAGCTAAACCTGTATTTACTCTTCCATCTTTACCAGAGAATGATATACCAGTAACAGAACATAATATAACAATAATACCACAAAATACTTACCACAAAATGGTAACATCTTCTGGTAACATAACAAGATACTACCCAATAGTATTATCGGTAAGTTTTGTTTATTAGATAGTCCTTTATCTCTCTGTGGTCCCATTTATGAAAATGTATTATTCTTTTGCTTACATGTACTGGATACAGGCAACC